GGTTTAGCGCAGTGGGGTCACCGTGTGGGTTTAGTGCAGTGGGGTCACCGTGTGGGTTTAGCGCAGTGGGGTCACCGTGTGGGTTTAGCGCAGTGGGGTCACCGTGTGGGTTTAGCGCAGTGGGGTCACCGTGTGGGTTTAGCGCAGTGGGGTCACCGTGTGGGTTTAGCGCAGTGGGGTCACCGTGTGGGTTTAGCGCAGTGGGGTCACCGTGTGGGTTTAGCGCAGTGGGGTCACCGTGTGGGTTTAGCGCAGTGGGGTCACCGTGTGGGTTTAGCGCAGTGGGGTCACCGTGTGGGTTTAGCGCAGTGGGGTCACCGTGTGGGTTTAGCGCAGTGGGGTCACCGTGTGGGTTTAGCGCAGTGGGGTCACCGTGTGGGTTTAGCGCAGTGGGGTCACCGTGTGGGTTTAGCGCAGTGGGGTCACCGTGTGGGTTTAGCGCAGTGGGGTCACCGTGTGGGTTTAGCGCAGTGGGGTCACCGTGTGGGTTTAGCACAGTGGGGTCACCGTGTGGGTTTAGCGCAGTGGGGTCACCGTGTGGGTTTAGCGCAGTGGGGTCACCGTGTGGGGTTAGCGCAGTGGGGTCACTGTGGCGGTCACTCGTGTGGGTGCCATGGCCACAGTCGCACTGCTGTGGGTTTGATTTAACGTTCCATTCATCAAGGCGATGTGCACATCTGCCCGCTGTTGATGGTTCCACCGGTGTCTTCGAGGAGGAATGTCAGAACCAGGAGGAGGTGCGACGATGATGATCATGTTGGGGTCTCAAATTCTCGGATGGGTCTCGGTCGATGGGTGGGAGGCGGTGGGCCCCTTCCCGCGGTGACTACCGCCTCTTCCGCGCTCTCACGTCACCCCGAGCGCAACCGACACCACCGTCGAAGGGGAAGTGTCACGGCGCTTACTCGAATCTAGCTCTTCACCTGCCAGTTCCCGCGCGTCGCCCCGTGCCTCGTAGACACAGAGGCACTGTGCAGCGTGCCCAGCGCAGCGAGCCCACTCGGTGTACGATTTCGACAGAGTTCAGAAGACTGCACTGTACTGCAATTGACAAAGCTTCCAAACATCAGACTGGAGTAGATTATCCAAGATTCCAAGCGTGGCGACTCCCTCGTTATATTGTAATGGTCGCGGTGAGCGCTGCGCTACGAACCCGGCGACCCGATTTCGATTACCCGCTCACGGCCAACACCGGTGACGATTATCCGAATCTGTACTGGGCCTCCCCGAGGTTGGCTCAGCCTCAAATGAGTACCTGGTGCGGTGTGTAAACATCGCCACTTGGGAGATGGAGGTCAAACGTGATGCTGGCCACCCACCCCGACTCGTGTGCCGTGCCAGCCGTCATAGGTGCTCGCTAGCTGCACTTGCCCCAACAGTCTGTTACAGGCTACACGGGGGAACTTTGTCTACATTGGTGGGGAGCGGTGGCGCAGCGGGTTAGCATCCTGTGCTGTGAACCCGGCGACCAATATCAGTGGCCAATATCTGAACCGGTCCCGGGCTCCCCTTGGGTCAACTCGACCTAAAATGTGTAATTCTGGTTTGGTATGTAAACATCAGTACTGGGGGAGACAAAGGCGGCTGGGAGTGTGTTGACCACACCGCACGCCCAGCGTGGGGCCCCACGGTGGCTCGGAGATGTTAACTACCTCGCCTGGTCTACAGGAGGTCGACCCTGACGCCTTCTGTATATTTTAAGTTTGCGGTGTGTTCTCCAGGTCCTCCGGTTTCCCCCTTCACATTTAGAATCATGCTTGTCGAGTATTTGGTTGCTATAGATTTGCACGTGATAAGCCACTTCGTTGAGCTGTCATTTGTGGCCAGGTCGCTTCTGAAAAAACTCAGTGGGCCTTTCCTGGTAAAATAAAAATAAAAAATTTTGTTCGCTGTGGCCGGCCTTCATAGTAGCTTAATAGGTGCTCGCAATCAGCAATTGCCCCAACAGTTTTGTTAATGTTACATGGGGTGGGTAGCCTTCGTCCTCGTCGTGAATGTGTATGCATGTGCGGGCAGTGTGCCTTGTCCGATGTTGGCCCTTCTGCAGCGCCGCGTGGGATTAATTCCACAACTCCTACACTCGACGTGTGAACTTTGATGCTTGGAGGGGAACCCACCCACCCCACACCCTCTCGTCCCTTCCCTTTCCTGCTGCTGCCGCTTGCGTTGAGGAAGCATCAGAGGCGCGGGCGCCTTTCCTGTTTCGAAGAAGCACGTAGCAGCAGCAGCTCGTGTCGGAAACACACCCTGTCACTACCAGGACTCCCCACCCACAGCTCACTCACTCACGCACACACACACATCATCTGACGCACCCACCCATACCCATTCACTCACGCTCAGCTACCCACCAGCACACATCCACTCACACGCATCCACATATACATCCACTCCCCGAGACACCGAATCACTCACCCACCTAGCCATCCAAGCTCACACCTGCCCATCCACTCACTCCAATCGACTCGCAACATACACATATCCGCTAACCGACACGTAAACTCTCCCACACACTCGGCACACATCCAACCACTCACACACTCAACCAGCCACTCACGCACACAGCCACCAACTCACCCAACCAGCCACTCACTCACGCACACAACCACTCACCCGTTCACCCACCCACCCAGCCAGCCCTCCACACAGCGCCCTGAGTCGCCTCCCAGACAGCCGCTCTCCATCGCTCCTGCGGACTCCGCTGGCGCGTCGCGAATGTCCGCGGTGAGGATTCGTGTCTCCCAGACAGAAGTCGCGCTCCGGGGACGAGTGGCTTCGTGTGCAGCTGTTAGCTACCTCGCCTGGTACACACGAGGTCATCGGATCGAGCCTCACCTGACGCCACTATATTTGGAGTGTTTCTCTCCCCGTGGTCGCGTGGATTTTTCTCCGCGTCCTCCGGTTTTCCCCTCCACATTTAGAATCAACATCGCCACGCGTTCAGAGTGTTTGGCTGCGATACATTTCCACGTGATGAGAAAATTCGTTCGGCTATCATTTGTGGCCAGGTGGCTTCTGAAAAATAACCATATAGCGAAGTGGGGCCTTACCTGGTAAAATACCTATTTTAAAAGTTTAGTTTAAGACGTTTAATTCCAGTGCGTGCTGCTGTTGCACCAGTGTCAGCTGCGGCGTCTGCGTCTCAGTCGATATCAATGTCTGGGAACTCTTCGTCAGTACTAAGAATTTGATATAAAACATGAGAATACTGCATGCTCTATGCTTTCTAGCATAAATATAGGAGGTGTTAGGATGTGCAAACACCAAATAGACACCTATTATAAGTCATCAAGTCTGCATGGACCACACACACGCGCCCTTGCGTATTTCCTCACCACAGGTGTACAGGTGGTGAATGCAGACGTGATGCCTTGCAATGTGCCTCTATTTGGTTTGTGGACATCTTAACATCACCTGTGTTTATGTCAGACAGGGTATATCACCTTTTATGCTTAAGACAACTCGTGTTGTGTTTATTGCTGCAGACATTTCTACATACTGTATATGTGCACCTAACCGGAAACCATGTTTTACCGGTTTTACCATGCGGTTACCGGTTAGACAACAGAGGATTCTAACAACAATTCGCGAGGCTGCGAGTTACTCTGCTCGCTGGCAGTCCAACCCACGCACCATGTGGGTGTCTCGTGTGTCCGTGTCGACGTCCATGCCGCTTGCATCCCGCTGAGGTGGAACCCCGGGGACACGAGCTGCAAAGCTGTCGGCCGGTGGCTGTGTGTAAACTGACTGTGTGTAAACTGACTGTGTAAACTGACTGTGTGTAAACTGACTGTGTAAACTGACTGTGTGTAAACTGACTGTGTAAACTGACTGTGTGTAAACTGACTGTGTAAACTGACTGTGTGTAAACTGACTGTGTAAACTGACTGTGTGTAAACTGACTGTGTAAACTGACTGTGTGTAAACTGACTGTGTGTAAACTGACTGTGTAAACTGACTGTGTGTAAACTGACTGTGTGTAAACTGACTGTGTAAACTGACTGTGTGTAAACTGACTGTGTAAACTGACTGTGTGTAAACTGACTGTGTGTAAACTGACTGACTGTGTAAACTGACTGTGTGTAAACTGACTGTGTAAACTGACTGTGTAAATTGACTGTGTAAACTGACTGAGTAAACTGACTGACTGTGTAAACTGACTGTGTGTAAACTGACTGTGTAAACTGACTGTGTAAACTGACTGACTGTGTAAACTGACTGTGTAAACTGACTGTGTAAACTGACTGACTGTGTAAACTGACTGTGTGTTAACTGACTGTGTAAACTGACTGTGTGTAAACTGACTGTGTGTAAACTGACTGTGTGTAAACTGACTGTGTACACTGACTGTGTGTAAACTGACTGTGTGTAAACTGACTGACTGTGTGTAAACTGACTGTGTAAATTGACTGTGTGTAAACTGACTGTGTAAACTGACTGTGTAAACTGACTGACTGTGTAAACTGACTGTGTGTTAACTGACTGTGTAAACTGACTGTGTGTAAACTGACTGTGTGTAAACTGACTGTGTGTAAACTGACTGTGTACACTGACTGTGTGTAAACTGACTGTGTGTAAACTGACTGACTGTGTGTAAACTGACTGTGTAAACTGACTGTGTGTAAACTAACTGTGTGTAAACTGACTGTGTAAACTGACTGTGTACACTGACTGTGTGTAAACTGACTGTGTGTAAACTGACTGACTGTGTGTAAACTGACTGTGTAAACTGACTGTGTGTAAACTGACTGTGTGTAAACTGACTGTGTAAACTGACTGTGTACACTGACTGTGTGTAAACTGACTGTGTGTAAACTGACTGACTGTGTGTAAACTGACTGTGTAAACTGACTGTGTACACTGACTGTGCGTGTCTCTCGCTCTGTCCCCATTCCACCTCCCGCCGCTCGCCTCAGGGTTGAAGTCCCCCGGAGCGCGTCTCCCCCCGCCCCCCCGCCCCCCGCCCCGCCCCGCCCCCCGCCCCCCGCCCCCCGCCCCCCGCCCCCCATCCCATGGCGAGGAGCCCCATCCCGGAGCGGCTCGTGGAGCGGCTCCTTCTGCCGGGAGCCGCCGAGGCGACGGCGGCGGCCTCGGCCGGGCAGCGCGAGCGCACGGTGACGACGCCGCGTGTGTGTTGTGTGCGTGTTGTTGTTGTGTGTGTGTGTGTTGTGTGTGTGTGTTGGTGTGTGTGTTGTTGTGTGTGTTGTTGTTGTTGTGTGTGTTGTTGTGTGTTGTGTATGTTGTGTGTGTGTTGTGTATGTTGTTGTTGTGGTGGGTGGAGCGGTGGTGCAGCGGTTAGCGCTACGCTGCGCTAGGAACCCGGCGACCCGAGTTTGATTCCTGCTCACGGCCGCCAACACCAGCGACGATGATCATGAACGGTCTTGGGCCTCCCCTCGGTCGCCTCAAATGAGTATCCGGTGTGGTGTGTAGTAAACATCACCACTGGGGAGACAAAGGCGGCCGAGCGTGGTGCTGGCCACCCACCCCCTCGTGTGCCACAGTGCCGGTCTTCACAGGTGCTGCTCGCTAACAGCACTCGCCCCAACACTCCCCAGCCGCCGCATGCCCCCAAGCAGCTTCTGTTTGACCGGATAGAGGGGGCTCAACGGGTGCGGCACGGGCTGGAGAAGAGATGGCCGGTACCAGCGGTGTCAAGATCGGCCTCTGTGGAGGAAGTTCGTGAAAGACGCTGCTGGGCAGTTGGAGGCTATCGCCCATTAACAACCGTGAATGAGCGATGCTCACAACAATGAGCGGATCGCCGGGTGCATAAAACGCAGCAAATAGTCACAGTGAGGAGCACAGATGGTGCATCTGCCAGTTATCTCAGTTAACCCATAGCACCTGGGTCGTCTGTCCGGTGACCTCCTGCCAACGAGCTTTCAACACCTCACGTGGTCTCATAGTGCACCTAGCCTGGCATAGGCGCTGTGTCGACGTCACCGCCACTTGGTGGCGGATGGCGGCTCTGTCACGAGCCCATGGTGTCCTTGACATCAGGACCGAGAGTAGGACAGATCTGTCCAGTGCCCGTTGTTGGCTGGTGGTCTGTGACTTGCACCCTGTGTAGTTTTCCTGCTGTGGTATTGGGCATCCACGCCATTCGAGCCTCCAGCAGCCTGCGTCTCAGCAGCCTCTTTAAGCTGACATCGCAACGATGCGTGTCTCGTGTGCAGCTTCAGAGACGTAACATTATTAGGATTATGATCATTACCATATGATCATTATCACGCAAATATGTGCGGTGACGTTACCACCTGCACAGTTGCCAGCCAGCCAGCAAAACGTATTTTGTTAAGTATAGAATGACATGCATGTGCACAATCTGACAGCCACGTGTCTCCCTTCACGCCCTGCCACGCGTGTGTGCGCGGCGTGTGACGTAGCGGTGGTCACCTGGCCTGGTCCACAACTCCAACACATCGTGCAAGAGCCTCCCTGCCCATCCTCCCTCTCTTGTCTCCATCACCGCTGTTGCTCTCCTGCCATGCATTTAAGGCTTTAAAGCAATCATGTTCCATATATAATTTTGCATGTGTATGTTTCATGTATATTTGTATAAGGGCACACGTTGTATGTGTAGTGAGTCACTCAGAGACACCAAGAGTAGGATGCACCCTCTTTATTCTAGCTGTCACCGGCACAAGGAGTAACTACTCTGGTCAGGACGGTTGACAGGCTGCCTGAGCAGCGACCCCGAGGAGGTGAAGACGGTGACAGAGACTCGTGTAGCACGACGAGTTCCACTCCAAACAACAGCCGCCAACCTTGCTCGGGGTCCCCCTTGACTCCACGCAGCGCGGCCCCGCCCCCTCGGCCCCGCCCCCTCGCCCCGCCCCCTTCCAGGACCGACCAGAAGGTTCCCGGCTCCAGCCCACGTGTCCCTTCTGTCACCTTTGTCCCACTTGCCTCTCTCCGGCTCGTCACGTGACCCAGCGGCAGACGGGGCTGCTCCAACAGCAGAGATCCCCTTCTCTGCCAGCAGCCAGCGCTACGCGCCATAGTGACCCATTCCATGTCACTACACATGGAAAACGATGTGACGTGTCTAAGTGTGCATATGTGCATACATTACACACACATCCAATTGTTTATGTTTCAGATTGTTTATATGTGTGTGTGCACCTACTTGGTGTCTACATATGTGTATATTGCAGTGCAAATTACATACATACATATACACTGGAGCTTTGGAGTCCACCTTATTTAAATGTGTGTTTATACACCAGCCTACTTGTACAAGTGTTCACACGTGCACTTGTGAATGTGTGTACACATGTCCTTGTGTATGAAAATGTACACACACTCACGCATGCTCACACACATTCACTAACAAACACTGACACTCCTATAGAACACAGGAGAGGAGGAACTCCTCGTTCGAGATTCCTCGACCCGAGCTCGCCTCGTCTCCCCAGTACTCAAAGTCCCGACACCACCCCTGACCCTGCCCCCCAAACCCACCCAGACTCTGCTCCCCAAACCCACCCTGACTTTGCCCCCCAAACCCACCCACACCCTGCCCCCAAAACCGACCCACACCCTGTCCCCCAAACCGACCCACACCCTGCCCCCCAAACCCACCCACACCCTGCCCCCCAAACCGACCCAGACTTTGCCCCCCAAACCCACCCAGACTCTGCCCCCCAAACCCACCCAGACCGTACCCCCAGCCCCGGCCCTGCCCCCGAAGGTGCTGCCCCTGGGCAGGCGGTTCCGTCCCATCGGGGCAGACTCCGGGTGCGGAGTGGAGGGCGACGAGGCAGGGGACGCCCTCTACTCCACGGTGCGCGGGTTCCGCCGGCCGCTGCCCCGCGTCCCGCCCGCTCGGCAGGTGCGACCCGGCGCGGTGCAGGCCGGCACGGCGCGGCGCGGCGCGACCCGGCGCGGCGCGACCCGGCGCGGCGCGACCCGGCGCGACCCGGCGCGGGCCGGCACGGCGCGGCGCGGGCCAGCGTGCGTCGTTACTCCCCCGGTGGGGGCCCCTCGGGACTCGGTGGCTCTGGGGGAGAGGGGTGGTCATAGTGGGCGTGTCGGGGACACCGAAACGGTATCTGTGGGGCACCACGGTGGCAAGATGTTAACGACCTCGCCTGGTGTACAGGAAGACGTGGGTTCGATCCCGACCCTTGCCATGATCGCGTGGATCTCTCTCTGGGTCCTCCGGAAGCCGCCGCTTCGTTGAGATTCTGAAAAAGAGGAGCCACACAGCTCAGTGGGCCTTAGCTGGTAAAATAAAAATGGTTTTTAGTTTCGTGTTTCTTGTGCACGTGCAGCCCTCATGTCGATCCACTGCTGAACGAGGAGTGCCTTCTCACGCCGTGCAGGTCAACAGACTGAACACCCAGAGCAGTTCTAGATAAATTTGATTTCATTTTGACTTAAAACTTTCTTGACTGCGGGAATTCATATTCTTTGGTTCTTTCGGTAAAGCCACGTAGATAGAAAAATATAATAATACAAAAAAAAGTTACTAAAACACAAGCGATCGTCATCAGGCTAACCCCCTTTTCATGATGACGACTGCTTGTGTTGCGATGGAAACGTGGTTTTTATAATTTATATTTAATTTATTTATTATTGTTGTATTTTTCTATGTACGTGACTTTACCGAAAGAACCAAAGAATATGAAATTAGTTTTCAATTTCGATTAAAAGTGCACAGCTCCAGTGGCTTCCAAATATCCCGACAACTTCTCCAGTGCGGTCACAAGTTCCCACAGCTCACGTCCACAGTGGCTCCTCTCCATACAAACACAACATTCTGCCTTGTCCCCCTGTGCTAACGTTCTGTTTCATCTTTCTCCCACGCCTGTCCCACACTCCCCACGATGCATGTGGAGTGCTGCCTCTCACGTGGACGTTTTCCCCTACCTCTCCACCCACCTGCCCTCGTGTGATTTTCCTACCGATGACAAATGTCATGTTTCCCGGACGCATGCGGATATAACAAACACGTGGTCAATCCTTGTCGTGATCCTCCTGCAACCGTAAACCCGATCCCCACGATGCATCGAGGGGCCACAGGCAACTCCCGCGGTTAAGGGAGAAGAGGAGCAAGAGAAGCGTGAAGAGGAAGAAGAGGAGGAGGCCCACAGTGACCCGGCAGTGGTGGGCATCACGGGCCCTTGTGACGTCACAGGCCGTGCGACCTCCACGGCGACCAATCGCGTGAGAGACGACGACGACAGCGGAGGTGGCGCGGGGGCGACTCTGAGGGCAGCGCGGCACGCGGCCGCGGCGCGGAGCGCGGAAGACGTCGATCTGCTGAGCCCCAGTGACGGGGGCCTCGCCCCCCCGGGCAGCTCGCGGCCAAAGAGTCCCTGGGCAGTGTTCGATCCCTACGACACCCTGGAGGTATTTGGCTGCCAGTGTGTTTGTGTGCGTGACGAACGCGGGGAGCGGTCGTGTAGCAGCAGTTCGTGTACTGGGTTATGAACCCGGCAACCCGAGTTCAATTCCCGATTATGGCCACCAACACCGGTGACGATTATCTGAACCGGTCCTGGGACTCCCCTAGGTTGACTCAGCCTCAAATAAGTACCTGGTGCGGTGTGTAAATATGAGCACAAGAGAGACAAAGGTGACCGGGCGTGGTGCTGGCCACCCACCCCTCGTGTGCTGTGCCGCCCTGCATAGGTGCTGCTGCTCGCTAACAGCACCTTCGCAACAATCTGTGAAACGGCTGCACGGGGAGTCTTTGTCTCCGTGTCCCAGCCGGTGGGGTCGTGCACTTGGCTACGAATCCTGGCCACGGAAAACAGCAGTGACAACTGCTGTATATCTATACCAGTTCTGGGCCTCCCCTAGGTCGACCCAGCCTGAAATAACTACCTGGTGCGGTGTGTAAAATTCAGCACTGGGGAGACAAAGGCGGCCGTGCGTGGTGTTGTCCACACCTCCGCTTTGTGTGCTGTGTCGTCCTTAATAAGTGCTTGCTAACAGCACTTGCCCCTAAAGCCTATGGAAATATGGCGGATGTATGTATACGTCCAATGGTATCAATTGTTAATGCGTTTCAGATGAGGAAAACAATCTGATTATTAAGGACCGTCAATTTTTTCGTATGTTCGGGTCATTTAACCGCACTGATTCGCGATGTTGTGGGCAGGCACTGCCAATCGAGCTGAGGAGCTCAGCGCACTGCAAGGGGCCCTTGAAGACCCTCAATATTAGTACCGTGCGTAGCCAACTGCGCTCACTACCTCGCCTGGTGTGCAGGAGGTCGTGGATTCAATCCCGACCCTGACGCCTGTATATTTGGAGTTTGCATGTCTCTCTCTCCCCGTGGTGGCGTGGATCTTTCTCCAGGTCCTCCGGTTTTCCCCTCCACATTTAGAATCAACACCAGCACGCGTTCAGAGTGTTTGGCTGCTATAATTGTCCACTTGATAAGCCACTTCGCTGCGCTACCGTCTGTGATGGGCAGGTCGCTGCTGATCAAGAGCTCCGTGGCTCAGTGGGGGCCTCTCCTGCTAGAACACAAGTTGGGTGTTAGTTTAGCTCGAGTCGGAATCTTATGTAGATGCCCTCTTCGACACGGCCGTCGTGCCGTGCCTCCTCCGGCGTGACAGCCGTGCCAATGAGCACCGCCGACCCCCCCCCCCCCCGCCCCCGGGTGGAGGGCGACATTCACGGGGACACGGGGGGGTGGGGGACCCGAGTCGGCCGCACCGGGAGATCGATTGCAGTGGAAAAGCAAAACAAGGTCGCCGCAACGATTCCCGATGCGATGGTCGCGCTCTGCTGCTGCTGCGCCCTCCGCGTGCGGTAGTCGAGGCCCGAGGGCAATGGCTGCCCTTCAAATATTGGAGAGAAACACAAACGCAACGCATTCGTCAATAACACCGCTGTGTGTGGCCTTACAAGTGTCTATGTAAATAACGGGGGATGATTCGAGCAATTATCTTATTGTGCATGATGGCAGCAGCAGCGATGTGGTTCAGGAGTTCAGTGCCAATGTCGAGATCTGCTGCTGCTGCTGTCACGACGAGAGGCCTTGAGCAGGGAGAGAGTTCGTCTCCTGCCGCTGTTCCTGCTGCTGCTGCTGCGTTGATGGAGCGCAGAGCGCAGTGGGGTCACCGTGTGGGTTTAGCGCAGTGGGGTCACCGTGTGGGTTTAGCGCAGTGGGGTCACCGTGTGGGTTTAGCGCAGTGGGGTCACCGTGTGGGTTTAGCGCAGTGGGGTCACCGTGTGGGTTTAGCGCAGTGGGGTCACCGTGTGGGTTTAGCGCAGTGGGGTCACCGTGTGGGTTTAGCGCAGTGGGGTCACCGTGTGGGTTTAGCGCAGTGGGGTCACCGTGTGGGTTTAGCGCAGTGGGGTCACCGTGTGGGTTTAGCGCAGTGGGGTCACCGTGTGGGTTTAGCGCAGTGGGGTCACCGTGTGGGTTTAGCGCAGTGGGGTCACCGTGTGGGTTTAGCGCAGTGGGGTCACCGTGTGGGTTTAGCGCAGTGGGGTCACCGTGTGGGTTTAGCGCAGTGGGGTCACCGTGTGGGTTTAGCGCAGTGGGGTCACCGTGTGGGTTTAGCGCAGTGGGGTCACCGTGTGGGTTTAGCGCAGTGGGGTCACCGTGTGGGTTTAGCGCAGTGGGGTCACCGTGTGGGTTTAGCGCAGTGGGGTCACTGTGGCGGTCACTCGTGTGGGTGCCATGTTCACAGTCGCACTGCTGTGGCTTGTCTACATAATGGACCTCTATGGGTCTCTTTGTATCTCTATGGGTCTCTATGTGTCTCTATGTATCTCTGTGTATCTCTATGTGTCTCTATGTATCTCTATGGGTTTCTATGTATCTCTATGTATCCATGTATCTCTTTGGGTCTCTGTGAGCCTCTGTATCTTTGTGTGTCTATGAGTTTATTGTACGGGTCCGTAGTTTGGGTTGCGTGGCCACAATCGCACTCCATTCGGTTTGTGTCTTTAATTGTTGCATTCACGAAGGAGACGTGCGCATCGGCCTGCTGACGATGTTCCGATGAATTGGTCGATGCTTCCACCGCTGTCTTCAGCGGGGAATGGTACAAGCAAGAGGCGGGGGGGGGGGGTGGTGATGTTTGCGTCTCGAATGAGGAGTTCATCCCGGACGTCCGCGTCGCTCCAAGTGCAGTGGCCCCTCGGGATTCGGGCAGTTCTTCATCGCACACAGAGAGAGAGAGAGGCCCATGGGTAGTAAGAGTTGGAGTAAACATTGATAATCACCCAGTGTAGGGTAGTCACAACTCCAGTCCTCCTGGCGCCACCACCACCACCAAGCTGCTCCGTCGTTCCGCGTTTACCAATTTACTCGTCCCCATTGACATACAACGTGACTCGCCTCACTCGTCTCGCGCGACACGCGCATGATAATTGTTAAACACGCCCCGTGTAACACGCTAAGCAATTACCGCTACTTTTGTTAAGAGGACCGATTCAAATTAAGATTGAGATCTCGGTGCGTGTACACGTGTGTGTGTACGCGTGTGTGTGTACGCAGACAGAGGACAACGTTCAGAGACCCACAATTCTTAAATAAACTATCTGAAAGTAATTATCATGATAGCAATATAAATAAAAGACATGATGAATAGAAGTGAGGCTCAAAAAGTAAACAAAACGGACCAAACCGGTAACAGTACAAACCACGCGGCGAAACGTGGCCAACGATGTTTGACTCTTGGATGGCGTCGCGACAACAAAACCACGAAGATTCAGAATGGCCACTCCCTGCCTGGCCAACTGACTGCGTGACAATGCGGCTGATTTAACGCGGCTTGCCTCACTGCTGTGTCTTGTCTGACACACGCGTGCACACACACACGTACACACACACACACGCGTACACACACACACGTGTACACACACACGTGTGTACACACACACGTGTGCACACACACACGTGTGCACACACACACGCAGGATCATGACAAGGAATATGTTGGCTTTGCCACACTCCCCAACCAAGTCCACCGCAAGTCCGTGAAGAAAGGCTTCGAGTTCACGCTGATGGTGGCCGGTGAGTCGTCCTCCTGCTTCTCCTCTCAGCTGTTCTCCGGGCGCTGGGTGGGGGGCGAGTGGGGGGCGAGTGGAGGGCGGACGGGCGGGAGTGTCGGGAATCTCGGGATCGATGGAAATGACTTGAGGCTCGGGATGAGTTTGGGATTCACAACATTTCGGTTTTGTCCGAATTTAAACGACAATTTCAGGTAATTAACGAAGTCAACGAGCAGTCAACGCGCGTCTGTAGCATGTTTCAGACTTGATGCCTTGCAATATTCACTCCTGCTCCCCCCTGCTCATCGATGCCCACCCTCTGCTCCCCCCTCCTCCTCTGGCCCCTGCTCCCCCCTGCTCCCTCCTCCTCTGGCCTCTGCTCCCCTCTGCTCCCCCCTCTTCTCCTCTGGCCTCTGCTCCCCTCTGCTCCCCCCCCTCTTCTCCTCTGACCCCTGCTCCCCTCTGCTCCCCCTCTCCTCTGGCCCCTGCTCCCCTCTGCTCCCCCTCTCCTCTGGCCCCTGCTCCCCTCTGCTCCCCCTCTCTTCTGGCCTCTGCTCCCCTCTGCTCCCCCCCCTCTTCTCCTCTGACCCCTGCTCCCCTCTGCTCCCCCTCTCCTCTGGCCCCTGCTCCCCTCTGCTCCCCCTCTCCTCTGGCCCCTGCTCCCCTCTGCTCCCCCTCTTCTGGCCCCTGCTCCCCTCTGCTCCCCCCTGCTCCCCCCTGCTCCCCTCTGCTCCCCTCTGCTTCTCCCTCTCTTCTGGCCCCTGCTCCCCTCTGCTCCCCTCTGCTTCTCCCTCTCTTCTGGCCCCTGCTCCCCTCTGCTCCCCTCTGCTCCCCTCTGCTCCCCCCCCTCTTCTGGCCCCTGCTCCGCAGGCGAGTCGGGCTTGGGGAAGTCGACCCTCATCAACAGCCTCTTCCTCACCGACCTCTACCACGAGCGCGTGCTGCTGCCCGCTGACGGCAAGAGACGCCACCGCACACAGACAAAGCTTCCCCATATAGCCTCCGGACAGACTGCTGGGGCAAGTGCTGTTAGCGAGTAGCACCTGTGAAGGCCGGCACGGCACACACGGTGGGTGGCCAACACCAAAACCGGCCGCCTTCGTCTCCATAGTGGTGATGTTTACACGCCTCACTGGGTACTCGTTTGAGGCTGAGTCGACCTAGGGGAGGCCCAGGACCGTTTCAGATAATCATCACTGGTGTTGGCCGTGAGCGGGAATCGAACTTGTCGCCGGGTTCATAGCGCAGTGCGCTAACCGCTACACAGTGTAAACACACGCACACACGTGCGCACACACGTGCACACGCACGCACACACGTGCACATGCGAACACACAACAAACACGGGAGCTGAACAGTTCCTAAATAAGCTCCCGTACGGCACGTGGAAGGAAACGTCGGACATCGTGCCGAACAAAGTAGCAGAGGCGTGCTGATCCGCACCGAGCGCTGTAGTTGGAGGATCCTCACGGATTACCTAGTCGGCTGCCGTCACGAAACTTGCACCTGGGTTGGATTCCCAGGCACGGCTAACGTCAGTGGCGGGCGCCATCGGAACCGGTTGGTCCCGGTTCCCTCACCACCCTTCCGTCATCAAGCCGCACGGAACAGCGTGACCGTGGTGGTGAAGTATGGTCCACTAATCGGAGATCATTCAATCCCCTTCTGGGATAGTGCTGCTGCTGCTGTCACCGTCCGAGTCTCACCCGCACCTCCGATGAGCGCGGTTGGCCGTGTGGGGCCTCCGCGTGGGGCCTCCGCGTGGGGCTTCCGCGTGGGGCCTCCGCGTGAGGCCTCCGCGTGGGGCCTCCGCGTGGGACCACTGCGCTGGGCCACTGCGCTCCGTGACGGCGAGGTCTCCTCCACCGCAGAGCGGATCTCGCGCACGGTGGAGATCTTGCGGCGCACCCTGGAGATCGAGGAGAAGGGCGTGCGACTGCGCCTCTCCCTGGTCGACACCCCCGGGTTTGCCGACGCCATCGACAACACGGAGTGGTGAGTTGCGGGTGGTAAGGAGGAGGAGGTGGTGGTGAGGGGACTTAATAATGACACTTTCATTTTATGTAGCGTCATCTCATGCCAACAACATGTCTCGTTGTCCTTCCCCACACTTCCTGTTAGCATGTTTGGCTTTGCACGGTGCAAAAGAAGTTTAACATACATTCCCGCTCACGGCCAACATCGGCGACGAATGTCCAAGCTGGTCCTGGGCCTCCCCTACGGGGAGTCGGCCTTAATCTGAGCGCCTGGTGCGGTGTGTCAAACATCAGCAACGGGGGGAGACAAAGGCGGCCGGGCGTGGTGCCGGTCACCCACCCCTTCGTGCGCCGTGCCAAGCTTCATAGGTGAAACTCGCTAACAGCACTTGCCCCAACGGTCTGTTGAAGGCCACACGGGGGATCTTTGTCTTTGTTTGAGCAGTTGGCAGCCGGTGGTGGAATACGTGGAGGAGCAGTTCGAGTCGTACTTCCGTGAGGAGAGCGGCCTCGACCGCAAGAGCCTGCAGGACACGCGCGTCCACTGCTGCCTCTACTTTATCTCGCCCTACGGGCACGGGTGAGCACGGCTCCCCACGGGGACGGGTGAGCACGGCTCCCCACGGGGACGGGTGAGCACGGCTCCCCACGGGGACGGGTGGGCACGGCTCCCCACGGGGACGGGTGGGCACGGCTCCCCACGGGGACGGGTGAGCACGGCTCCCCACGGGGACGGGTGGGCACGGCTCCCCACGGGGACGGGTGAGCACGGCTCCCCACGGGGACGGGTGGGCACGGCTCCCCACGGGGACGGGTGGGCACGGCTCCCCACGGGGACGGGTGGGCACGGCTCCCTACGGGGACGGGTGGGGATGGCGCTCCCCACGGCGCTCCCCACGGGGACGGCGCCCGCGCTCCCCACGGTGATCGTGGCGGCGGTGGTTGCGGCGGATACGCGACACTTCTGTCACCTCCACTGCCGGGATGAGACCGGTGCCCAGGGCCGCGGGGCTCGTGGTGGCTGTCGTTCCCCGTTGCCTTGACCGCTGCCGCGCTGTCCCAGGCTGAAGCCGCTGGACGTGGAGTTCATGAAGGCGCTGCACAACAAGGTGAACATCGTCCCCGTCATCGCCAAGGCCGACACGCTCACCATGCGGGAGAGGGAGACGCTCAAACGCAGGGTGATGCCTCGCTCGCTCGCACGGACAATGACAAACATCCCCGTGTTGCCTCGAACAGACGCTTGGGGGAAATGCTGATACCGAGTAGCACCTATGAAGGCCGAGCATGGCGCACGGGGGGGGGGGGGGGGTGGCCAGCACCACGCCCGGCTGCAATTTCTACACGTGGCACCGGGTACTCATTTGAGACTAGGGGTACTCGTTGAGCGGGAATCGAACCCCTGATTACGTACATAAGACATCTACCCTTGACGGGCTGTAGGGGCAAGTGCTGTTAGCGAGCACCTGTGAAGGCCGGCACGGCACACAATGGGGTGAGTGGCCAGCACTGCTACACTGCCGCTCCCCACATGTGCATGTACACGTAATTATACACAAACACAGTGCTATACATATAGTATATACAGTGCTATACATATAGTATATACAGTGCTATACATATAGTATATACAGTGCTATACATATAGTATACACACACACCTTGCTCAAGAAACCTGTCAACGTGTATCTATTGTTATTTCACCTTCAATTGTGCAGTTTGTTGCTGGCTGCTTTGGGCCTCTCCTCAGCAACTGTAAATTTGACGACAGAAGTGGGAGTGAGAGCCTCCCCTAACACCCCTAATCACCCCCCCTCCCCCAGCACCACCTATGACCCCACTCTTCCATCGGATCACGCAACCGTACGATCGCCCCTTGGTCGATGCCGATGTTCGCCCTCTCCCAGGTGCAAGAGGAGCTGAGTGAAAACGACATCAAGATCTACCAGTTCCCGGAGTGCGACTCGGACGAGGACGAAGAGTTCAAGAGGCAGGACGAGGAGCTGAAGGTGTGTGCCGGGAGGCCGGTGGAGCAGATCACATCGTCCTCATCGTCGTCATCGCCCTCATCGTCGTCATCGCCCTCATTGTCACAACCATCCATCGCCGTCATCGTCGCCATCGTCGCCATCCCTCGCCGCAAATCCGTCTAAACTAAACGATAAACTATTTTTATTTCACCAGGTAAGGCGCACTGAGCTATGTAGCTCTTGTTCAGAAGCGACCTGGCCACAAATGATAGCCCAACGAAGTGGCTTATCACGTGGAAATGTATAGCAGCTAAATATTGATATTGATTCTAAATGTGAAGGGGAAAATGTGGAGGACCCGGAGAGAAATCCACGCGACTACGGGGAGAACACGCAAACTCCAAATATACAGCAGCAGGCGTCAGGGTCGGGATCGAACCCACAACCTCCTGCATACTGGGCGAGGTAGTTAACATCTTGCCACCGTGTCTCACGCCTACGAAGGAATGGATCTCATTGCTCCGTCTACGAGCTGTGTGCAACGCAACCCGGCAGTGGGAACAATATCGTAGTCCGGAGTCGCCTGCGTAGGGTTCGCAAAGCGGCACGAACTCGCTCTGCTGAAGCCCTCTTGTCGTGACAGCAGCAGCAGCAGACTCCGACTTTGGCATCGAGCTCCTGAACCACATCGCTGCTGCTGCTGTCGCACGCGAGAGCAGAATGCGGCAGAATGGTGGGAATGGGTTTGGGGAACAAACCTTGACTGTTCTGGAGTGGCTGTGTGTGTAGGTGGGGGGTTAGCTCCACTGCGCTATGAACTCATGAACTCGGCGATCCGACTCAAATGACGACCTGGTGTGGTGTGTAAACATCACAAGGGAGACAAAGGCGGCCACGAGTGGTGCTGGCCACCCACCCCCTCGTGTGCCGTGCCGGCTTTCATAGGCACTACTTGCTAACAGCACTTGCCCCCAGAGTCTGTTAAGGCTACATGAGAGACCTTTGTCTGTGTGCGTGCGTATTTGCGCGTGTCCCCGTGCTCTCTAGGCCAGCATCCCATTCGCAGTGATTGGTGGCAGCGCGGTTGTGGAGGCTTCAGGGCGCCGGGTGCGCGGCCGCCTCTACCCATGGGGAATCGCCGAGGGTGAGGACGGCGTGGCTCTACACATCTGCAGCGGTGCGAGGGCTGCGGTGTGACAGCTGTCGGTTGATGGCCGGGGTGTGACAGATGTGGCTTGGCAGCCTATCCCCGTGTTTCCCCTCTCTGTGCCCCCCCCCCCCGCCGCCGTGTCCCCTTGCGGAGCAGTGGACAGCAGCGAGCACTGCGACCTGGCGAAGCTGCGCACGATGCTGATCCGCACGCACATGCAGGACCTGAAGGACGTGACGCGTGACCTGCACTACGAGGAGCACCGCGCGCGCTGCATCCAGCACATGACGCGCGTGGCCACGCGCACGCGCAGGTACGCGCTCGGGCACACGCCACGCGCACGCACGTGCTCAGGCACACACGCGCATGTGCGGGCACGCACAGGTACGCACAACCGGTACACGCGCGCATACGCAGGTACCTGCACGCACACAGAGGTGGGTACGCGCACGCGCCGGTACACGTAGATGCAAATAGACAAAGATTCCCCTTACAGCCTCAGTAGACTTTTGAGGCAAGTGCTTAGTGAGCACCGACGAAGGCCGGCACGGCCACATTGCGGGTGGGTCGTCAGCACCACGCCCCGCCGCTTTTGTCTTCCAAGTGGCGATGTTCACAGACCGCACCAGGTGCTCATATTTGAAGCCGAATCGTAGCTGGTGTTTGCCGTGAGCGGGAGTTGAACTCGGGTCACCGGGTTCGTACCCATGCCTATCATGTCCGCCCCCGCCCTCTCACCCCCCCCCCCCCCCCCGAGGCAGCAAGCTGTCCCGCGAGAGCGTCGTGGACTTCCCCACGCCCATCGTGTCGGGCCTAGCGGGCCGGGCGGACGCGCTCATCCGGGCCAAGGAGCAGGAGGTGAGAGAGAGGCACAGGGAGGAGCCGCGCGATGGCCGCCCCAGTGAGGGGGGTGCAGGGGGGCTAAGATGCCCCCCCCCCCCTTTTAATTTGCGAGCCGCGTTTTTAAATAACAGCACGTGCAGCGGTGGCTGCTCGCCAATGGCAGCGACGGGCACACGGCTGCGTGCTCCGTTGCACGGATGTCACGTGACCCCCACCCCCCATGCCACGTGGCATGGGGGTCACGCCCCCATGCCACGATGCATGCACAACGCTCTCGGCCTTGTCGAGACCAGCACCAACCCCGGTGCGTGCTGGTCGTCTTGTGTCGGTGGTCTCCGGCCCGCACGCGTTCTTCTCTCATTGCGATGGTTTTTTTCTTAATCATTTGGAGAAAGTTTTGCGTTTAACTTAAATCTGCATCCATATATTTACACACACGGACTATATATACATACACACGCAGCATATACACACTGTCTAGACATATGTGCAGACTGTAACCAATAGCTGCAAATGCAAAATCTATGATAAGGAAGCGACGTGTGTCGCTGGCCGGGCGAGGTTCTGACCACAACGATGCCCGTGGCCGGCCTTAATAGGTGCTTGCTAACAGAGCTTGCTCCCAACAGTCTCGGGCTACACAATGGCTCATTGTGTGCGTGTGTGTCCACAGCTCGCCCGCATGCAGGAGATGCTGGCTCACATGCAGAACAAGGTTCAGGCCCAGTCGACTCAGTCATCAACATAATCCAGCTGTGTCAGGCGAGGTCCACGATCATTCCGTCCCGTTGCATCAAAACACCCCGAGGATTCTCCCCTGCGCTTGTCCAACCGAGTTGCTTGCAACTGCTCACTCAAGCGTGGACCAGGATCGAGTGGAGCCCAAATCTTCATCTTCCCAAACACCTCCAAAGCCACGGTCGCTGAAAACCAAAACGTGATCGCAAACTCCGTGAACCCCACCGTATTTATTTACCAGTTTTCTCCCAATGCCGAAGAGATCCAATCGCAAATTTCACGCAACTGATTTTCATCACGGTCCCAACGATCTTCAAGTTGTCCATGTTTGCAGGAAAGCAACAACACATCCCCAATTGTCACCCTCCAATCTCAAACCAGTGGGATACTACAAAGTCAAAAGTTCAAGTTTATTGTCTTTAACAAGAATAACTCGAGAGGCCAGGATGGAGGAGTCTCGTTTGCAAGCGTGATGACCTGGGCCACCACAACGACAAACGCCATCGAGTCAAATGAAGCAAAGAAGCACAGCCAGGAAGAGGGGCCATTGCCCAAAATGTTGCCCATTATACTTTTTCATTGCCAGGCCACGGTGTTATTGACGAACGTGTTGAGGTTTTTTTGTATTTTTGCACCACTGCCAACGCAGCAGCATCACCAAATAATGTCTCTTTCATAGACGAATTCAGTTGGGTTTGGGTTAAACGTTCATTGTCCTGGGCCACCGGCCTTCACATCTTGCACTCAGCCTGCGCGAACATCCGCACGGTCATCTCATAACGGGGGTGTCACTGTGCAAGTGTGTCAGAATGAACGATTGTCGCGGTGTTCTGCAAGTTGATTGTGTAACCAGAGTGAGAACTCGAGACCAAGTTTACTTTGAAGGCGTCGGGGGGGGGGGGGGGGGGGGGCCCACACGGCGTGATTTTCCCCGCGCCCCTCCCGATGGACGGCCCTGCCTGCCCGCCCGCCCCCAAAGTGCGTCACCACAGATGTGTCCCGTTGCTTCCCAGAACTCGGATACCACAAGTCCGGTCACGTTTGTGTATCCAGGAGAGGACTCACGAAACCAGGGCATGATCTCAATTTGCCAATTTCGAAAACTGAGGCCAGAAGTGACTAATTTGGGAGTCGTTGCTCCCTACTGACAGACTTTATCCTGGTCGCTTAAGTTCTCACATGCTTTAACAACAATCAACTTGAAGCTTTAAAAAAACAGTCTTCTCTCAATGAATCACCGAGTGTGCTGATGACCGCTAGCATCGCTTGTTCCCCATGCACAGACAGCCGAGCCAATCGTCATCAAGAACTCGCAACACCAACAGCAGCAGCCAGCCAGTCTGGAATACAGGCAACACACTTCGAGGAGTCGATGAGTGAAGTTCATGGTTCCTGCCAGAGGAATGTGGAATTTCCCCACCAAGGTTTCTGGGGCACGGAACGTATAACGGAGATGGGCGCTGCGTGACACACGTCACGAGTGGCGACACGTGCCGAAACATCTTAAATAGAGAATTCCGAGCTTTAATAGTGCGCTATATTCAACCTTTTCTAGAGTCCCCACACCTCCCTTGAATTCACGTTGCATTTACAAACCGCAGCGCTGCTTCAGCCACTCGTGCAGTGGAGCTTACGTCCGGCCCTAGTCCGTGCGAAATCATCAAATAGTCCCACCTTGGTGGTCAAGTGCAACTCGCATATATCCGACTCGCAGGAGACCGAGGTTTGGACGGCTTTATATACAGGCTGAAAAATCCAGATATGTGAACATCTGTGGCTATGCTACCACACAGCACAAACTGCTTTAAACACGAGACGGTGCTTTCCTGTTAGAAGCAAGCGACTATAATAACCATGACACTGCCACTTGCTGTCCGTTTCAATTGCATAGGACGTTAAAGATCTGGCAACATCATTCGCAAAAGAGTGGGCCCGTCGCATGCCAGCGTCGGGGTCCAAAGTGTGGGTACTCCCCCCGACACACCGGCAACCATCTGGATTTGCAAGTCTGGAACGTGACTCCCAAACGTTCACGACTTTTTAAACGTCCCTTCTGTTCGTGCGCGCTCCCCCGTGGCGCTCCCCCGTGGGCTCCCCCGTGGGCTCCCCTGTGGCACTCCCCTGTGGCGCTCCCCTGTGGTGCTCCCCCGTGGGCTCCCCCGTGGGCTCCCCCATGGCGCTCCCCCGTGGCGCTCCCCTGTGGCGCTCGTGGGCTCCCTGCGCCGATGTTCCCGGTCGTATTTTACCACAAAACAAATTCCAGCTGCTCCCCGGTCCCTGTCCGCCCCAGGCATCGCCGCACCTCGTCAGCGATGAGGTCGTTTGGGTGGCCACCTTGGGAGCCTGCACAGGTCCCGTTTTGGCCTTTGACCGTCACCACCCCCACCACAATAAAGGTTTTTACGGCAGGTCGCATAAATGTCGTTAACCCACCACCACCCGACACGGCCAATTAGTAAGGTTTGTCACGTAATCAAAACGTGTCAATTAGTTACTACTTCAGCACTACCACCACCAAGACAAAGATCCCCCGTATAGCCTTAATAGACTTGGGGCAAGTGCTGTTAGCGAGCGCCTATGAAGATGCACGAGGGGGTGGGTGGTCAACACCATGCCAGGCCGCCTTTGTTTCCCCAGTGGCGATGTTTACACGCTGCACCAGGTTATACAGTTGAGGCCGAGTCGATCTAGGGAAGGCCCAGTATCGGTTCAGATAATCGTCACCGGTGTTGGTACTTGAGTGGGAATCTCGGGTCGCTGCGTTCATAGAGCAGCATGGTAAACGTTCCACCAGTGATCCACCAGCGATCCACCACCGCTCTGAAGAAGGCCCATTGCCTGAAAGGTCACCTATTATAGTTTTCTGTTAAGGCCACACAGTGTTGTTATTGACCAATGTGTTGGGAGTTGTATTTTGTTGCTTGTGCACCGCTGCCAACGCAGCAGCAGCAGCAGCCGTCACATCACCAGGTATAATTTGTGGAATCTTGAGATGTAGTTGTATTGCGATCCCGCGCACGTGCGCCGTGCTAAAAGGCGGCAGAGGATTTAGGTTTTTGAAGACGTCACGAATCCAGCACTCCGAGGGCTCCCACGGAGATGCTCACGGACTGGCCTGTGGCCTGCGGTTGAGCAGACAAGCAGAGGGGGTGAGGGAAGGATTCACAATGAAACGGTTCGTTTCAATATGCAGTGTCTGTTAGTTATTATAATAAGTCTCGCAATTAGAAATCGGATATTGTACTGCTCTAATGTAAGCTGCATTGCGTTGAATACCCGGTAAGTAAGGGCAAATAGATCCCTCTGATAATAAATGTTTATGCTCATGACACAGAATGAATCGCGTGCGTGAAAATCACTTCTTTCCCTTTATGCAAATGATATGCAAATGTTACACTTCAAAATGCGTATTTATCGGAGAGGAAACCAATGAGCTATGAAGCTACTTTTTCACCGATGTCCACTGGGGGTGGGATCACCGAATTACATCAACAATACAAATCATGATACGAGTGCAAGATAGCGAAAACTAGTCACTAAAATATATATATAATGCATAGACACACAAATACACAAGTTCCTGCCGCGCTTGGGGCAAGGCAGCACAACAACAACAACGGTCTCAGACCGCACCAAGACCTGGGACTCCTGGGACAAACAGGGCAGATGGGACGTCTCGTGTGCATACACGCACCCTTGCCAAATGGAACGTTTCATCTTTAAGGAGTTATTCAAGCGAAGTAATGGAATAGCAACAACAACAATAATAATACTCCTCCAAGAGAGACGGGAGGAGGAACCGCAGATGAGCCGGCACCAAATTCCCCCGCCGAGCTCTGCGGTCCTCTATATATGAAGGTGTTACCAGCCAATCAACCGTCGTGCGCGACATGTGGAAGGAAACCAAAGCACCTGGGGAAACCCCACGCGTGCGAGGGGGAAACCCTCTATCCCTTCTAGACGCAACAGGTGGAGTCCACACTGTGCTGTAGCAGGCGAGCCAGGGTCGGGCTCCCGCTCGACACCCACCAACAAGGAGCTTCGTGACATCTTTGGGAGAGGGGACGGCTTGGCGATCGGGCGTTGGCAGTCCAAATGCTGGTTGGGGCGGGGATTGACTTAGCCCATCATCCCTCCAGGGTCGTTAAAGCGAGCACCACTTTGTATACTCGCTCCCGCCATAGGAACACAGATTGTTCCCGTTGAATGATGACATTATGCATGAATGTCACTTGTATACGTTTGCCGAAACACTCGTGTGTATTAGCGAATTAATTTAAGCCTCAAACAGTCCGGAATGCTGCAATGGTGACACTTGCGCCTCACAAGCAGGCCCAAGGTTCGATGTCCGTCTTCGTGCCTTTCTGTGGTGGAGTTTGAATGTTCTCCCCATTGTGTAGTGTGCGCGTGACTGAGAGTGTGAGTGGAGTTGGTGTGATCTCCCCCTGTTCTACAGAGTTGTATGTAAGTGTTGTGCAGTACAACCACGCGGAGACGAGGAATACTATAAGGGCTGTTGCCGTCTATTAAAACACTCTCACACTCGGCATCCTCCACCAGTGGAGGTGCACACTATCTCGCTCCTTCACCCCGACTTCACCCGGACACCGCTCCCCGACGAGGAGAGAGACCCTCTTCCAGCCGGTCCTTACCCCGTCTCCCCACGACGCCCCCGTCACGCGGTCCCCCTTAAGAACCCTTTGGGTGGCTCCTCCCCCCAGCTTGGCCTGTCCACGTTCCCGAAAGTGCTTTCCGAAAGCCCCTTGCGTAATCCGTGACGTCATCCGTGGCCCCGCGTGACTCTCAACATATGTATGGGACGCTTTTCATCTATGGGACCAGTGTCAAGATAATGACATTTTCTTCTATAGGCTTTACCGTTTCCGGCAAGAATACAGGTGTGTTCAAATGTTTCAACAACAAGTTCAACATACACGCACGTACATGCAAGCCCAGCCCTGACAGCGTTCTGGCAAAGACATCGAGCCAGACGCCAGGCCCTGCTCGTTTGCCCACCTGCCGCGAAGACTTGAGCAGCGTAGCGCGGCAGACGAGCGTGCCCCCCCCCTCACGGCCCCCCCCCTCACGGCCGCCCCCCCCCTCACGGCCGCCCCCCCCTCCTGCCCTCGCGCCGCCTCCTTGGCGCTCGCCCTCCCTCTCGAGCAGCACCCGCACGTTGGGCAGGAAGCTCCAGGCCCGGCCCAGGCTGGGCATGGGACGTCTTCCGTCCTCGCGCCAAACCCAGTTCGTCACCTGCGTGGGGATGGACGGCGTGGGGAAGGAGAGGGGAGGTTGCGCCGCCCCGGGGCCCGTCGTGGTTGTGTCGCGCGTCACTCGGCACGATGGCCCGTATTGAACCAGTCGTCCATTCTAGAATAAACGAATGAATGAATGCACTTCCTGCCACTGCGGTGAGACCATTACCAGCACTGCCAACGCGTGCTCCTTAGCGATCGACTTCAGCTCACGGCCGATGTGCATCAGCAACGCCAGTCCTGGGGGTGGCGTTAGGGCGGGAGAGCAGCAGAGCCACAGGGTCAAGGGTAGAAGGAATCACATTGGGCCCGAGATGACCGAGGAGTGAACCAGGCAAGGTTCAAACGCCACGTGCCGCTGTGACGACGGTGGTTTGTGCCGTGGTCGGGAGGTGAGAGAAACCGCTGCCCGTTGTGCAACTCAACCGTTAGGACGCGGCACCACGCGTCAGCAGGCACGAGCAGACAGACGGGGACGGACGACGGAGGAAACACGGATGGACAGAGAGACGAACAAAGACAGATTTAGAACAAATGGACAAGGAGAGACAGATGGGCAAATTTATGTAAACACAGACAGCTGAAGCAACTGGACAAATGAAAAAACAGTCACACGGACAGAGAGGCAAAAGCAGCAAACATGGGTTGGTGTGAAGCTGCCCCGGGGCTCATTTATGTACTCCATGGTGATGAGATGTTAACTACCTTGCCTGGTATACAGGAGGTCGTGAGTTTAATCCCGACCCTAATGCTTATATAGTTTGAGTTTGCACGTTCTCCCCGTGATCGCGTGGATTTATCTTCGATATTTCCCTCTACATTTAGAAATGGTGTAGCAGTGTGGTGTAATGGTGTGGTGTAGTGGTGAGGTGTAGTGGTACGGTGTTGTGGTGGAGTAGTGTGGTGGAGTGGTGTAGCAGTGTGGTGTAATGGTGTGGTGTAGTGATACGGTGTTGTGGTACGGTGTTGTGGTGGAGTAGTGTGGTGGAGTGGTGTAGCGGTGTGGTATAATGGTGTGGCATAGTGATACGGTGTTGTGGTGTGGTGTAGCAGGAGTAGCTGTGTGCGGTCGCGGTGCCGAGAGAATAGAACAGTTTAAAATGTTTTTGTCATTTGTCTAAAGCGTCCCAAGAAGTGATTTATCTGCAAAACATAACTGGCAGCCACGTGCGTCGTTACCGTCGTGGCGCTCCGTAGTCAGCACCGGCGTAATCACGGCCGCTACCGAGTCGATCACCAGCAGGCGCAGAACAGAGGAGTCTGCGCCCCCCGAGGCAGGTGTCACCGGCACCTGCCGCGGCACGGTGCACGGAGCCGCCTGGTCACTCGGCTGCACTGGGCGAGGCACAGGCTCCGCAAGGCAGGACAGGCCTACTCAACGCGTTTGTCAGCCTTAAAAGAATAAAAATATATATAATAACAAAGTTTTGGGCTCTGGCCATTCTTCGTAGCATATACTATTTTTAAAATGATGTATATTTTTGCTATCAAATATGCAGTATTATTGTATGTGACGTGTTCTAGTAGCCTTATATTTGGTGATGGACGACCATGTCATTCCCAACCTAACACATTGTTTTTTTTGTGTGTTTTTACTGTAACCATGTTTTTGTGGTGTAACCAACTCCCGTGAATGTGGATTACTTGCCATCCCAATCTCTAAGAGGCGTCATACAACAACAACAACGGACGGCGGAGGAGGAGCCATGTGCACAACAAGCAGAGCGCCGGGCGAATAAAACTCAGCAAGGCACAGTAGGGGGTGCAGGTGGTGCATCTGCTAGCAATCTAAACGAGTCAAACCATGGCACCTGGGTCTGTCCCATGACCTCCTGCTAGCAGCGGGCCTTCGACATTTCACGTGGCCTCCAAATGCACCTAGCCTGGCACAAGCACCGTGGCGACGTCACCACAGCGTCGTGGTGAAGGGCGGCTGTAGTTGCGTGCGTTCGTGAGTGCGTGCGCGCGTGCCTGTGTTCCCAGCCGGGCCCGCAGGTCCTGCAGCAGATCCAGGAGAGCGAATGCGTCGAACACGCGCGCCACCTGCACGCGCTGCAAAGCCGCCACCTGCACACGTCGGCGACAATCACTCTCATGACAACAACTCAGCAGCACGCTGAGAGAGTAGCGTATTCTCGGTGCGATCCGCGAACCCCCCCTCCAAAATGTTAAGATGCGAGCCACGCCCGACCGTGCCAATGCGTCGCCGGGACTCTGCGCTGTCCCGTGATGTGGAATGCTGCACCAGACTCTGCCCTGCCAATTATGTTTTTGTTGTGCCGTGCTATGTTGTGGTGTGCCCATGCGGTGCCAGTCCGTGTCATGCCATGGCACGTTTTGCCACGACATGGCGTTTCTTGGTGTGCTGTCCCGAGACTGACTGTGCCGTGTCGTGCCGCCCGGCACACCTGGCTCGCCCCGGAGTCTGGCGTCTTCCCCTGCACCATGGCGAGCAGACGGGAGGCGAGGCACCCGGCCGCCCCCCCGGCCATCACCAGCATCACGGCTTGGCCCAAGTCGCAGGCCACGGTGACCGCCACGCTCAGGCACACCTACATGCCGTGGGGAGACGCGCGGGGAGACGCACAGGGAGGAGACGCGTGGAGAAACACGCACGGGGAGATACATGGGGAGATACAAGGGGCGACGCAGGAAAAGACAAATGGAAACACGGGGAGACACGGAGGGACATAGGAAAGTACAGGGAGGTACGGGGAGACACGAGGGGAGACAGAGAGACATGGTTCACACTTGCCCTTCACTGTGGCCGGCTGTGGTGTTGCAGATTGTGATGTGGCCGAAAGTGGTGTGGCAGAATGTGCCGTGGCAAGCTGTGGTGTGGCTTAATGTGCCATCGCAGGCTGTGGTGTGGCAGCATCGAGTGTAACAAGGTGTGCCGTGGCCATGTGTGTCGTGGCAGGCTGTGCCGTGGCAGGATGTGCCGTAGCAGGCTGTGCCATGACAGGATGTGCCGTGGCCATGTGTGCCGTGGCAGGATGTGCCGTGGCAGGATGTGCCGTGGCAGGCTGTGCCGTGGCAGGTTGTGCCGTGGCCATGTGTGCCGTGGCCGGCTGTGCCGTGGCAGGATGTGCCATGGCAGGATGTGCCGTGGCAGGATGTGCCGTGACAAGACCTGTGTCTTTCCCGTGGCCGGTCCTCCTGCCAGCTCAGTGAGCTCTCCCGTGTAGAGCCCAGAGTCAAGCAGGGAGTCCAACCTGAGACCAGACACACGGGGGGGGGGGGGGGGGGTCACAGCACAGTATAGCCCACACTCCCTGCTGCATCACGCCCCCGTGCGCTGTGTCACCTGCCGCACCTCGCCCCCGTGCCGTGTGTCACCCACGTCATTCGTGTGTCACCCACGTCACTGTGTCCATGCCATGTGTGTGTGTGCCACCCCTGGCATGAGCTCCCTGCTACGTGGGAACCCCGAGCAGGGACTTTTAATTCCTCACTCAGAAATTCTCTGGAAACAGCTGCGAGGCTGACTTGGCAGTAGGGATTATCGGCACAAGGCACTACCACTAGAATACGAGGTACGCCTCTTGATATTAATCCTATAATGGTCGCGGCATGCCGAAATACAACCATCTGGGCAGCGCAATGCAAGAAGTTTGCACGTAGAGGAAGACCTGATGCAGGCGGTGCGGAGGAAACTGGTACTATTTGGACACATGTAGTATGGACACTAACAGGAAGATTAAAAGTGTGTTGTTCGGAAAAATGGAAGGAACCGGAAAGAGAGGAATAACCCAACAGAGAATGGCTTCATGACCACGTCAGACATTGGTGCCAGAAAGATGTGGCACTACTTGAGCATATTGGCACAAGACGGGCTGTCTGCCCCATAGACCGTGATGTCGATCGTGATGATGAGAGCCTAAATTATTCTCGCAGGACAGTGTTGCGGACAGCTCCGGAGCGTGCCGGCCGCGGTGCAGCGCTGACCGCGAGCAGCCCGTGGGCAGGATGGCCGTGCACGACAGCAGCTCCTCGTAGGCGTCCGCCGCGCTGCTCGGGAACGCGGCGAACTGCGCCAGCAGCACGCGGCGCACGGCACGCAGAGTCTGCAGCACACGCAACAGGGGCGAAGGTCCCCCCCCCCCCGTGCATAGCCTTCAACGGACTGCTGGGGCTAATGACGTAAGCTAGCGGCGCGTGTGAAGGCCGGCACGCCACGTGGAGAGGGTGGGTCGCCAGCACCACGCCTGGCCGTCTTTGTCTCTTCCAATGCCGATGTTTTTTCACACATAACCAGCTAATCATTTAAGGCCGAGTCGACCTAGGCGATGCCCAAGACAAGGTCAGATATTTGCTGTGAGCGGGAATCGAATTCGGGTCGCTGGGTTTATAGCAAAGTGCGCTACCGCTCCCCATGCGTACACACTCGCACGCACGCACACACAAAGATCCCCCGTATAGCCGAAACAGACTTTTTGGGCAAGTGCTGTTAGCGAGCACCTTTCAAGGCCAGCACGGTATACCAGGTGGTGAATGCCAGCACCACGTCTGACCGCCTTTGTCTCCCCAGTGGCGATGTTTACACACCTTACCAAGTACTCATTTGAGGCTGAGTCGACCTAGGGGAGCCCCAGGAACGGTTCAGATATTCGTCACTGGTGTTGGCGGTGAGCGGGAATCGAACTCGAGTCGCTGCGTTTGTATTGCAGCACGCTAACCGCTACACATGCACGCACAAGCACTGATACGCACCCACAATTGCAAACATGCACGCACAAACATGTTACAATGCTTTACTCTTAACGTTTGGAACACATTCAACATTTCCAACTTTGTACATTTGTTTTTTTTTTATCTTGTAAAAATGTTCCCGAATTGTGCTACTGGTGTCAAATCATGAAGAATCCATTCAGATTTCTCACTCAGCAAGGTACAGCATGGCCCATGTAAGCGGATATCACAGAACTACTTCTGATATCCCTTCAAGTGACCTCCGGTCCCCACAGCAGAGGCCAGCACCTTCTGTCACCCACTCTGCCACTGAGAGCCATGCTCGTCGCATGGACAGTCAAACCATTACTCGAATTCGAGTGCCTGAAATGACATTTTCAGTGCTGGGATCAACATCCGCAGTGCTGGTATTAAAGGACCGAGTGTAACGTGACGAATTGTTGTGCAGTCCTTGGTCTCTGGGCCGACAGCATCAGGTCCACTACCGCGTGACAAAGCGGTTACCCACAGGAGGATGCCGCCTGGGCTCAACCCCAGGACACCTCAGCGGTGCTCGCTCCGTCTGACCTCCGAGCCACCCGGCACCTTTATTTGACGAACTCCTATACCCCTTGTTGAATTTTGTTTCAACCGAGTATGGTTCTGAGAAATAAACGTATGAGTAATGAACATTAATATTTTAACCAACTGTCCGTTTTGTGAGGTATCCCAACGAGCTGAGTGACTGGCAGCGAATTTAAAGTCAAAATCCCGCGGGCGCTCTGCGCGCGTGACGTCATCTGTCCCCGCCCGCTGGTTCCTGTCGGTCACCGCCTCGTTGCTGACAACCGCCGAGTTCACAAAGGTCGTCGTTGCAGGTTACCACGAGGGTTTGTTGTTTTATATTGGTGGATTCATACCTGGCCACTCACCAATGACTCTCGTGTATGATAACATTTCACACATTTGCAAGCCACCTCCCGCCCACCCTGGGACATTGGCACGCGGTTGCCCGCAGGGCTCCGCGTGCCCCCAGGGCTCTGAGAGCCCCCAGGGCTCCGCCTGCCCCTAGGGCTCTGAGAGCCCCCAGGGCTCCGCGTGCCCCCAGGGCTCTGAGAGCCCCCAGGGCTCCGCGTGCCCCCAGGGCTCTGAGAGCCCCCAGGGCTCCGCGTGCCCCCAGGGCTCCGCGTGCCCCCAGGGCTCCGCGGGCCCCCAGGACTCCGAGAGCCCCCAGGGCTCCGAGAGCCCCCAGGGCTCCGCAAGCCCCCAGGGCTCCGCGAGCCCCGCTCTGGAGACCAGAGAGAGCTCACGGACTGGGCAACTTCTCTCTCTGCAGCTGATGGCGGCAGACACCTTGTAGGGGATCCCCGTGGTCCAAGCCAGACTCTGGCTGTCCTGGGTCACCAGCGCCGCAACTGCAAAGACAAAGATCCCCCGTGTAGCCGATACAGACCGTAGGGGCAAGTGCTGTTAGCGAGTAGCACCTATGAAGGCCGGAAAGGCACACGAGGGGGTTGGGTGGCCAGCAACACGCCCGGCCGCCTTTGTCTCCCTAGTGGTGATGTTTACACACCGCACCAGGCAGTCCGTTGAGGCTGAGTGGACCTAGAGGAGGCCCATGATCATTATAATTATCCGAATCGTCACTGCTCTTGACCGTGAGCCAGATTCGACTTCCGGTGGAGCCGGGTTCGTAGCGCCGCGAGCTGATAGCTCCACCACCACTTCCCACGGCAACACCACAACCACCACCACCACCACACACACCACAACCACCACACCACAACCACCACAACCACCACACCACAACCACCACACACACACCACAACCACCACCACACACACCACAACCACCACCACACACACCACTACAACAACCACACCACAACCACCACACCACAACCACCACCACACCACAACCACCCACACAACCACCACACCACAATCACCACCACACACACACAACCACCACCACACCACAACCACCACCACACCACAACCACCACCACACCACAACCACCACCACCACACACACAACCACCACCACACCACAACCACCACCACACCACAACCACCACCACACCACAACCACCACCACCACACACACAACCACCACACCACAACCACCACCACCACAACCACCACACACCACAACCACCACCACACCACAACCACCACCACCACACACACAACCACCACCACACCACAACCACCACCACCACACACACACAACCACCACCACACACAACCACCACCACACCCCAAACACCACCACCACACCACAACCACCACACACACGACCACCACCACCACACAGCGCGTGAGACACGTTCACAGTGCACACCGCCTGTCCCAGGCCACCTGTGCCGATGTTGTGTCCCCGCAGCACAGCCACCACGTCGGCTGTGAGGCCCGGGCAGAGGCCCTGGCGGAGCCGAACCATTGCTCAGGAGGCCGACACCATCGCCATCGTCACCACCGTCAACAACACTCGCCCCGCTCGCCACCCACCGACCACGCTGACACAAACACGTGGTGCATGAGGTGACGTCACCGGCCGAGGGCCGCCTGTGACGACATTCAGCGATACGGTCACATGACGTCATCGGCAATGTGTGGAATCGTGGCGTCATTAACTGAAAACTGTCAACCGCCCAGTCGCCCTCATTAAAGAGTGGTTTCACATTTAGTTCCTGTGGCCAGGCGAGACCTGAAACACGCGTTTACATTATTTAGATGTGGCTGCTATAAAGTTACACATTATAAACCATCTCGTGGAGCTTATCAGTTGTGGCCAGGTAGCTTCTGAAAAAGAAGCTAATAGCTCAATGGGCTTGACGTGGTATAACATACAAATAGTTTCATAGATTTTTAAGGATTTAATCTTGATTTGAAGCTGTAAAGATTTGTTTACGTTTCCTATACTTTGCACTCCTTTCGTGTTTTGTATTATTCTCACGTTCTGACCTGCGCGCACTGCACATCTGTTTAAAACGAGCTTTGTCGCTCATCGGATGTCTCCACTCTTAATCGCAGTTCTCTGATTTGAATGCGCGCGTCCATCTTTGTAAGGGAGGGGGGCAATGACGAACAGGCACGTGACGTCCCTGCCCCTCAGTCCCCTAACCAACATGGCCGCCCCTCGCTCCACCCGCGACGTCATCACCGGGATTCGTCGTCTTCCGGGTCAAAGGTCGGTAGCTGCGTGATCGCGGCTTTGCGTTGCGCGGTTCCCCTAAAACAACGGCGACGACGACGAACATTGACCTCTGCGGCTCAGCACCGATGACAATAGCGACAACAGCAGCGGTAACACATCAGCGTGAACACATCGGGTTATCTTAGACGTTGTGACGCAGTTCTACTGTGTGCGTGTTGACTGATCGGCGCGGCGGGTATGACACGTGACTTTGTACACCTCACTGGCCCCGGCCATGGGAGTGTGGAGTTTCCACGTCGGCTCATGGAAGCCAGCAGGTGCACGGCGCCGCTCTACGCTGCTTAGATCGGGGAGACGCCTTCGCGTCGATCTCTGTAATCAGACCCTGGGTCCGTTATAAATACTGTAGTACTGTACATACAATGAAAGCCGTAGCATTGTCAGACTTGCAACTTAAACATTTGTTGTATTGTGAAAGCAAATCATTGCGAATCACACCGCTACAATGGACCCGGTGCTGACCGCGATGCTGTGCTGAGTGTGACACGCGCAGCCCGCGTCGGCAGGCCACTGCTCGGGCCTCGCGCCGCCTTGGCGCGCGGAGCGGGCGACTTGACCATACTTCCCCACGCGGGTCACTGCGGGCGGCGAGGAAGGCGTTGCCGTGGGGCAGCAGCCCTCTGCTGCTGCTGCCCAGCACGTACGAGCTGCGCAGCAGCCTGTAGCACCTGATATGCACGGCGGTCACCTATCTGAGGAGATCGGTTGCATCCCCCGATTATAAAGCATCGGCGATTGATTAAGAATAATGCACCGTTTATAATTAAGCCTACAATACTGTATAATACCGACGTGCATGCTGTTGTAAAGTAGGAGCCGACACCAGATTGCAGGGGTCTCGTCCTTTATTCTTTTCCTTCTCTCCACACCTGTCCCCCAGCCGTCCCAATCTCGTTCCCGCCAAAGGCCCCTTCTTCCCGCCCGTTCTCTCCTTATATCTCTTCGATCACCCCTCCCACTAACCCATCTATTGGTGGGAATCCTTCCCCTGACACCCCTACATCACCCCCCCCCCCGGAGAAAAAAATAACCGTCCTCGGTTCTGCCTCCCCCATGGACCATTTAAATCTCCCCATGCCTCCCCCCACTGACAGTGACGACAGCCCTTACCCCCCCCACAACCATACAATGCAACATAACACAACGAAATCAATTGCGCGGCCTGCCCAGGTCTCCAGCCAGCATCCCGTAACAGCCCGGACATCCACAGGCAGCAGATGACCGTGGCGGCCCCCTCCTTCGAAGGCCCTCTCGTCGCGGTCCCTGGTTCGGTGGTGCTGGTGTCGCCTTGCCCGGCGCCGCTGTCTCTCCGGCCCCCGCTCGTGCCGCCGCTCCGTCAGGCCTCACATGGGGTGCTGTAGGTGACAAGGGAACACAGGGCACCGAACCCCCTGCCGGTCGGTGCGTGGTGGTCGGCGACCTTGGCCTGGGTAGGGATGATGATGATGTTGGCAGTGATGTTGGTGGTGATGTTGGTGAAGATGACGGTGGAGAGATGTATGGCTTAAGGCGGGTGGGGTGTACAAACCATCGTCGCTTACCCAGTTGGACCTGGACGCACTGCGGTCGGAGTGCTTTAATGACCTCGACCGGCCCTTTCCAGGGTCGGTGCAGCTTTGGTGAGAGGCCAACCGGCACCTGAGGACAGTGTAGCCATGCCTGGTCCCCGACTTTGAAGGGCTTGGCTGTCACTGTCCTCTCCCGTATCCGTACATTACTCTCTTGGCTCGTGGCCGATGCGGCCTCGGCTGCTTGGCGGGCCTCTCTCAAATAAATGAGGGAGGTCTTTAGTGCCTTCGGCCATGCGTCGGCTCTTGCGGGAATGTCCGTCAACTGCACCTCAATAGGCGGAACGGGATCCCGTCCGTACATCAGGAAAAACGGCGAGAACCCCGTCGCCGCGTGTGGGGCCACCCTGTACGCCGCTAAGACAGATGGAATGTGGAGGTCCCAGTCGGAATGGTTTTCGTCCACCACTTGGGACAGCATGGCCGCTATGGTGCGGTTAAGCCGCTCTACCATCCCATCGGTCTGGGGATGATACGGAGATGTTCGGACCTTTTTAGTGCCCAGGATAGAGCAGACGTCCTTCAATAGCTGTGAGGAGAAATTCCTGCCCTGATCCGTGAGCAACCGCTCCGGTGCCCCCTTATCAAGGACATAGCCTCCCACGAAGGCATCGGCGATGGTCTGTGCCGTTTGGTCCGGGAGGGCCCACGCCATCGGCCACCTCGTGCAGTACTCGACTCCGACCAACAGGTATTTATTTCCCCGTGGCGTGACCGGCAGTGGTCCCAGGATGTCCAATGCAACCAATTCGTTGACCCTGGTCACCGTGATGGGCTGTAGGGGCGCCCGGCTTACCCGGGGTGGCGGCTTTCGCCGCGCACATTCGACGCAGGTAGCGACCCATCGATGCACATCAGCGGTCATACCTGGCCAAAAGTACCGACTCTGTAATGTGTACAGTGTCTTCCGCCCCGCCAGGTGCAGCAGCTGGCGGCCGTGTACGTCCATAACCAATTGTTGACGCAGCGACTCCGGAACTACCAGGCATCGTCGGCGCCCTGTCGGGTCCCATCGCATGAGGAGGTCCTCCCATACGATGTACTCCTCCCCCCCTGCCTCTGCTGAGGCGCGTAGCGTTCGCAGTGGGGCTTCCTCCAGCTGTAGCCGTCGCCAATCGTCCAAGGTCAGCCCCAGGTCGTGGTCGGTCAGCTGGACCTCACCCTGTGCGTCCTCCGCCGTGCGTACGGGAGCGATGACTGTCCCCTCCGGCCTCGCCTCCTTGCAGCGTGCCCCGCCTGTGGTGCATGCACAAGGGCCCTGGGGCGCCAGTCGGGACAATGCGTCTGCGTTGGCATGTCTGGTCCCTTTGCGATGCACTACTTGGTACCTGTACTCCTGCAGGCGCTCTATCCATCTGGCCAGCTGGCCCGAAGGCTGGTCGATGCGGAGCGAATACTGCAAGGCCGCGTGGTCAGTGCGGACCGTAAATTTGCGACCATACAGGTAGGGTCGAAATTGCTGCACGAAGTGAACGACTGCCAGGAGTTCCCTACGTGTGACGCAGTAGCGCTGCTCCGCTGATGAAAGCACGCGACTACCATAGGCGATAACCACCTCGCGACCCTGCTGGACTTGCGACAAAACACTGCCGATGCCCACATCGCTGGCGTCCGTGTCCAGGATAAAGGGGAGGCCAAAATCCGGAAAAGCCAATGGTGGTGCATCTGTCAGACGTGAGCGCAGCTGCTGGAATGCCTCTTCCTCCAGAGGGCCCCAATAAAACCTCTGGTTCTTCGCCGTCAACACGTGCAAGGGCTTGGCAATGGTTGCGAAGTTGGGTACGAACCGGCGGTAATAAGAAACGAAACCCACAAACCGGCGTACCTCTGGAACCGTTGTGGGAACAGCCCAGGCCCTCACGCAGGCCGTCTTTTCCGGGTCTGTAGCCACTCCAGACTCACTGACGACGTGGCCCAAGTAGCGTACCGACGACTGCATAAGGTGGCACTTCGACGGCTTGAGCTTCAAGTTCGCGTTCCGGAACCGCAGGAATACCTGACGTAATCGGTCAATGTGTTCCTCGAATGATCGGCTGAAGACAATGACGTCATCCAGGTAGATGAGGCACGTTTCCCATTGGAGGCCTGCTAAGGCCAACTCCATTATGCGTTGGAACGTCGCCGGCGCAGTCTGGAGGCCCATAGGCAGGCAGTTGAACTCGAACAGGCCCTGTGGTGTCCGGAACGCTGTTTTAGGCCGGGAGTCCACGTCTAGTGGGACCTGCCAGAACCCGGACAATAAATCCAGCGTACTGAAAAATTTTGCTCCCGCCAGTGCATCCAATGAGTCGTCAATACGTGGTAGGGGATATGCGTCGGCCAGCGTGACGGCATTGAGGCGTCGGAAGTCCACACAGAATCTCAGTGACCCATCTGACTTCTTGACTAGGACCACCGGTGCCCCCCAGGGACTCGAGGATGGAGAAATTATGTCGGCCCGCAGCATCTCCTGCACCGCTTGTTGAATGTGCCCTTTTTCCATTGGGCTCATTCTATATGTGTTTTGGCGCAGGGGTGCGGCATCTCCCGTGTTAATGTGGTGCTGCGACAGATTTGTGCGCCCTAGGTCGAACGGTCCCCGGCTGAACACGTCCGAGAACTCATGCAATAATGAGTGCAGCTGCTGTTTCTGGTCGGGCGGCAATCCCGGCTCAGGCCCCGCCAGCTGGTCCATCCACGATTCGGCCCCTCTGTCCTCGGACTGGCTGATGCTGCCTACAAGCTCGGGCTTTGTCCCTGGGGCTCCTAGTGACAAGGGACTAACGTGGGCCAGAACTGTTCCCTCCTGCACCGTCGCTGTTCTATCGGAGATGTTCAGCACCTGAATGAACAGATGCTGGTTCCTCTGTACAATAGTTTCGGCCCCCACCAGCGCATGGCGATCCATGGTAGCTGATGCCGGAGACACCAGGATGGGTGAGTCTGGTCGGGCTGTCACGAGGGGAGACCGATATTGCAGCGGAATCAGCATCTGGGCTGCCGGGGGAATGGAGACAGACTTACTGACCAGAGCCTGCACGTAGGGTACTCCCCGGCTGGCTCCCTCCGCCTTTAGGAAATGGAGATGCGTTCCCTGGACTTCCACCCGCCCATTGGCCAGATCGATTTTCATTGGCATCCGCCTCAGAAAGTCCGTCCCCAACAGGCAGGGTACGGGCAATGTTGCGGAGACAAGGATGGGTCCTGCTACCGAAAGCTGCCCAATCTGTATCGGGGCTTCAACCTGGCCCAGGAAGCCCATGCTGCCTCCATTTGCTGCAATGAACGTTGTCTTGACGGGGACTAAAGGTCGGATTTTATCCGGCAGCATCTCGTGCATGGTGCTCGAGATGATCGTGGCTGATGCCCCCGTATCAACCAAGATACGTGCCGACACTCCCGCGATTTCACCGACCAGGACCGAGGTTCCTGACGTGGCCGCTACCACCCGCCTTGCCAGCTTCCTCCATTGTGTGGCTGAGTCCGGCCACTGACCAGGCGGCGTCTCGTTATCCTGTGGTGCATGGTGAAATGATGGGGGATGGATGTGAATGGACTGAAGATGGGGTTCCTCCCTTTGGAGTGCGTCGCAGCAGGGTGAACGCGCCCTTGTTACATAGTGTGGGCTTACCCCTGGGTTGCGGGCTGGGCTCTCTGTGTGGTGCAAATTGCCCCCCTTTGGTGACGTAGGATGGGCCCCCCTTGTGGTGTGGGGGGCCCCCCCCATTGTAGGGGGCAGTGGGGACTGGGGGGTGGGCCTTCCCGTGAGCCCCTCCCTTCTCCCCTCCCTTCCCTTTGTCACGGGGGCGTGGTCCCCCTGGTTCCGTCTCAATCTGCCGCAAAGCGGTGGTGAGGCGGCCCGTGGAACTGCTTCAGGGCGCACTGTCAATCTTGTGGGCTGCCTCCGCCCCCGGGCCGTTGCCCCTGGCAACTCGCCGGCGTCGCAGGCAATTGGTGACGTCACGCCCGCCGGCGACGTCACGCTCGCCCGCGACGTCACGCCCGCCCGCGACGTCACGCCCGCCCGGGACGTCACGCCCGCCCGCGACGTCACGCCCGCCCGCGACGTCACGCCCGCCCGGGACGTCACGCCCGCCCGCGACGTCACGCCCGCCGGTGAAACCACGCCCGCCCGCGACGTCACCTCCGCCCGCGACGTCACCTCCGCCCGCGACGTCACCTCCGCCCGCGACGTCACGTCCGCCCGCGACGTCCCTTCCGGCCCCGGCGCGACTCCCGACGCGGTCTCCGGCCCCGGCGCGACTCCCGACGCGGTCTCCGGCCTCGGCGCGATCCCCGACGTGATCCGCGACACCACTCCTGGCCGCGACGTCACTCCCGGATGCAACGTCACGTCCGTTCGCGACGCCACTCCGGGTCGCGACGCCACCCCTGGTCGCGACGCCATCCCAGGCCCCGGCGCTATCCCCGGCGCGATTCCCTTCCCCCGACCCGGACAATGGGGACCGGGGAACGACACCGACGGCGCCCACCCCGAGGAGACTCCCGGTAAGTTCGCGGCGTCGGAATTATAATTGCTCGGCCCGACCGAGAGGCCGGGCGGGACGGCGTCACTCGCCTGGATCCTGTCGGCGTTCGGCCCCGGCGGGTTCCAGGTAACGTTGGCGGCCTCCGGCTCTGTGCGGCACCCCCTCGCCACATGCCCCTCTCGACCACAACGGTGGCAGACCCACGGGGCGTTCCGTCGGGGGGGCTCGGCGCGATGTTGTAGAGGCGGCTGCCAGCGACGCGGCGGTTGGTCGCGCCCCTGGTCCCTCTGCTCCGCCAGTCCCCGGATCGCCGCGTACACCTCCCGTAGCGATGGCTCCGTCTCAGACGTCGGGGGTCCGTCCCCAGCTGCTCCACAGGCAGCCTGTGGCGACGGTGCAGGTTCGGCGGTTGGTGTCGCTGGACCCAGTAGTGCCCCGGCAACGGCTCGGCTGTTCCCCCCCGCCGCGCCAGCTACCGGGCCCACGGGTGGCGCCCGGCCCATGACCTGCTCGTGGGCTTGGATGGTCCGGGCAGCCCACAGCGAGGTGCGTTCCCCCGGCGTCACCACGGGCATTACAACGCCGGCGCGGCAAGCGTAGGCGATGAGGTGCTCGACCACGAGATCCTCGAGCGCTTCTTCAGCCAGGCGAGGGAAAGCTCTCCTCGCCAACACGAGCAGTGCACCCCTGTAGGATAAAGGGGATTCTTTAGCCCCTCGCTGGCGATCCTGGAACCGTTTAAAGGCCCCTTCCGCCGGGCAATAGATCTCCCCCAAAGCCTCGTAGGCCGCCTGTAGCGTGGTCTTGCTGTGCGAGGGAAGGGAGGTGTAAGAGGCGAGTGCTTCCTTGCCCAGAACGGATGGCAGCGCTCGTAGTGCCTCTTCGTCTGTCCACTCGAGAGCGTGGAAGGCAGCCTCGAATCGGCGGACAAACTCCTCCCAGTCTTCTTCCTCAGCCACGAACTTGTCGACGGGCCCCAGCCGACGCGGCCGTCCGGCCACCTGCTCTCCCTGTTGGGTGGTTAGCCCTGGGGGTTTTGGCGGGACCGGTGGCGGCTGGCGTGACGAGGTTGGTTGCCCGGCCGGCTGGTCGGCCTCCGGGTCCCGTGGCCTCTCCTCCCGTAGTACGCGTGGGGGTGGGGGTCCCGGTGCTGGCGGGTCCCCCATAGGGAGCCTCTGTAGGAGCTCCTGGAGTGCCCTCTCCACGCGGGCCATGCGGTCCTCCATGGTGTCCTCCAGGCGATCCGGGCCCCCTGCTGCTGCTTCTGATAGCAGGCCCCCTTGTTGCCCGGGATGGGAAGGATCCCCGGCCCCTGCTTCCTCCTCCCTTGGCTCTTTCCCGCGGGGATTTTTCTTTGTAGCCATGAGATCCCACCGCTGCCACCAGATGTAAAGTAGGAGCCGACACCAGATTGCAGGGGTCTCGTCCTTTATTCTTTTCCTTCTCTCCACACCTGTCCCCCAGCCGTCCCAATCTCGTTCCCGCCAAAGGCCCCTTCTTCCCGCCCGTTCTCTCCTTATATCTCTTCGATCACCCCTCCCACTAACCCATCTATTGGTGGGAATCCTTCCCCTGACACCCCTACACTGTTATAGCTGCAGAATCTGACAAAATATTTCCATCATCGTTGTGAGTGAGTTTACTCCGGTGTGCGATCACACGACGAGTCTTGATTGGATGTGGACACAGTGCGCGCTTGTCCGACGTTATTCGCTGAACTGCGGAGGCCACGTTCACGAGCGCGCGTCTTGCCGTCGTGTTTAGCCAACCCACTGCTGGATGAGGCCCTCCGAATGCCGCTACGGGGGTCGTGGGTGGTTATTCGACCATACTTCACCACGCTGGTCACTGCGGGTCGGTGAGGGCGGGGAGCGTAGACGTGGGAGCACAGTACAGTGCAACCTTGAGTCAATGTATCCGGCTGCAGTGAAGCCCGGAGTACAGCGAGGGACTGTGTATGCATCACGCTGTTGTTGTAATGTAGCCCCGCCGCAGCCTGTAACACTGAATGGCTGTCCCTGCCCTCTGCTAAGGGGGACCTGGAGTCATGGAGGAGCCCAGGGCAGATGCAGGGAAAGCGCAGGTGGGAGAGCTGGAGGCTGGGGTGAGGGGCCTTGGCTTGGCCGAGGCGAACAAGAGACGACGGGCACTCAGGTGAGATGCGTGGGGCTGTCGGCACGACAGGACATACCGGCCTCTGACTCGCGGATTGACGTGTGCAGGGAACAAGTCCACAACGTGACGCACTAATGGACTGACATACGGACGGATGTACACGTAAGGTGACGCAATCTTGTAGTGACACTAAGGCACTGACACTCATGGCCTAACACACAGTGACACACTCGTGGACTGACACGGACTAACACACTCACGGACTGACACACCCATGGGCCTGCAGACTGACACACTGGCGACTGATATCTCAACCGGTCACCAAGCCGCACGATCACACAACACTCCCGCGACCAGCACGGCAAGGGACAGCCTTCATCCAACAATGGATTCACCAAGGCCAGCTTACACAAGGCAAATTAGCGTGTACAAACATAAATCCTTATAGATTGCTGTGGAAAATACTGTTAATGAGAACCTTTTAATTCCTGAATTGCATTTCACAGGGTTTGTGTCCTCATGCGTCCACACTGCCCTGATTACTGGCTCATGGAATGTTAATCTTATTGTGACGTAATAGTCGCAGCCCCCAGAGTCATGTGGCGAGCTTGTATGCCGAGCCACTGCGCCACTGCAAACTAAGAGATCTCTTGCCATGACACACAGTGACACATGCTGAGAGTGACACTTGCGGACTGGCACGGGTGGCCATACTCGTAGTCGGACACATGGACTGCCATCCTCACTGACTGACCTACTCATAGACTGACATACTAACAGAGCGATACACTCACGCACTGCCGCTCATGAAGTGACACACTCACGGACATTCTCACGGAGTGAAACACCCACAGAGTTGCATGGAGTGACACACAGACTGACACACTCGTGTACACAGGCGAGTGATGTATGAACCGGTCCTGGGCCCTCCTCCGTTCACCAGCCCACACTGATAAAAGCATTGCCTTGTCAATGCAAATCATTAGCCGAGCTCTGCCTAATGGGCTGTGTTTGCACTTCGATGTATGGTGCTTTCTGGCTATGACAATTGAGTGAACTAGTTTTTCCACAACGATGTTATTGGCTGTCTTGAAAACTATTTGTGATTTAAATTCGTGTCTGCTGCTGCCCACTCGCAGAGGCTCTGTTCAAATCTGCTTCTTCATTCCGTCTGTACCTCGGGACTTGTTTTATACTTGCGAGGAGATATATGAAGTAGTGAACGATGATGACGGTGGACAATATTGTCAGGGGTGACTCCCCCGCAGGTTGGCAGCCTGCTGTTCCAACTAGGGCATGCTGCCCTGTGGTCTCTCTACTACACATCGGGTGCATGCTGTGCGGCTACAATGCCCGGCTCTCTGGCTAGCCATGGTTAATAGTGAGCTGGGAGTTTCATTGTAAAACATTCCAACTCGACTCCAGGAATAATGAGTATTACTTTATGTGAAGTGTTCAGAGGTCATCCTCTTACCGTGCGGTGGTTGCTACGTCCGTACGGTGCGAAATAAGTTCAAAATGCATACATACTTGGCCTCTAATCCAGCACTGTAGGGGCGGCGAGGGTTGGAGGATTGCACAAGTGTTGTAAAACCCCCGCGCAGCGAGGGGGCCAATACTCTCCCCCTGTGCAGATAGAAACGGATGGAGATTAGTCTACAAATTGCTGTGCCACCTTCTGGCGAGCCAGAGTACAGCACCTCCTCGAAGCCCACGGGAAGGGAGTGTCACAACATCTGTGTGTGATCCATCAACCCTCATTGCTGGGTTACAGGCAGCCGCGTGTATTGCCACCACCGCCCAGCTAATGTAATGGTAAATGGAATCGTGACACCGAATCAGGTGATGCTTTGAATGGCCGGGTGAATAATTACACACTGACAATCTTATCATCGTCGCCTTTATCGTCTCCCACTGCCGAATGCTTAACTTTATTGCTTGATCTTAAGCTTTGAACATAAACCTTTCACCTCTGTACTGACCTAAGCTAACAATGTAACGACGCATCCCCGCAATGTCTTGCTCATGCCACTGCTCGCGAAAGGGGCCTCCGCTAGAGGGAGGGTATTTTGGCAGACTGTCCCATGCTGATCAGATGTCTAATAGTTGGGAGTACCCACATTTTACCCCACCACACGCAACCTACTGATTGACTAACTGGTGTACCCATTTATATCGCTGGGTGGACATTGGTGGGTGGGGAGGGAACTGCCGCACAGGGATATCACATTGGTGATCTCTACATGGAAAGCACACAATGGCTCACAGTGAGTACAGTTTAATAGTCTCACGGGCAGTGCTCATCTCCGTTGTTGGCAGCCTGAATAGAGCCCACAGCTGAAATTCCACATTTATCTGGAGGAGCCAAGTCGTATTCGTCTTTCGTATGGCTGATGCAGAGCAACAACTACAATTTCACATTCAGGTGGCCAAGCCAGATAACCGCATCAGGATGTTTCGGAGTGTATCGCTGTGATGTCTCTTTTGTATTTGTGGATCGGGCATCGCGTCGTTATACATTGTAGGGTCTGTTCTGGATGACCGCAGTCGCACACTGCTACTTGAGAGTTTTTATGTTTCCATTTGTGCGTCAGGTATTGGCATCTACTGCTGTGGTGTGTGCAGTGAGTGCGGTTTAGGGTGGACCTTTAGAATCTTCTACGTTTGGTCTTTTACAAGTTGTTTGTTTGTGAGGAGCCGAGTACATCCATTCGACAACTGCTGTTGGCTTCCCACTAAATGGTTGTCATGTTATCGACCATGGAGGCATGATGATGATGATGGATTTAATCGATTCCCAAACCGGGATTGGAACCTGCGACCTTCCAATTCAGAGTCAAGCCTCTGACCGCAGTGCCGACTGGCGGATAGCGTGAAACAATTTAGCACTTTCACCCAATCCTCACAGACTATACCTGTCTCTGAACTACTGTGAAATTTCCAAACTCCACATTTCTGTGATGGGGCCCAGACTATAATGAACAAGGTGCTTCTTACAGACGGCATAGAAGAAGCATTGTCTCCTCTCCTCATGCCAGCTTGATCTCCTCTCCTCCCGCTTCAACGCCCAATCGCTTGAGCCCCCTCCCCTCTTCATTGCCTACACAAGTCCCCCCCCCCCTCCGCCTGGGTCCTCACTAATCCCATACAGGTGACTCCCACGTGGCGCTGATCAGGATTAAGGTCACGATTGAATAGCTTGCCCCATCCGCAGACCCCGCACACCCCCGCCAAACCAGACCCCGTGACTCGGTCTGCCCGAAAAATCACATTGAACCCCCTGTGTGATGGGTGGGCAAAGGGAGGGAGGGAGGGGTGCGGCTGGTGGAATCCTCATGGTGTGGGGAGGCTGTGCGGGTGACCGGGGAGCGACGTTGTCTCGGTGCCACTTATAACTTGGCTCGCTTGCGAGGCGTAGGTTGTGTGTTGTTGAGTCTATCCTACCTCTCCCATATCTCCAGTCATCTCGCTTTGTCTCTGTGTGTATTTCTTGAAGATTGTCCCCCTCCCGCCCCGTATCTCTCGTCTCCTCGCAGCGTCCCGATCCTTAATCGTTGTTCGGCTTTGGATTTAACGGCCGTATTCATATTGGTATCGTCGGTCCAGAGACCCGCATCAGTTCAACTAGATCCAGAGCTGCAGTTCTTTTCAGCAAGATCTAGAAACGTCTTGATCACTCGTGGTCACTCAGAGCGAGGTCCTACACCATCCTGGTAATACCAGGACTCGTTCCGGCAAAACCACCAATGCTCCACGGTCCGGAAAGATTCTGACAACTCCAGAATGATCCAGCAGGGTTCACTGATAATCCTGATGACTGCAATTTGATCGTGAAAGGTCCGCATTTCTCCATCGAACTTAAGCAAGATCCCACTTTCTGCAGCACAATCTGGTGATATCTACCAAGATCTCAATCAAGCACGACCGTGAGCGCTCCCACCCACGCAGTCTGACTGTGAACACTCCTGGTCGCTCCAGCAGGCTCTCAATTACGCCATCGTGATCTTAGCAAGGTCTCAATCGTGCCAGCTTGATCCAGAAGATCGCAATTGCTACAACTCGGTTTTCAAAGACGTTCCTCACTTCAGCTTCATCTGGAAAGATCAGAGATATCTTAATCACTCCAGGACCGTCCTGTATCAGTCCATTGCAGTTATAACCAATCCAGCTGTAAATTCATCCGGCAATATTTACGTATTCAGCAAGATTTACTCCGCTCCTGCTCATCCATCAATATAACCCGATCACTCGAGCTGCATCTGGTAAGATCCTGACCAACTTCAGCACGATCACGGCACTCTGCCCAAAGCCGTACCTCCACGCCCGTCCGTCCGCCCTCCCATCCGTCCACGCTTCTTCCTCAACGACCGCGGCGACGACGACCACAACCATGAACCGCGCTCAGAGCCTGCAGTCGCTGTCGACGAAACTCGACCGGCTGGAGCAGGCGGTCCAGGGCGTGAGCCTCGTGCTGCGCCGGAGGGGGCGGGGGGCGTCCACCGCGGCGTCTTCGGCGGTCGGCACCCCCTGCGGCCGCCGCAGCCGGGCCCCGAGCTCGGCCTCCTCGTCCTGCGCCTACTCGCCAGCGCCGCCGTGGCCCGGCGGGCCGCTTGGCGGGGACGCCGCGTTGGGCGCGAGCGTCCTGCGCTCGTGGAACTCCTCGCTGGCGCTGTGCCGCGAGGGGGGCGGGCGCTTCGCCCGCGGCGGAGACGGGGAGCGCGACGACGACGCCGATGATTATTGCGATGGGGACGAAGAGGAGGAGGCTGAGGTGGTGGGAGGAGAAGAAGCTGCTGCCACTTGGGCGCTCGACGAGCTGGTCAGGGCCATGCGGTCGTTACGGGGAGAGCCGGAGGTGCAGATGAGGTGCCGTGAGTTGGTTGGGCGAACGGATCGTCCGTTCTCTCATTCGTTTCGTTGTGACGTTACAAGGTGTCCCCTGGTGGCTAGTGGGTTGCTTCGTCAGGCTGGTGTGAATTCCCCTGAGTTCTTGGCTGTTAAAGTCACACGTTTCGTGGCTCTGTAGTTCCGAGTTTCCCATGATATCTAGGAAATCCTTATTCCTTTTTACTGACATTTTTTCGTGCCTGCTTTTGTCAAATGTTTAAATTCCTGATCCCAAGTGCCATGAATCGTATGCTTCCTGATTTTCTTGGAATCCCTGATTCCTGGAGGCATGAATTCTATGGTTCGAGGTTAAATTAATTTGGTGATATATCTGATCCGTATTGCTGTAACATGATTCTTGGTGCCGCGAATCCCAAAATTGTGAGAACACCTCTTAATTCCTGGTACCAGGAATCCCGTGAATAAGTCGAATCCTCGAACAACGGAATTCTGCTAAGTCTCTCGATACCTGGGAATACCCGATTCCATTTCCGGCAGTTGTAAAAGTCCCAAGGTCCTCGTTATCTGTGTTGTTTGATTCCCATTGATGCCTGGTTCCCTGTGCTGAGAGCTACATAATTCCTGCATTTATTTTGTTGAATTCCAGGAGTGATGCGAAATCACTCAGTCTGTGGCCCCTGGTTCCAGCATTTCCAGAATTCCCATCAGTGGTGGCGCACCTCCCTTAACGTGTCGGGGGGGGGGGGAAATGATTGCAAGCTAAATTTGAATAAAGTTTTGGTTATACAGCATAGTATTAAAGGTATCTAAAATTAAATCTTCATGGAAAATTATGAATTCATGATTTGCAATTTACTTTCATGAAAAATCTTTGCATTGGTCAATGAAATGCAACAAATTGTGTTTGTGATGCTGCTGCGTTGGCAGTGGTGCACAAGCACAACATCCTCGTCTTATATGAAGAAAAAAATATATATATACGTGATTATTACTGCAGATGAAATATATTATAGAAAAAGCGTTTGGCTGGCTGGCGCGTGGACAGGCAGGCAAGTGCGCAGGTGGTGACGTCACCGCACGCATCCGCGTGATGACGTCACCCGCATCCCGCAGCGTCGTCGCGCCGGGTTCGTGCGCCGGGTTGACATCACGCCCCCCCCCCACCCCCCTAACCCCCCCAACGAGCAACAAGGTCCTCAGCACATTCATCAATACGACTGTGGCCTTGAAAGGAATCTTGTTATGAGAAGCGATGGCCCTTCTTCAGCGCACGTAAATGGAGAGGTGACGCAATGTTGGCGGTGTAATCCTACCGGCTACCATCGTTCTCACAGTCTGTCTAATGTCACTACATTTGCACCTCCGATTAGCACAGTGGTCTGTACGGTGCAAAAGAAGTTCAACATGCATGCATCTACCCTTGTATTCTTGGATACAAATGGGGTGTTTTTTATTTCAAGATCCACAAGTTTGGGGGGGGGGGGGGGGGGGAGACGGGGTGCATCTTACTTTCTGCCGCGTCTTGTAATGGGGAGAATACAGAAACGATGGCGGCGGCGACGATGGCGAGTCTCACGATGCCCGGGTTCTGCGATTTTCCCGTTAAATCCGCGATGCGTGTCGCCGCGTGACTCGCAGACTGCGCGTGATCACATGGAACGTGGGAACGGCTGAGCCCCCCGAAGAGGCAGACGCTCTGCTCGCCCTGGACCAGGAGGGCCCCCCACCACATCTCTACATCATAGGGTGAGCCACCCCCCCACCCGCCACACCACTACTGAATCACAATCTTTATTTAGATTGGAGGAATCCGATGAGCCGTGGCGCTCTTTTTTTACAGATGTCCAGTAGGTTTTACTGATCTCCAGTATGTCAACGTGTGGTGCCTTGCACAAATGTGCCACCTTTAAAAAAAAATGTAAATCAAGTTGTGGCTGTGAGTTAGTTGTTCTATACAAGCGTAGAGAGATGTGTTTTGAGTTCTGACATGAATGCCGTTATGTGTGGGCGATAAAATGGCTGTGCGTGTGTGCGCGGGGAGCGGTAGTGTAGCGGTTAGCGCACGGCGTTATGAATTCCGCTAACGACCAATTACAGCGTTGAATATTTGAACTGTTTCCGGGCCTCTCCTAGGTTGACTCAGCCTTAAATGAGTACCTGGCACGGTGTGTAAATCATCAGCACCGGGGAGACAAAGGCAGCCGGGCGTGGTGTTGGCCACCCACCCCCCATCACGTGCCATGCCTGCCTTCATAGGAGCTCTGTAACAGCACTTGCCCCAACAACAGTGTCCAAGGCTATACGGGGGGGGGGGTCTTTGTTGGTTTGTGTTTGCAGGCTGCAGGAGCTGAGTGCACGTGTGGACTTGTTTCTTCGGGACTCTCTCGTCGATGACCCCTGGAGCTGCTTCCTGATGGACTTGCTGGCTCCGCGCGGATACGTGCGGGTAGGGCCCCCAGGCGGGTAGGGCCCCCAGGCGGGTAGGGCCCCCAGACGGGTAGGGCCCCCAAGCGGGTAGGGCCCCCAAGTGGGTAGGGCCCCCAGGCGGGTAGGGCCCCCATGTGGGTAGGGCCCCCAAGCGGGTAGGGTCCCCAAGCGGGTAGGGCCCCCAAGCGGGTAGGGCCCCCAAGCGGGTAGGGCCCCCAAGCGGGTAGGGCCCCCAAGCGGGTAGGGCCCCCAAGTGGGTAGGGCCCCCAAGCGGGTAGGGCCCCCAAGCGGGTAGGGCCCCCAAGCGGGTAGGGCCCCCAAGCGGGTAGGGCCCCCAAGCGGGTAGGGCCCCCAAGTGGGTAGGGCCCCCAAGCGGGTAGGGCCCCCAAGTGGGTAGGGCCCCCAAGCGGGTAGGGCCCCCAGGCGAGTAGGGCCCCCAGGCGGGTAGGGCCCCCAGGCGGGTAGGGCCCCTGCGTGGGTTCGTGCGGGCTGGGCCCCAGGACGCGCACAGGGAGGCCCTCCCGGCACTCTCCAGACTCAACTCTTGCTGAGCATCCGAGAGCCGACGAGACGGGGCGCATTCCGGGTCAGCGTCTTGTGTTGCGAACCCGGCTGTCCAGCTGGCCAAGTTGAATTCCCGCTCATGGCCAATAACGGTGGCGATTATCTGAAGCAGTGCATGGCTTCCCCTCGGTTGACTCGGCCTCAAATGATTACCTGCTGCGGTGTGTAAACATCGGCACTGGGCAGACAAAAGGTGGCCGGGCGTGGTACCCGCCACACTAACCCTCGTGTGCCATGTCGGCCTTCATATTGCTTGCTAACGATGCTTCCCCCAACAGTCTGTTTCTTGTCAAGGAGCATAAACCATCACGCAAACTCCGCTCATCACAGCGGATTTTCACTAGCCAGATGGTGGTCACTGCATCGCGAGCGTTTTCAGATGCGTTTCTGCGGCCGTCTGGAACGGTCTTCTTTCCGATATTAGGAAGCCACTGGAGCGATTCATTTTAAAATCAAAATTGAAAACTAATTTCTTTAGAACTGCTATTTGTGTTTAGTTTGTTCTTTCTCGGCACCTCCGATTTGCGTGGTTGGCTATGTACGGTGCGAAAGAAGGTCAACATACGTACAAAGGCTACACGGGGGATCGTTGTCTTTGTGTGCGTGTGTACGTGCGTGCAGCGCGAGTCGGTGCGTCTGCAGGGACTGCTGCTGCTCGTGTTCGTGCAGAGCTCCCTGCTGCCGCTCGTGAGGGATGTACACACGGCGTACACGCGTACGGGCCTCGGGGGCTACTGGGTGCGTACCCCGCTCCTCCAATTAGCACGGTTGGCTACGTATGGTGCGAAAGAAGTTTCACATACCTGCAAACACACAGACACAACGACAACATAGTCTTGGCGCCGTCCCCCCTACCTCCTGTCTCATCTCACACCACCTCTCCGTCACATTAAACTACAACTATTAAGACTATTTTTATTTTACCCGGTAAGGCCCACTGAGCTATATAGCTCCTTTCAGAAGCGAGCTGGCCACAATCACGACGGAGTCGCCTATCATATGGAAAGTTTTAGCAGGGACGTTAATCTTTTCGGGTTGGGAAGAGTGATCTGTTCTAGTTGCAGTGAGTAATCCGTTCCGGAGGAGGAAAATGATCCGTTCTGAGTGGGAAGAGTGACCTGCTCCATTCCATGCCGTGCGAGTGATGCGTTCCGCGTGGTCCCGGCCTGCGTCCAGGGCAACAAGGGCGGCGTGAGCGTGCGCGTGTCGCTCTGCGGCCTCTCCTTCTGCTTCGTCAACTGCCACCTCCCGCCGCACGAGGGCGGCCACCTGCAGCGCCTCGATGCTCTGGAGCGGATCTTGGACGAGCAGCGCTACCCCGCGGTGGCACCGGCGATGACGCCGGTGGAGAACGACGCCAACGGGAGCGGCGGGGACGGCGGCGGCAGGGACGCGGCTGGCCGAGACGGGAACGGGGCCGGCCTCGCGATACTGGAGCACGAGTGAGGATGCGCACGCCGGTCGGTGGGGTTGCAGTTGGCGCACCGCGCTAGGAACCCGGCGACTCGAGTTCGATTCCCGCTCACGGCCACGATCGTCTGAATCGGTCCTGGGCCTCCCCGACATCGACTCGGCTTTCATAGCTGTTACTCGCTAACAGAACTCGGCCCTGTTTAAGCTGTATGGGGGATCCTTGTCTTCATGGCAGTCGTGAGGGTGCTGCATATATGAACCCTCTGCTGCACGTTCGATTGCTGGTTACAGCTGATATCAGTGGCAACTAGAGTAGGCGAAGTATGGTCGAATAGCCCCCACGATCCGCGCGGCTTGGGGACAGCCCTCACCCAGCAGTGAACGTACAACAGGAGGCGTGCCAGCACTTGCGGAGCGGCATGGGCGATGGCGACGGCGACGTCGTAGCGAGGGATAGTAACGAGTCGCCGTGTGGCGTCAAGTTTTTGATATCGGTGGAGAGCTCCGGGAGACGGGGAGTGAATCTTGGGAGGATGAGTAACGGTGGTTGAACTGCTCTTTCTGTTAAGTTTGTTGTCCTTGGGGTGCGCTAAGCCAGGAGGCGCGATCGTCGGCCCGGCTGTCAGCCTCTTGTCTTTCACCTTGGCAGCCACCTCAGTGTTGGTGGGAACGTTTAACCTCTTTCGTACCGTACGTAGCCACCCGTGCCAATCGGCGAGTGGGCGTCTCCGTGTCACGCCTCCACAGCGTCGTGCTCTGCCTGGGCGACCTCAACTTCCGCATCGCCGACCACGGCCTTCGCTTCACGCGCGACTCCATCGACAACGGCCGCCTCCACCTCCTGTGGGGCAAGGACGAGGCGCGTGGCCTCCTGAACATCATCGCCATCAACCACATCGACAATATCCCCCTCATCACGCCACCATCGCCACTGCCATCAACCACATGACCAATATCCCTCTCGTCACACCACCATCGTCAACACAACCGTCACCAACATCACCAAATACACCACGACATGTGAAGTGGGGAGGGGTGAGGGAGGGGCAGCAGGAGCTTACAGTCGAAAGTGTGACGGAACAAACAGCAGATTGAACGACACGGCTCGGCTTGCAAACGACGAGTGGTGAGGCTACAAGACGCGGCAGCCAGGCAAACAGACTCACCAAAAAAATACGCAATGTAGAATAAAAAAACACAAAAATACAACGTAATGATGAAGCAAAGGAGACGTAAATCGAAAATAAATTGTAAATTTACAACAAACGTCATAACGAATCGTCAATTTAATTAATGTGTATATATATATATATGCTCTCCCCTTTGCAGCTGAACATATCCAAGGCTAACGAGGCGTTCTTGCGCGACTTTCAAGAGGGGCCGCTCTCCTTCCCCCCCACGTACAAGTTCGACCAGGGGACCAACACCTACGACACCAGGTGGGGCCGAGCCGCGTGTTGCAGGGCAGCAGTCCGTGTCCCGTGGGGCTCGCAGATCCACCCCCCTCCCTCCCTGACAAAGCTTTTTGTGCCTTGTCAGATGACGCCCGGGGAACACCACGACTGGCCATTCTCATCCCCCTAGGTCAATCGATCGGTCGGTCGATCTGTTTGTTACGTGACAATGTCGCCCTCAATAAAGTAGGCATCGATGTACATCACGGCAGAACGGGAACGGTACAGGGGGCATATCATACCCATCACGACCTCGGCGGCATCCCAAGGGTACGGTGAATCGGGACGACCTCCCCAGGCCCCGCGATTTGGGGGGCCCCGCGATTTGGGGGGCCCCGCGCTTCGACGTCACAGTGTCAGATGGAATACTTCCGGTTTAGTGTGAAGAAGTTGGGGGGGGAGACCAGCACGGTGAGATTTTCCCCGGGCCTCTCACCGCCCCTATGGACGGCCCTGCCCTCGGTGTTAAAGCTGGGGTCACGTCTAGGCCATTGGTGCGTAACTAACCACTTGGCGTCAGTGGAACACGTATCGTTGTTTTTAAAACGGGGCTGCTGCCACCCTGGTGTAGTAGTTGAGCGCCACGAGACTTGCAATCCGGACTCCATATCCTGATGCGGCATGTTAAACAATGGGGGGCGAGTTGATATAATCCCCCGCCCACCATGGCCTCTTGTCCACCCAGTAGCAGCCATATAAAGGAGCACGTCATGGTTAGTCGATCTCGCGCGGTGAGCTCGTGTGCGGGTTACTTCTGGCCATCGTGGGCCTCATCGGAGCTCCCTCTTTCAGAGGCCCCTTCCGCCAGCAGCGGCACGAGCACGCAGTTGGAGGGCTGCGCCTTTGCCTTTTCGCTCTAATTTCGTTTTTTTTTGCGCGCAATCGGCAGCGGCAAGCAGCGCAAACCCGCGTGGACCGACCGCGTGCTGTGGCGGGTCAGGGGTGACTCCCGCAACGCCCCGGGGCCAGAGGGCGAGGGGAGGGGGGCGGGCGCCGTTGAGGACCGGGGCGACGGCGCGGCCGCCCCCTCGGCCCGAGTGAAGCTGCTCTCCTACACGAGTCACATGGACTGCAACGTCAGCGACCACAAACCCGTCGCCGCCGAGTTCCTGATCCAGGTGACGGAGTCGCGCACCAGCTGCCGCGTGTCTCGCTGGTAGGGTACAGGGGTACAGCGTCGCTTAACCGACTCGCTGGGGGGCACGTGTCTCGCTGGTAGGGTACAGGGGTACAGCGCCGCTTAACCGACTCGCTGGGGGGCACGTGTCTCGCTGGTAGGGTACAGGGGTACAGCGTCGCTTAACCGACTCGCTGGGGGGCACGTGTCTCGCTGGTAGGGTACAGGGGTACAGCGTCGCTTAACCGACTCGCTGGGGGGCGCGTGTCTCGCTGGTAGGGTACAGGGGTACAGCGTCGCTTAACAGACTCGCTGGGGGGCGCGTGTCTCGCTGGTAGGGTACAGGGGTACAGCGTCGCTTAACAGACTCGCTGGGGGGCACGTGTCTCGCTGGTAGGGTACAGGGGTACAGCGTCGCTTAACAGACTCGCTGGGGGGCACGTGTCTCGCTGGTAGGGTACAGGGGTACAGCGTCGCTTAACCGACTCGCTGGAGGGGCGCGTGTCTCGCTGGTAGGGTACAGGGGTACAGCGTCGCTTAACAGACTCGCTGGGGGGCGCGTGTCTCGCTGGTAGGGTACAGGGGTACAGCGTGCTTAACCGACTCGCTGGGCGGCGCGTGTCTCGCTGGTAGGGTACAGGGGTACAGCGTCGCTTAACCGACTCGCTGGAGGGGCGCGTGTCTCGCTGGTAGGGTACAGGGGTACAGCGTCGCTTAACAGACTCGCTGGGGGGCGAGTGTCTCGCTGGTAGGGTACGGGGGTACAGCGTCGCTTAACAGACTCGCTGGGGGGCGCGTGTCTCGCTGGTAGGGTACAGGGGTACAGCGTCGCTTAACCGACTCGCTGGGCGGCGCGTGTCTCGCTGGTAGGGTACAGGGGTACAGCTTCGCTTAACCGACTCGCTGGAGGGGCGCGTGTCTCGCTGGTAGGGTACAGGGGTACAGCGTCGCTTAACAGACTCGCTGGGGGGCGAGTGTCTCGCTGGTAGGGTACGGGGGTACAGCGTCGCTTAACCGACTCGCTGGGCGGCGCGTGTCTCGCTGGTAGGGTACAGGGGTACAGCGTCGCTTAACAGACTCGCTGGGGGGCGCGTGTCTCGCTGGTAGGGTACAGGGGTACAGCGTCGCTTAACCGACTCGCTGGGGGGCACGTGTCTCGCTGGTAGAGTACAGGGGTACAGCGTCGCTTAACCGACTCGCTGGGCGACGCGTGTCTCGCTTCGCGAGCGAGATGCCTTCCGAGTTGAATGTGTGTATGTTGAACTTCTTTCGCACCGTACATAGCCAACTGTGCCAATCGGAGGTGCGGGGGAAGGACAACAAACGAAGCACAAAAAGCAGCTCTAAATAAATGCGTTTTAAAATTAGATTTAAAAGTGCAAAGCTCCAGTGGCTTCTTAATATCGAATCGAAGAGCGCTCCAGATGGTCGCAAAAGCGCGTCTGAAAGCACGCGACGCAGTGACCACCGCCTTTGTTCGAGGTACATTTGAGCCCCAACATTCTCCACTATTGAACGACTTTTCTCTGTGAGAAGTGCAAATTATGATTTTCAAATAAAGTAATAAAACGTCAAATGTAACACCACATGTGAAGAACCGCAGTGTTTGCAGGTGCCTGTCCTCAGCATCTGCAGTTCACACTCGTTAAGTGAAACGACCCAGTATCAACGAGTCGCTGGGCCACGCACCAAAGACCGTGAAATACAAACTATGGACCATACAGTGAACCACGAGGAGGTGGGGCCGCCAAAGATCCCCCGTGTAGCCTTAACAAACTTGCGGCAAGTGCTGTTTGCGAGCACCTATGAAGACTGGCACGGCACACGAGGGGGTTGGTGGCCAGCACCACGCCGCGGCTGCCTTTGTCTCCCTACTGGTCAAATATAAAGCGCTAACTTCCTTTTAAACCCGAGACAACGCTCAATGCACTTTATAAGTTCACAAATAACGTAATTTGTAAGTGTAGGCCATCGTGTTCTGGCATCACCCTCATCGCCCCCTACTGCAAACACCTGGCAGGACCCTGCTGCAAACAGAGCCATGAGACTCGCGGAGGCTGTCCCGTGTACACACGCTTAGTAGTATTAGCATCAGAACATCATCAGCAGGCCAATGCACAAATCTCCTTCGTGAATGGAATATTAAAGACACAAGCCACAGTAGTGCGATCGTGGCCATCCAACCCAAACTATGGACCGTATAGTAAACCCATCGAGATGCACGGAGACACACAGACACACATAGACACACACAGACACATAGACACAGAGAGACTTATAGAGACACAGAGAGACTTAGAGAGACACAGAGAGACACATTGAAGACAAGCCACAGTGCTAGCGTGGCCGTGCAACCCGCACCGTGGGGCCGGCAGAGGACACTGCTGCGACGGTTGCCGTAACCACGTGCGGTGGCTGCTGTGCGGTGCAGCTGGAGGGAGAGGTGGACGCCGAGGCCCCGGTGAGCGTGGAGGCGATCGGGGAGTGGAGCGCAGCGCGGGATGCCAAGCTCTCGCTCCATGTGCAGCCGGGCTTTCCCACAAACCCCTGGGACTGGATCGGGCTCTATGCTGTACGCGCACGCACGCACGCACCCACGCTTTCGCCGATAAGACATCGGTGTGAGTGCCGCCACATTGCCTTTTAATGGGCGTTTTCACATTTGTGTATTGTTGTAAGCCACACGTCAGGGGCCCGCTGTGTAACACATGTTCACGTGTGTTACACATGTAACACACGTGTAACACACATGTTAACGTGTGCTCGTGTTTGTATGTCGGTGTGTGGGGAGCGGCCCGCGGGCCTTGCAGTAAATAACAACGACTGACACACACGAAAAGGCCCCCGTGTAGTCTTACAGGCTGCTGAGTGAGCACCTATGTCAGCTGGCACGGCACACGAGGGGGTGGGTGACAAACAACAAACCCGGCCGCCTTTGTCTCCCTCGTGGCGATGTTTACACACATGACTGGGTACTCGTTTGAGGCCGAGTCGACCTAGGAGGGGGAGACCCACGACGCGTTAACCGCTCCACTATCACTCCCCATGACGCGCGCGTTGACGCGTGCGTGCAGGTCGGCTGGCGTCACCCCAAGGACTACGTGTCGTACGTGTGGGCCCGCGACGAGGAACTCTGGAGCCTCTGCGATGACCGGCTGGTGAGAGCCCCCCCCTCCCCGCCCGCCCCCCTCCCCGCCCCCCCCTCCCCGCCCCCCCCTCCCCGCCCCCCCCCTCCCCGCCCCCCTCCCCCCAGAGCTGATGGAGACGCAGGCGAGCTCCCTCCTCCCCCGTGGAGCGCGTGTCACTGTGTGTCGCCGTGTGTCACGGTGGCTGTCTGTGTGTCGCCGTGTGTCACAGTGAGTCACGGTGGCTGTCTGTGTGTCACTGTGTGTCACACTGAGTCACTGTGACTGCGTCACGGTGGCTGTCTGCGTTGCTTCAGGTTCGCTTCGACTCGGAGCTGATTCCACGCGATGGTGGCGAGCATGTGCTCGCGTTCTACAGCCGCAAGCACGGCATTGTGGGAATCAGCCGCCCCTTCACGGTGCGTAGCGCACACTGGACACTGGGCTCGCATGGTCCTCGTGGTTTCGGAAAGTTCGTCCCGGTCGCCTAAAGATTTTCCGAAAACTTGAATTTTCTTCCAGTTTAACAGTTTCTGGCCTCTTGTTCGAGTGATGACGCGAAGGCCGGGGCCACCCGAGCAGCGATAATTGTGTGATTAATGAAAATTATTAGCACCCACTCTTTCAAATCCCCCCTTGTTATTTAACGGTTAAAGTTATTTTATTTCTTTCCATTTCGATAGATTCTCTAATTAGTCTTGGCCAGTAGTAGCTAGTTTTGCACAGAACTTCAACATCAAAATCAATCGATTGTCCTTGTTGGCACGCGTGCTCTGCTACTGCTGACAGCTGTATTTGGGAGAATTAAATATTTAGCTGATGTTCTATTAGTCTTGTGCTGATGATTCGTCCTGTTTACCCAACATAACATTTACCCAACATAACATTCTAATTTACTCTCTCATTCACCGGTGTTCTCTCAATCACACTCATTCACTCTGGTCAGTCATTCACTTGTTCACTATGCGATTATCATCATCTAGCAATCACTCTCTGAATGGGGTGTTTCACTCAATCTCATTCTCCATTCCCTCTTTCACTCAGGGTGCCACGATGGAGAGATATTAACTACTTCGCCTGGTATACAGGAGGTCATGAATTTGATCCCGACCCTGACGCCTGCTGCTGCTGTATATTTAGAGTTTGCGTGTCTCTCTCCCCGTGGTTGCGTGGACTTTTCTCCGGGTTCTCCGGGTTTTCCCTGCACATTTAGAATTAACGTGCATTTCAGAGTATCTGGCTGCTCTAAGTTTGCACGTGATAAGCCACTTGGTTGCGCTATCATTTGTGATCGCCAGGTCACTTCTGCAAGAGAGCGACACAGCTCTGTGGCATAACGAACATTAGTAAATATTAACTCTCCCTTCTAACCCCCCACAGGTCTCCACTGCTCCCTTCTCCCCCCCCGACAGTCCCCCCCGCACCCCCACTGAGGACCGCTCCTCTTGGGGGAACGACTTCTGATGGCGCTCCTCGTTAACGGCTCCACTGACGAAGGGGCGGGAGATGACGAGGTGGGGGGAACGGTCATCGTCGGTGAAGTATGGGGATCGATGGTGAATCTACCGGTCTCCTCCGCATCACAGGCCCGCACCTCCCTCCCCTCATCGCCCCGCCTCGTGAGCGACCATCCCACGTGCTTGATTGGAACCCGCGGTTGAACTTCGCTGCGGTTGCTACGCAGCTGCACTTTAGATCCATATTGGGGGAGGGGGGGGGCTTTGCGTGCGGTGCTGTGTGTGTAATGTGCTGTGTGTGTGTGCTGTGTGTGTGTGCTGTGTGTGTAATGTGCTGTGTGTGTGTGTGCTGTGTAATGTGCTGTGTGTGTGTGATGTGTGTGTGTGTAATGTGCTGTGTGTGTGCTGTGTGTGTGTGATGTGTTGTGTGTGTGCTGTGTGTGCTGTGTGTGTGCTGTGTGTGTGCTGTGTGTGCTGTGTGTGTGCTGTGTGTGCTGTGTGTGTGCTGTGTGTGCTGTGTGTGTGATGTGTGTGCTGTGTGATGTGTGTTGTGGTGTGCTGTGTGTGTGCTGTGTAGGTGTGTGTGCTGTGTAGGTGTGTGTGCTGTGTAGGTGTGTGTGCTGTGTAGGTGTGTGTGCTGTGTAGGTGTGTGTGCTGTGTAGGTGTGTGTGCTGTGTAGGTGTGTGTGCTGTGTAGGTGTGTGTGCTGTGTAGGTGTGTGTGCTGTGTAGGTGTGTGTGCTGTGTAGGTGTGTGTGCTGTGTAGGTGTGTGTGCTGTGTAGGTGTGTGTGCTGTGTAGGTGTGTGTGCTGTGTAGGTGTGTGTGCTGTGTAGGTGTGTGTGCTGTGTAGGTGTGTGTGCTGTGTAGGTGTGTGTGCTGTGTAGGTGTGTGTGCTGTGTAGGTGTGTGTGCTGTGTAGGTGTGTGTGCTGTGTAGGTGTGTGTGCTGTGTAGGTGTGTGTGCTGTGTAGGTGTGTGTGCTGTGTAGGTGTGTGTGCTGTGTAGGTGTGTGTGCTGTGTAGGTGTGTGTGCTGTGTAGGTGTGTGTGCTGTGTAGGTGTGTGTGCTGTGTAGGTGTGTGTGCTGTGTAGGTGTGTGTGCTGTGTAGGTGTGTGTGCTGTGTAGGTGTGTGTGCTGTGTAGGTGTGTGTGCTGTGTAGGTGTGTGTGCTGTGTAGGTGTGTGTGCTGTGTAGGTGTGTGTGCTGTGTAGGTGTGTGTGCTGTGTAGGTGTGTGTGCTGTGTAGGTGTGTGTGCTGTGTAGGTGTGTGTGCTGTGTAGGTGTGTGTGCTGTGTAGGTGTGTGTGCTGTGTAGGTGTGTGTGCTTTGTAGGTGTGTGTGCTGTGTAGGTGTGTGTGCTGTGTAGGTGTGTGTGCTGTGTAGGTGTGTGTGCTGTGTAGGTGTGTGTGCTGTGTAGGTGTGTGTGCTGTGTAGGTGTGTGTGCTGTGTAGGTGTGTGTGCTGTGTAGGTTGTGTGCTGTGTAGGTGTGTGTGCTGTGTAGGTGTGTGTGCTGTGTAGGTTGTGTGTGCTGTGTAGGTGTGTGTGCTGTGTAGGTGTGTGTGTTGTGTAGGTGTGTGTGCTTTGTAGGTGTGTGTGTTGTGCAGGTGTGTGTGCTTTGTAGGTGTGTGTGTTGTGTAGGTGTGTGTGCTGTGTAGGTGTGTGTGTTGTGTAGGTGTGTGTGCTTTGTAGGTGTGTGTGTTGTGTAGGTGTGTGTGCTTTGTAGGTGTGTGTGTTGTGTAGGTGTGTGTGCTGTGTAGGTGTGTGTGTTGTGTAGGTGTGTGTGCTGTGTAGGTGTGTGTGTTGTGTAGGGTGTGTGGCTTTGTAGGTGTGTGTGTTGTGTAGGTGTGTGTGCTTTGTAGGTGTGTGTGTTGTGTAGGTGTGTGTTGCTGTGTAGGTGTGTGTGTTGTGTAGGTGTGTGTGCTTTGTAGGTGTTGTGTTGTGTAGGTGTGTGTGTTGGTGTAGGTGTGTGTGTTGTGTAGGTGTGTGTGTTGTGTAGGTGTGTGTGCTTGTAGGTGTTGTGTCTGTGTAGGTGTGTGTGCTGTGTAGGTGTGTGTGTTGTGTAGGTGTGTGTGCTGTGTAGGTGTGTGTGTTGTGTAGGTGTGTGTGCTTTGTAGGTGTGTGTGTTGTGTAGGTGTGTGTGTTGTGTAGGTGTGTGTGCTTTGTAGGTGTGTGTGTTGTGTAGGTGTGGTGGTTGTGTAGGGGTGTGTGCTGTGTAGGTGTGTGTGCTGTGTAGGTGTGTGTGCTGTTGTAGGTGTGTGTGCTGTGTAGGTGTGTGTGTTGTGTAGGTGTGTGTGCTTTGTAGGTGTGTGTGTTGTGTAGGTGTGTGTGTTGTGTAGGTGTGTGTGCTGTGTAGGTGTGTGTGCTGTGTAGGTGTGTGTGCTGTGTAGGTGTGTGTGTTGTGTAGGTGTGTGTGCTGTGTAGGTGTGTGTGTTGTGTAGGTGTGTGTGCTTTGTAGGTGTGTGTGTTGTGTAGGTGTGTGTGCTTGTGTAGGTGTGTGTGCTGTGTAGGTGTGTGTGCTGTGTAGGTGTGTGTGTTGTGTAGGTGTGTGTGCTGTGTAGGTGTGTGTGTTGTGTAGGTGTGTGTGCTGTGTAGGTGTGTGTGTTGTGTAGGTGTGTGTGCTGTGTAGGTGTGTGTGCTGTGTAGGTGTGTGTGCTGTGTAGGTGTGTGTGCTGTGTAGGTGTGTGTGTTGTGTAGGTGTGTGTGCTGTGTAGGTGTGTGTGCTGTGTAGGTGTGTGTGCTGTGTAGGTGTGTGTGCTGTGTAGGTGTGTGTGTTGTGTAGGTGTGTGTGCTGTGTAGGTGTGTGTGTTGTGTAGGTGTGTGTGCTGTGTAGGTGTGGTGCTGTGTAGTGTGTGTGCTGTGTAGGTGTGTGTGCTGTGTAGGTGTGTGTGCTGTGTAGGTGTGTGTGCTGTGTAGGTGTGTGTGCTTGTGTAGGTGTGTGTGCTGTGTAGGTGTGTGTGCTGTGTAGGTGTGGTGTGCTGTGTAGTGTGTGTGTCTGTGTAGGTGTGTGTGCTGTGTAGGTTGTGTGCTGTGTAGGGTGTGTGTTGTGTAGGTGTGTGTGCTGTGTAGGGTGTGTGTGCTGTGTAGGTGTGTGTGCTGTGTAGGTGTGTGTGCTGTGTAGGTGTGTGTGTTGTGTAGGTGGTGTGTGCTTGTGTAGGTGTGTGTGTTGTGTAGGTGTGTGTGCTGTGTAGGTGTGTGTGCTGTGTAGGTGTGTGTGCTGTGTAGGTGTGTGTGCTGTGTAGGTGTGTGTGCTGTGTAGGTGTGTGTGTCTGTGTAGGTGTGTGTGCTGTGTAGTGTGTGTTGCTGTGTAGGTGTGTGTGTGTTAGGTGTGTGTGCTGTGTAGGTGTGTGTGCTGTGTAGGTGTGGTGTGCTGTGTAGGTGTGTGTGCTGTGTAGGTGTGTGTGCTGTGTAGGTGTGTGTGCTGTGTAGGTGTGTGTGCTGTGTAGGTGTGTGTGCTGTGTAGGTGTGTGTGCTGTGTAGGTGTGTGTGCTGTGTAGTGTGTGTGCTGTGTGGTAGTGTGTGCTGTTGTGGGTGCTGTGTGTGTAGGTGTGTGTGCTGTGTAGGTGTGTGTGCTGTGTAGGTGTGTGTGCTGTGTAGGTGTGTGTGCTGTGTAGGTGTGTGTGCTGTGTAGGTGTGTGTGCTGTGTAGGTGTGTGTGCTGTGTAGGTGTGTGTGCTGTGTAGGTGTGTGTGCTGTGTAGGTGTGTGTGCTATGGTGTGGACCGCTGTGTGTGGCGTGCAGTGGGGGGCTGACGTGGTGGTGGTGGTGGTGGTATGTGTGAGCCGCCGTGAAGTGTGGTGTGGGTTGTTAGGGTGTGGCACGGGGGTGTCGTGTGTTGTGACGTGAATTGTTTAGCGGGTGGAGTGACGTGTGGCGCGACTCGACAGGTTTGCGGAGTCGGTGGTGGGACGTCGTGTGTGGTGTGTGGTGTGGGGGGTGGTGGGTGGTGTGGGGGGTGGTGTGTGGTGTGGGGGGTGGTGTGTGGTGTGGGGGGTGGTGTGTGGTGTGGGGGGTGGTGTGTGGGGGGTGGTGTGTGGTGTGGGGGGTGGTGTGGGGGGTGGTGTGTGGTGTGGGGGGTGGTGTGTGGTGTGGGGGGTGGTGTGTGGTGTGGGGGGTGGTGTGGGGGGTGGTGTGTGGTGTGGGGGGTGGTGTGTGGTGTGGGGGGTGGTGTGTGGTGTGGGGGGGTGGTGTGTGGTGTGGGGGGTGGTGTGTGGTGTGGGGGTGGTGTGTGGTTAGGCTGAAACTAACACGTGGCATACGGTTCGGACCGTTGTGGTGGAATTATGTTGGTGCCACATAGAGTGCTCGTGTGTGTGTGGTGATGTGGGTGGTATGGAGAGCGGGCGTGTAGCGGTTTCGGGCGCTGCCCTGCGCTATGAACCCGGTGACCAGAGTTCGATTCCCGCTCACAGCCAACACCAGTGACAATTGTCTGAACTGGTCCTGGGCCTCCCCTAGGTCGCCTCTACCTCAAATGAGTTCCCGGTTTGGTGTGTAAACATTACCACATGCGCAGGTGAGCCGGAACGCTTGGGATGGGACGGTCATCACGTCCGTCTACCTGTGTGCGGGTATCTGTCGAGGTGCTGGCACTTGCCTCAGCAGTCTGTTCAAGCTGAGTGGGGGATCTTTGTGGTGGGTGGTGCAGCGTGCCGTGGTTTCGAGTGACGTGGTGTGACGTGACGTGACGTGGTGTGACGTGGTGTGACATGGTGACGTGGTGTGACATGGTGACGTGGGTTGCTAGGTTGAGTGTGGTGTGATATGACGAGCTCGGTTATGACCAGGTGATGTTTTATGTGATTAGAAGCGTGGGGTGGCCACGTGCTCTGGGGTTGTGGCGCGGGTTGTGTGGTTATATGGTTGGTGCGGTTTGATACGTGGAGTGGTGATGATTGGGGTGGATTTAGTGTTGTTTGATGCGTGGTATGCTGAGGATTGGGGTGGATTTGGTGTTGTTTGATGCGTGGTGTGATGATTGGGGTGGATTTGGCGTGGTTTGATGCGTGGTGTGGTGTGGATTGGTGGTGGGGTTGCAGTTGTGTGATGTGGCAGGGCCAGGTGTGACGTACCGAAGCTAACGATGTGCACTTCCATGACAATCATACGTTGTTGCTACACATGTTTCTCGCGCTCCCAGCACGGCACTGAGGAGTGACCAATGTACTAAGCTATTGTACTTATTATGAATAAACAACATTATTACTCGACTGCCTGGTGATCGCTACATTATCAATGATAACAAATCAATCGGCCTGTGCAGGTGCCACGTCGATCAATAGTTACGTCGCAGGATCGCGCGAGATGGTGACGGCGGCTTTGGGAGGAGGCACTCATCCAGCAGTGGATTGACCGTCGCTGATACACATTGTTGATGGTGAAGAGTGAACGTTGTTGGTGGTGAAGAGGAGTAAACTTTGTTGATGGTGAAGAGTAGTAAACGTTCGTACCGCACTGCCTGCAGTCGAGTGAACTCTTCCGATCGTCGCGCACAGCCTGCTGTAAACTCCCGCGGGGAAATGAACCCAAGTTGTAACAAGAACTACACTACTACACTACTTGTATTTGACCAGGCAAGGCCCACGGAGCCATGTAGTTCTTTTTCAGAAGCGACCCGCCCGCCGCAAATTACAAACCGAACCAAAGTGGCTCAGCGTGTGGCAATGTCCAGCAGCAGCAACAGTAGCCCGCCGCTCTGAGCCACTGACGTTGGTGCTAAATGTGCAGGGACCCGGAGACAAATCCATGGGGAGAACACGCAAACTCCACATGTAGAGCAGCAAGTGTCTGGGCCGGTAACGAACCCACGACCTCCTGCGTACCAAGCGAGGTCGTCAACATCTCACCACCGCGGTGCCCGAGTCAGACCTTGAAGACCCTGTGCGGCTATCGCCAATCTCAATCGTTGCTGACGAAGGAGGTCAATTGGCCGAAACGTCGTCATAACGTTTGGTCTCGGTGACGACATTCAAGAAATAGAACACCCTGGTAAAATAATCGAGACGACTGATGAGAGATTTTAACATTTTACTTACAAGTCGACAAAGGTCTCCCACCAACCCGAACGCAGTTGGCAGATCGTGGAGCTCTCTCCTGGTCTACACAGTAGATCGTGGAGCTCTCTCCTGATCAACACACTCGGTAGATCGTGGAGCTCTCTCCTGATCAACACACTCAGTAGATCGTGGAGCTCTCTCCTGATCAACACACTCAGTAGATCGTGGAGCTCTCTCCTGATCAACACACTCAGTAGATCGTGGAGCTCTCTCCTGATCAACACAGTAGATCGTGGAGCTCTCTCCTGATCAAAACACTCAGTAGATCGTGGAGCTCTCTCCTGATCAACACAGTAGATCGTGGAGCTCTCTCCTGATCAACACAGTAGATCGTGGAGCTCTCTCCTGATCAACACGGTAGATCGTGGAGCTCTCTCCTGGTCAACACAGTAGATCGTGGAGCTCTCTCCTGGTCAACACAGTAGATCGTGGAGCTCTCTCCTAATCAACACGGTAGATCGTGGAGCTCTCTCCTGGTCAACACAGTAGATCGTGGCGCTCTCTCCTGATCAACACAGTAGATCGTGGAGCTCTCTCCTGATCAACACGGTAGATCGTGGAGCTCTCTCCTGGTCAACACAGTAGATCGTGGAGCTCTCTCCTGATCAACACGGTAGATCGTGGAGCTCTCTCCTGGTCAACACAGTAGATCGTGGCGCTCTCTCCCGATCAACACGGTAGATCGTGGCGCTCTCTCCTGGTCAACACAGTAGATCGTGGCGCTCTCTCCTGATCAACACGGTAGATCGTGGAGCTCTCTCCTGGTCAACACAGTAGATCGTGGCGCTCTCTCCTGATCAACACGGTAGATCGTGGAGCTCTCCTGGTCAACACAGTAGATCGTGGCGCTCTCTCCTGATCAACACGGTAGATCGTGGCGCTCTCTCCTGGTCAACACAGTAGATCGTGGCGCTCTCTCCTGATCAACACGGTAGATCGTGGAGCTCTCTCCTGGTCAACACAGTAGATCGTGGCGCTCTCTCCTGATCAACACGGTAGATCGTGGAGCTCTCTCCTGGTCAACACAGTAGATCGTGGCGCTCTCTCCTGATCAACACGGTAGATCGTGGAGCTCTCTCCTGGTCAACACAGTAGATCGTGGCGCTCTCTCCTGATCAACACGGTAGATCGTGGAGCTCTCTCCTGATCAACACGGTAGATCGTGGCGCTCTCTCCCGATCAACACGGTAGATCGTGGAGCTCTCTCCTGGTCAACACAGTAGATCGTGGCGCTCTCTCCTGATCACAGATCAACGCGGCCGTGGGTTTTGCACACGGCCATTCCAGGATGAGTCACCGAGGTCTCACGGTTGATCCCTTTCCCCGCGTGCCCAGACGAAGACCCCCTCCCCCCGTAGCCTCAATCGGGCAACATCTTGCACGGCCGCATTTCTCTTCTTCGGGCTGACCATTCTCGATCACGACCACCAACACCGGTGACGATTACATTATCGGAACCGGTCCTGGGCCTCCCCGTAGGTCCACTCAGCCTAAAATGACTACGTGGCGCGGTGTGTCGTAAACATCGCCACTGGGGAGACAAAGGCGGCCGGGCGTGGTGCTGGCCACCCACCCCCTCGTGTGCCACAGCGCCTGCCAATCACGGGCGCTCGCCAACAGCACTTGCCCCGGCAGTCTGCTCGTGCTACACGGGGGAGCTTTGTCTTTGTGTGCGTCTCGGGCTGTTCCTGTTGTGCGAAGTCTCGCGTCACTTCGCGTGATCCGCGTCGTCGTCGATGTTGATGTTTCCCGGCAGTGACGTCAGCGGCTCCTGCCACGGGACCGCCCCGCGGGCTCGTGGCGACCCCTCGACAGACACCATCACCCCCCCCCCCCTTGTCACCCCCCCCCTTGTCACCTCCCTCCTTGTCACCCCCCCCTTGTCACCCCCCCCTTGTCACCCCCCCCTTGTCACCTCCCCCCTTGTCACCCCCCCCTTGTCACCCCCCCCCCCTTGTCAACCCCCCCCCTTGTCACCCCCCCCTTGTCACCCACCCCTTGTCACCCCCCCCTTGTCACCTCCCCCCTTGTCACCCCCCCCTTGTCACCACCCCCCCTTGTCACCCCCCCCCTTGTCACCCCCCCCTTGTCACCTCCCCCCTTATCAACCCCCCCCTCGTCACCCCCCCCTTGTCACCCCCCCCCTTGTCACCCCCCCCTTGTCACCTCCCCCCTTGTCACCCCCCCCTTGTCACCACCCCCCCTTGTCACCCGCCCCTTGTCACCCCCCCCTTGTCAACCCCCCCCTTGTCAACCCCCCCCTCGTCACCCCCCCCCCTCGTCACCCCCCTTGTCAACCCCCCCCTCGTCACCCCCCCCCCTTGTCACCCCCCCTTGTCACCCCCCCCTTGTCACCCCCCCCTTGTCACCCCCCCCCTTGTCACCTCCCCCCTTATCAACCCCCCCCCTTGTCATCCGCCCCTTGTCACCCCCCCCTTGTCAACCCCCCCCTCGTCACCCCCCCCCTCGTCACCCCCCCTTGTCAACCCCGCCCTCGTCACCCCCCCCCCTTGTCACCCCCCCCCTTGTAAACCCCCCCGTTGTCAACCCCCCCCTTGTCACCCCCCCCTTGTCACCCCCCCTTGTCAACCCCCCCCCTTGTCAACCACCTCGACAGTGGCGACACCACCACCCCCCCCCCTTGTCACCCCCCCCCCTTGTCAACCCCCCCCTTGTCACCCCCCCCTTGTCAACCCCCCCCCTTGTCACCCCCCCCCCTTGTCACCCCCTCCCCTTGTCACCCCCCTCCCCCCTTGTCAACCCCCCCCCTTGTCAACCCCTCCTCGTCACCCCCCCTTGTCACCCCCCCCTTGTCACCCCCCCTTGTCACCCCCCCCCCCCTTGTCACCCCCCCCTTGTCACCTCCCCCTTGTCACCCCCCCCTTGTCACCCCCCCTTGTCAACCCCCCCCCCTTGTCAACCACCTCGACAGTGGCGACACCACCACCCCCCCCCCTTGTCACCCCCCCCTTGTCACCTCCCCCTTCCCTTGTCACCCCCCCCCCCTTGTCAACCCCCCCCCTTGTCAACCCCCCCCCTTGTCAACCCCCCCTTGTCACCCCCCCCCTTGTCACCCCCCTCCCCCTTGTCACTCCCCCCCTTGTCAACCCCCCCCCCTTGTCAACCCCCCCCCCTTGTCACCCCCCCCTTGTCACCCCCCTCCCCTTGTCACCCCCCTCCCCTTGTCACCCCCCTCCCCTTGTCACCCCCCTCCCCCTTGTCACCCCCCCCCCCTTGTCACCCCCTCCCCTTGTCACCCCCTCCCCTTGTCACCCCCTCCCCTTGTCACCCCCTCCCCTTGTCACCCCCCCCCTTGTCACCCCCTCCCCTTGTCACCCCCTCCCCTTGTCACCCCCCCCCCCCTTGTCACCCACGGCGGGTTGAAGGGGTTTGTAAACGGGGGCTCTGCGACGCGTCGCGCGGGAGATTGAGTTGGCTTCGATGTTCGTCACCTTCCACTTGTCAAGCCGCATTGACCAGCGTGGTGAAGTATGGTCAAGCGAGCCACGTGCTCGACACGGCGGGGGGGGGGGGGGCTTCATCCAGCAGTGGATTCACAGATGGCTGTAAATGATTCATCGTAATCATCAGCCGCGCTCTTGGGAGCAGAGCACTTGCTACGTGCGGGTTGCCTGCGATCTGTACCCACACACGCCCGCCCGGCCGCCTTTGTCTCCCCAGAGCCGTGTGTTTACAATGTACGCGAGGCAACTTGCTTTAAGGCCGAGTCGACCTTGGGGTGGCCCGGGCTCGACTTGTTTCCTGCTATGACGAGTTACGGAGCTTTTACGCGGAAGCTGCGAACGAAGCAGCCGAGACAGCAGCTGAGACAAGAGCCGAGACAAGAGCTGAGACAGGAGCCGAGACAGCAGCTGGGACAGGAGCTCGCAGACTCAGGCTGGGACAGGAGCTGAGACAGCAGCTGAGACAGGAGCCGAGACAGCGGCTGGGAGACTCCCCCTGGGACAGGAGCTGGGACAGGAGCTCGCAGACTGCGGCCTGATGAGCTCACAGCCCCAGGGGCCCCACTCGCACGTCCAGGTGAGCTAGAACGCTCGGCACGGGACGGTCAGCGTGTCACCTGTGTCTACCTGTGACTACCAGTGACTACCTGTGTCTACCTGTGACTACCAGTGACTACCTGTGACTACCTGTGATTACCAGTGTCTACCTGTGACTACCTGTATCTACCTGTATCTACCTGTGTCTACCTGTGACTACCAGTGACTACCAGTGACTACCTGTGACTACCTGTGATTACCAGTGTCTACCAGTATCTACCTGTGTCTACCAGTGACTACCTGTGACTACCTGTGTCTACCAGTGTCTACCTGTGACTACCTGTGACTACCTGTGTCTACCTGTGTCTACCAGTGACTACCTGTGACTACCTGTGATTACCAGTGTCTACCTATGTCTACCTGTGACTACCAGTGTCTACCTGTGTCTACCAGTGACTACCTGTGTCTACCAGTGACTACCTGTGACTACCTGTGATTACCAGTGTCTACCTGTGACTACCAGTGTCTACCTGTGTCTACCAGTGTCTACCAGTGACTACCAGTGACTAACTGTGACTACCAGTGTCTACCTGTGTCTACCTGTGTCTACCAGTGTCTACCAGTGACTACCAGTGACTACCTGTGACTACCTGTGACTACCAGTGTCTACCTGTGTCTACCTGTGACTACCTGTGTCTACCTGTGTCTACCTGCGACTACCTGTGACTACCAGTGTCTACCTGTGTCTACCTGCGACTACCTGTGACTAACAGTGTCTACCGTGCCCCCCCCCCCGCAGTTTTAAATGTGAACACCGTCCAGTATAAAGTCGATTGTGTTCAATATAAATTATGTTTGTTCACAATAAGTAATGAAGTGTTTGTGGTATGAAACGGTAGTTACGAAGGCTGGAAACGCATCCTTATCGTTCTGTTCGCTGTACGCCCATCGCGATGGGAAGGTTCAATAATCGAACAAAGCTCCAGGAACGCCTCTCTGCTTCTGCGTGGTCCGCCGAGCGGGTTGACGACTCGAAGCGCCGCACGGCAAATACTACTGCAGCAGCAGCAGTAGTAGCAGCAGCAGCAGTAGTAGCAGCAGCTGCAGCAGTAGTAGCAGCAGCAGCTGCAGCAGCAGTAGTAGCAGCAGCAGCAATGTTTGTAAAGACCTCACTTCCTCCCTTAACATCGGTCGTCTTCCTTTAAAAATAGGCCCTCAAGTCAAATAGTGCTGGATAGAGTCACATTTGCCAACGCGATTTGTACCTGTGATCGTCACACGTGTCGGTAGTATCGATCGTTCAATGTGAATGTGCCATTGTATTGAGGGTGTGCTGTTGTCCTGGCGTGGTCTACGACTGCTGCTGCTGTTGTTGTTTTACTGCCTTGCCCAATCTGCATCAGTCGGACTATATGATGTATTTATTTGTATTTCGTGACTTCATTTACATTTTTCTATGTTGCCCTCCTATCGTTTTTTGTCGTTTCCTGTTATAACTTGCTGACCCACCCATAGTGGGCATCTGTGTAAAGAGCTTCATAGCTCATCGGATTCCTCCTGTCGTCTAAATTAAGATTCTGATTCTTCTGATTCATATTTCGATTTTTTTGTTAAATTCACAATGTAATCATTTAAAAGCGACTATTGTCGTGTTTGTCGGGTGACAACGTCATTTGTGTGGCTGTGTGGCGTGCTGGAGGGCCACGGGTTTACTTGACACCCACACCTCGGGTCGTCAGTCACAACCCCGAGCCGGGTGGCAGTGCACGTGGTCTGTGCACGTGGTCTGTTATCCAGCGCTGTGTGGAGGCAGCAGCGAGGGCTGGTGGATCACCGCACGTGGGCGTCGAGGAGGAGCCGTCCCCCGGCTCGCCACAAGGAGGCGCTACAGGAGAGTGCGGCCGAATCTCCATCTGTTCCACCCGCGTGAGACGAGAGAGTCTGGCCCCCACTGCCGCCACGTGGGCACGACCCGACGGGCGCTCTGGTGTCCACGCACAACGTCAAGACGTGTTTGTGGAACTTCTTTGGCACCGTACGTAGGCCACCTCGCTCATCGTAGGTTGATTGCCTGATAACGCCTTCATATACAGAGGACCGCGAAACTTGGAGGTGGGGGGATTTGGCGCCGGCTCCTCATCACCACGTGGCTGCTGCTGCTGCTGCTCCACGTGCCACCTCTGAGTGTCCCTCTCTCCGAGAGCGAAGAGCGGATGCCGAGCGGCGGCGGCGGCGGCGCAGTGTTCAAAGCCCTCGTTGTCCTCGTCGTCGTCATTGTTGTTGTTTGGTATCGGCACTCTGGCAGATTTGGATGCCGAATGCACGAATGGAAAAATAAAAACTGCCCAGAGTGCTCCTGTGGCCATACAGAGCGGAGCGCGGTGCTACGCGTAGCGGCGCTGTGCCCGACCCGCAAACACGGAGGAGACATGAAGGCGACGAGCCACTCCGCTGCTCCTCGTGCGGCTGTCTGGGTGGCCACCTGCACGTGACAGAAGAAGCTCTCCCTCCTACCCGGCCTGCAGGGAACCCGGATTGTTCTCGCTAAACAAGAGCCCAACCAGCGCCCAATCTACTCCAGCAGCCCCCCCCACCCCCACATTTCTAAATAAATAATTGAATGTTTCCCACCGGATTTCAGACGCGTGCCCCCTCTACAGGAGGGCCCCATTTCTCACTCGATGTTCTCCGCAACGCCGCTAATAGGCCGCTAATAGGCCTCTAATAGGCCGCTAATAGGCTGCTAATAGGCCTCTAATAGGCCGCTAATAGGCTGCTAATAGGCTGCCTTGGAGTTAAGGGGATTCTCGGCGTAAGGCACTACCACTAGAGTACAAGGCACGCCTATCCTTAACAATCTTGTGTTATTGTAGCCCTCTATTCTGATCGCCCTACGGACAGGTCGATAGGGATATAGAATGAGGACACTCGTGCGAGGTGGATGTTTCACGCGACAGTAGATGCGTTCCTGAAAAGTGCTGCATGAATTGAAAAACGCGTTGAGCGAAAACAATTTCGCCATAAATAGAGTAGCGATGGAGTTGGGCGAGGTACGGTGAACTACGCACACGCAGCAGTGAGATGGGGCGAGGCGTCAATTTGCTGACGGTAACGCCGTCACATTACCGCTTCACTCCGCTCAGGCGCGCAGCTCGAGAAAGTAGTTTGTCGTCGACTGCTCAGAAATTGCGTTATAACGAGAGGCGCGTGATAACGGGGGAGTGCGTCCTGCGTGATAACGGGCTGGCTACCTGGCTGGCTGGCTGGCTACCTGGCTGGCTGGCTGGCTACCTGGCTGGCTGGCTACCTGGCTGGCTACCTGGCTGGCTGGCTACCTGGCTGGCTACCTGGCTGGCTGGCTACCTGGCTGGCTACCTGGCTGGCTGGCTACCTGGCTGGCTACCTGGCTGGCTGGCTACCTGGCTGGCTACCTGGCTTGACGCGGCGTGGCGCCTCCCCCAACCCAACAACTCTCCGCCCCAGCCGCGTCTCCCTACAAAGGCGGCCGGGCGTGGTGCTGCCCATCCTCCCCCTCGTGTGCTACTCGCTAACGCGACTTGTTACGAAAATCTGTGAAGGCTACACGGGGGATCTTTGTCTTTGTTCTATCGTGTCCGTGTCTTCAGTGGCTGGGACGAGAATCGTGAGGAGGGCAATGGAGGAGGCGGAGGAGGAGGGGGGTGAGGACGTACGGGAATGTTCAAACTGGTGAGAGCACGCGATGTGTACTCACCCACACACCCCATACACTCACCCACACACCCCAAACACTCACCCACACACCCCAAACACTCACCCACACACTCACCCACACACCCCACACACTCACCCACACACCCCAAACACTCACCCACACACTCACCCACACACCCCAAACACTCACCACACACGCAATGTGCACTCACACCCCAAACACTCACCCACACACCCCAAACACTCACCCACACACTCACCCACACACCCCACACACTCACCCACACACGCAATGTGCACTCACACCCCAAACACTCACCCACACAGGTGAACTCACCAAAGTGTGTGGGGTGGGGGAGGGGGGCACTCCACAGGTTGGGGTTAGGGGTGGAAACTAAAACTAGGAAACTAGTTTTGTATTTTGCCAGCCAGGCAAGGCCCACTCAGCTGCGTCGCTCTTTTCCAGAAGTGACCTGGCCACAGATGAGAGCCCAACCAAGTGGCTCGTCACGTGGACATGTACAGCAGCAGCCAAACACTCTAAACGCGTGGTGGTGATGTTGATTCTAAATGTGGAGATAAATCCACGCAACCACGGGGAGAGAGAGAGACACGCAAACTCCAAATATACAGCAGAAGCAGGCGTCAGAGTCGGGATCGGAACCCACGACCTCCTGTGTACCAGGCGAGGCAGTCAACATCTCCTAGCCACCGGAAGTGCCCTGCCCCCTCCCCCTGTCCTCGGGATTGCGACCCAGAGAACCACCAACCCAGACAAGTCACTGAGCGAGATGAGAAGCTCTGGCTGGCGACCCGCTCACGGCTAACACCAGTGGCGGTTATCTGAATGGGTCCTGGGCCTCCCCTAGGTCGACTCGGCCTCAAATGAGTTCCATGGTGCGGTGTGTAGTAAACATCGCCACTGGGGAGACAGAAGCGGCCGGGCGCGGTGCTGGCCACTTACCCCTCGTGTGCCGTGCCGGTCTTGATAGGTGCTCACCAACAGCACTTGTTCCAACAGTCTGTCAAGGCTTTACGCGGGATCTTTGTCTTTGTGTCCCCGCGTCGACTGTGCCAACTGTGCCACAGGAGGGGGGCACAGCTGGTGCACCTGCCGGTTATCTCGGTCAAGCCGTGACACCTGGGTCTGTCCCGTTACGACCTGCCAGTGTGTTTGCTGAACCTCTTTCGCGCCGTACGGAGCCAACCGCGCTCATCGGAAGTGCTGGGGAAAGACAACACGCGGGGAAGGGCAGCCGCTAGCCCTTCGACATTTTACGTGGCCTCGAAGTCCACCTAGCCTGGCACGAGCGCCGTGGTGACGTCACCGCCACCGAGCGGCTGACGGCCGTCGTCGTCGTTGTTGTTGTTGTCGTTGTTGTCGTGTTCCCCGCGTGTCGTCGCCCCCGCAGCCGGCGCCCGATCGCCGCGGCGAACTTGCTGCTGCACGAGGCGCACTGCGTAGGCCGCCTGGCGCTGTGCGAGCGCTGCGGGGACGCCGTGCCGCGCGGGCAGCTGCAGGAGCACGTGGAGAGCGAGCACGCGGAGGTGAGGCGGCACGCGGGACAGCACGCGGGATAGCACTCGGGATAGTACAGGATAACACAGGATAGTACAGGATAGTACAGGATAGTACAGGATAACACAGGATAGTACAGGATAGCACAAGACGGCGTGAGACAGCGCGATGTCGCACGAGGCAGCATCTGCAAGGCAACACCCACACGAGTTACCGCATAGCAATAACCCCCCCTCTCCCCCCATAGCAATAACCCCCCCTCTCCCCCCATAGCAATGACCCCCCCCTCTCCCCCCATAGCAATAACCCCCCCTCTCCCCCCATAGCAATAACCCCCCCCTCTCCCCCCATAGCAATAACCCCCCCTCTCCCCCCATAGCAATGACCCCCCCCTCTACCCGCATGGCGAGCACCCCCCCCCCCCCCCGCTGGCAGCTGCTACCCACGTGCTCGCCAGCGCTCCGTACACATCTCGTGCGGTGGCACAGGGACAGCTGCCGCTGGGGGCCCCCTAGGCGAGACCACGACTTCTGCCGCAGGACAGTGGGAACGTTCAAGATGACATGAGAATGATGTAAAGCGCTTCGAGATTCCAGGACATTTCAACGCCTGCTAAAATTGTCATAGACACGACACGTTCGACCACGATCGAGTCGTGACATGGCCAACACGGTGGCGTGTAGTGAATTATATCGACTCGATTATTGCAACTCGCTACTCTACGGAACGTTTGGCAAAATCATCACCAAGCTGCAGCGTGTACAAGCTTCTCTGGCACGTGACTTGTCAAGCAAGATCTGACCGTGTCCATCCAGTGCTCGCCAAGCTGCTTTGACTTCCAATTCCCGAACGAATATGGTACAAGGTCGCAAATGAACCGAACTACCTTGCTAATATTGTTCAGGAGCATAAACCATCATGCGAACTCCGGTCATCCTCGCAGCGGCTTTTGGCTGCCTGTCGAACAGATGGAACACGTGTGCGTACATCGAAAACGTGATGGTAGTCAGCGTTCATGGCTTAGCGCGTCGCGTGAGACGTGTTTAAATATCATCGGGCGCGTGCAGTGTGGCAAGAGTCAATTTGTACAATTAGTACGTTAGTAAATGTTAGTAAATGTTAGTAAATGTAGGTTAGTAAATGTAGGGAAAGGCGGAGTGTGGTCGGGGTTCGCGAGGCCTGGAGTTGGGAAACTGCTTCGTGGGACCACAGCGACACGAGGAGGCATCCAGGTGTAAACAAATTTGTGTCTCTCTCTGCATGTTTCCTCTGCACCCAGGTGAGGTGCCCTTGTGGTGTGGTCCTCGAGAAATGCCAACTCGAAGATCATCAGGTGAGAGGTCATCATTGTAATAACAATTTAGATGGATAGATTTCATTGATTTCAGCAGGGCCAAACGTGCTGTTAGGTTATGGTTTATGGGGCTTTATAGGAGTAGTGACGCACTTCGCAGACACAACATGGGAGGCACTAAAGCCTTCACAGGCACAAGGGACACGATGCTTAGGTGAGGGGAGCAGCAGGCTGCCGGACCCACAGCGCTGTAGACGATGACGGAGACTCGTGACGCTCCACGGGTCCAACAACAGCCCTGAGTCCTCTCTGGGGCCCCCCTTTTATCCCCCCAGCGCAGCCTCGCTCCCCCTTGGCTACGCCCCCCTTCTAGAACCTCCTGGAAGGTTCCCGGGCTTCTCCCGCACCCCTTCCTCCCACCTACCCCCTCACCTGCTGGCCGACAGGGTTGCCATGGCAACCGAGCCCCTTTTTGCCAGCAGCCAACGCTACACGCCGTAGTGACCCATTCCACATCACCACACAGGTACGAACATCGGCCGTGATACAAGCCACGAGTCTCCTTTATCCTTATTCACGGAGGGCCTTCCACAACAAGGTTCAAGGGCCCTTCGCACAATGTATATTTGCACGTTGAACATCTTTCTACACGTGTTTTACGTGGGTTTACACGTGTTCCACGTGCATGTACACGTGTTCCACGTGCATGTACACGTATTCTGTGTGCGCGTGTACGCGTGTACCACGTGTTCCCTGTGCGCGTACATGTGTGTGCACGTACACGCGTCCCACACGCGCGTGTCCGCGTCGTGCCTCTGAGCGCACAGGGCGGTGCTTGCGGCCTGCGCCTGTGCGAGTGCCGCTACTGCGAGCTGGCGCTCGCGCAGCGCCAGCTCCCCCAGCACGAGCGCTTCTGCGGCGCCCGCACCGAGCCGTGCCCGGCCTGCGGGGCCTTCGTCCAGCACCGCGACAAGAAGGCCCACGCGCTCGGCTGCCCGCGAGCGCAGCAGGAGTGTCTGCAGAAGACACTGGAGCAACAGGAGCTGCAGAAGCAGCAGGAGCAGCAAATCCGACTCCAGAAGCAGCAGGAGCAGCAGCAGTGGCTACAGGAGCAGCAGCAGCAACTGGAGCAGCAGAAGCAGCAGGAGCAGCAGGAGCAGCAGGAGCAGCAGAAGCAACTGGAGCAGCAGAAGCAGCAGGAGCAGCAGAAGCAGCAGCTGAAGCAGCAGGAGCAGCAGAAGCAACTGGAGCATCAGAATCGACTACAGAAGCAGCAGGAGCAGCAGAAGCAGCAGCAGCAGAAGCAGCAGGAGCAGCAGAAGCAGCAGCAGAAGCAGCAGGAGCAGCAGAAGCAACAGCAGCAGGAGCAGCAGAAGCAGCAGCAGAAGCAGCAGCAGAAGCAGCAGGAGCAGCAGGAGCAGCAGAATCGACTGCAGAAGCAGCAGAAGCAACAGGAGCAGCAGAAGCAGCAGGAGCAGCAGAAGCAGCAGTGGCTGCAGGAGCAGCAGGAGCAGCAGAATCGACTGCAGAAGCAGCAGCAGAAGCAACAGGAGCAGCAGGAGCAGCAGGAGCAGCAGAATCGACTGCAGAAGCAGCAGAAGCACCAGCAGTGGCTGCAGCAGCAACTGGAGCAAACACCAAACTTAGAGGGGCACCAACAGAAGCAATGGAAGCAGCAGCAATGGCTGCGGCAAGGGCACCCGCATCAGGAGCTGCTACGGCATCGAGCGCAGGGACAGCAGCAGCAGCGGCACCGCGGGGCCTGCACACAGAGAGAGGGTGGAAGGGGTCCCAGTCGCAGAGCAGGCGCAGGGAGCCAGCGGGAGACGCGGCAGCAGATTGGAGCGCACCAAGTCCATTGGAGAGACGAGACGGAGAGGGCCAGAGAGGCAGAGGAGAGAGCCAGAGAGGCAGAGGAGAGAGCCATAGAGGCAGAGGAGAGAGCCAGAGAGGTAGAGGAGAGAGCCAGAGAGGCAGAGGAGAGAGCGGGAGAGCAAGAGGAGGGGGAGGGGCAGTGGGAGTTGGCGATGGAGACGCAAAAGGAGACGGGAACAAGGGTTCTCATGGAGCAGCGGTGGCAGTCCAGCTGGCCGGGAGGGACCGCGGCTCGCGTGGGGAGGCCCGGCTCGGGCACGAGCCGGGCCGGGCCAGCCAGGAGCCTGGTGTCCCGCAGGAGCCTGGTGTCCCGCAGGAGCCTGGTGTCCTACAGCAGCGGTGAGGGCGGCCCTGCCGTGCGCGTCGTGTACCTGCGCGCTTGCTTTGTTTACTTGCCTGTTTACAGCGTGTACCTTGGAATCACGTGCGCAGGTGGACGGATGTTTAACACGTAGGCTTCCGCGGCCAATATCATCCATAAGAGGTGTTTTTTGGGTTAGATCGCGTAAATAAATAAATGTGTCGTTAGAACCCGCCACCACCCGACACATCCAACTAGTAAGGGTTGTCACGTAGAACGTGCCAATTCGTCACCAGTACAGCACTAGTGTGTAGTGTAGTGTGTAGTAGTGTATAGTGTAGAGTAGTGTAGTGTATAGTGTAGTATACTAGTACAGCACATCGGTGTGTTGGAAAGCCAAGCCACAACATATACCATCCGTACTTTGTGATTACTGAAGGTTTTTTTTGTCTGGCACTCAGTAGCTACTATTGGGTAACTATTCGCATGCCTATTTAAAAACTGGTCATAAGCATTTTATTATTATTTAATTCTCATCAGGCCCCGTGCTGTTAAGTCTCCAATCTGTCTCTCTGGCTTCTCTGTTTATGTGCGGCGAAGATGGCCCATTGCCCAACATCTCACCGGTGACGTTGCCACCGCCTGATCTTGACCGTGCCGCCGCCTTGCCGACAGACGACAGCCAGAGCGGCGAGGAACTCCCCGGCGGCCACGCGCGGTTCCTCGGAGACCCCCAACCCTCGCGACCGACCCCCGCCGCGCCGTCGCACCGGGCCCCGGTGACGCCCGGGGCGGACGGTGGGGACCGCACGTTCCTGCCGTGCGAGTTCTGCGGGCTGCCCGTCGCGGCTGACGAGCTCATCCTGCACCAGGCGAGAGACGGCGCCGGGTGCGAGCGCTCGTGCGGAGCAACCCAGAGGGGGGGGGGCCCTCCTCTCTCCGGGTCGCTCCACGCGAACGTCTCCGCGGCCGTGCCGCGCGGCGCTCGCACGTGCAGCTGTAGCCACGCCGTGTCGCGTGCTCTCGCGACCGGTGTCACCATTCATTCATCGTGTTTTGGTGAACTCCCAGGCTACCCCGCCCCACCCCCCGTGGTAAACTGACGGACTGCCACCGCCCCCCTTTCCCGAGTAAAGCCCATTGAGCTCAGAAGATATTTTTGGTGTTTTGGTGGACAAGTACAGAGCAGATCTATGGACAGCTGCCTTGTCAATGAGAACAGCCCCGCGGTGAAAACATCTTCTCACATCCAAGGACATTCACCCACCCATGGCCAAGAGGAGCTCACAGTGATGCGTCCTCTATGGGGCATCCACTGCAAATCTTCACACAGCAGAGTAAACCGGGCGCCTCGCGGTGGCGAGATGTTCTCTCCCTCGCCTGGTGTGCAGGAGGTCGTGGGTTCGATCCCGACCCTGACGCCTGCTGCTGCTGCTGTATATTTGGAGTTTGCGTGTTTTCCCCACGGTCGCGTGGATCTTTATCCGGGTCCTCCACATTTACATTGGACGTGCGCTCAGAGTTTGGCTGCTGCTATAAACTCCCACACGTCTTGATGACGTCAGTCACTTCGCTCGGTGGGCCTTTCCTGGTAAATATAATAGTTTAATAGTTTAGTCGAAGAGATATCTGTGAAAAAGAGCTTTACAGCTCATCGGATTTCCCCAGTCTAAATAAATATTCTGTTTGGTTTGATCAAACGTAACTCTGCGGTTGTCATCCCCCGTGTAGAGCGGCTGTAACGTGGAGCTGGCGCACGCGTCTGCGGACCACCGACACGCCATCCCCACAACCCCCACCAGGGTCCAGCAGCGACCCGGTGACCCCCGGGGTCACCGCGAGCCCTCCGGGAACGCCTTCTCCCCTCGCCATCCCGGGAACCCGGCTCAACGCGATCCCTTCGCGATCTCGGATCGCCCGAACCCACGTTTGGATGCGAGTTCCTGCGAGCCCTCGCGAGGCCCGGATCACCGTCTGCCGTGCGAGATCTGCACGGAGCTGGTGGAGGCCGAGCGTCTGCAGGAGCACCAGGTGCGGGGCACGGGCCGCTCGCTCGTGCCGAGCCAGCGCTCCGGAACGCCGCTCCGGGAATTGTGTCCCCCGGCCACATCTACCTCCCGTCGTTGTGTCCTCGTGAAACTGCGGCGGCGACGGTGGTCGTGTGTGTGCGGTGGTGTGTGTGCAGTGGTGTGTGTGCGGTGGTGTGTGTGGGGTGTGTGCGGTGGTGTGTGTGTGCAGTGGTGTGTGTGGTGTGTGTGCGGTGGTGTGTGTGCAGTGGTGTGTGTGGTGTTTGTACGGTGGTGTGTGTGCAGTGGTGTGTGTGCGGTGGTGTGTGTGCGGTGGTGTGTGTGCAGTGGTGTGTGTGGTGTTTGTACGGTGGTGTGTGTGCAGTGGTGTGTGTGGTGTTTGTACGGTGGTGGTGTGGTGTGTGCAGTGGTGTGAGTGGTGTTTGTACGGTGGTGTGTGTGGTGTGTGTGCAGTGGTGTGTGTGCAGTGGTGTGAGTGGTGTGTGCGGTGGCGTGTGCTGTAGCCCCACGTGGTTTGTGTTGTTCAACTCCGTACCCTGTATCATATTTGTGTTAGAGCGCGTGAACCACTACGCCACCGCTCCCCACATTCGCATAGACACATGCATACACACACGTACAGATATATACATATATTGATATGACTATCGAATACTTATTTATTTAACATGTTATTGTGTGCGTTTGTGTTGTAATGTTAATAGCATGAATGTCTGGCGCAGCAATTCAGAGTCATGACAAGTTTTTCTTCTGGTGAGATAAACCACATAATGTTACACCAGATCATACCACACCGCACCATAATACACCATATCACACCATATCACATCATATTACACCACACACAAACCATGGCCACTTCATTCTGTTTATAACCGAATGCCACCATCTCCCCCCCCCCCATCTCACCCCTCTCCTCCCCATCTTTCCCCCTGTCCCCTCTCCCCCCTGTCCCCCTCTCCCCCCTGTCCCCCCTGTCCCCCCCCCCTGTCCCCCTCTCCCCCCTGTCCCCCCTGTCCCCCTCCCCCCCCTGTCCCCCTCTCCCCCCTCTCCCCCCTGTCCCCCTCTCCCCCCTGTCCCCCTCTCCCCCCTCTCCCCCCTGTCCCCCCTGTCCCCCCTGTCCCCCTCCCCCCCCTGTCCCCCCTGTCCCCCCTGTCCCCCTCCCCCCCCTGTCCCCCTCTCCCCCCCCTGTCCCCCTCGCCCCCCTCTCCCCCCTGTCCCCCCTGTCCCCCTCCCCCTCCTGTCCCCCTGTCCCCCTGTCCCCCTGTCCCCCCTGTCCCCCTCCCCCTCCTGTCCCCCTGTCCCCCCTCTCCCCCCTGTCCCCCTGTCCCCCTCTCCCCCCACTCCCCCCTGTCCCCCCTGTCCCCCTCCCCCCCTCTCCCCCCTGTCCCCCCCTGTCCCCCCTGTCCCCCTCCCCCCCCTCTCCCCCCTGTCCCCCTCCCCCCCCTGTCCCCCTCTCCCCCCTGTCCCCCCTGTCCCCCTCTCCCCCCTCCCCCCCTGTCCCCCTCCCCCCCCCCCCCTGTCCCCCTCTCCCCCTGTCCCCCTCTCCCCCCTTTCCCCCCTGTCCCCCTCTCCCCCCTCTCCCCCCTGTCCCCCTCTCCCCCTCTCCCCCCTCTCCCCCTCTCCCCCCTCTCCCCCCTGTCCCCCCTGTCCCCCTCCCCCCCCCTGTCCCCCTCTCCCCCCTCTCCCCCCTGTCCCCCCTGTTCCCTCTCCCCCCTGTCACCCTCTCCCCCCTCTCCCCCCTGTCCCCCTGTCCCCCTCTCCCCCCTCTCCCCCCTGTGCCCCCTGTCCCCTCTCCCCCCTGTCCCCCTCTCCCCCCTCTCCCCCCTGTCCCCCCTGTCCCCCCTGTCCCCCTCCCCCCCCTCTCCCCCCTGTCCCCCCTGTCCCCCTCCCCCCCCCTGTCCCCCTGTCCCCCTCTCCCCCTGTCCCCCTGTCCCCCTCTCCCCCCTCTCCCCCCTGTCCCCCCTGTCCCCCCTGTCCCCCTCTCTCCCTGTCCCCCTCTCCCCCCCCGTCCCCCTCGCCCCCCTCTCCCCCCTGTCCCCCCTGTCCCCCTCCCCCCCCTGTCCCCCTCTCCCCCCCCTGTCCCCCTCTCCCCCCTCTCCCCCCTGTCCCCCTCTCCCCCCTGTCCCCCTCCCCCCCCTGTCCCCCTGTCCTCCTCTCCCCCCCCTGTCCCCCTCTACCCCCTCCCCCCCCTGTCCCCCTCCCCCCCCTGTCCCCCTCTCCCCCCCCGTCCCCCTCCCCCCCTGTCCCCCTCCCACCCCTGTCCCCCTCTCCCCCCTCCCCCCCCTGTCCCTCTCCCCCCCCCTGTCCCCCTCCCACCCCTGTCCCCCTCTCCCCCCTCCCCCCCTGTCCCCCTCCCCCCCCTGTCCCCCTCTCCCCCCCCTGTCCCCCTCCCCCCCCTGTCCCCCTCCCACCCCTGTCCCCCTCTCCCCCCTCCCCCCCCTGTCCCCCTCTCCCCCCTCTCCCCCCTGTGCCCCCTGTCCCCCTCCCCCCCTGTCACCCTCTCCCCCCTCTCCCCCCTGTCCCCCTCCCCCCCCTGTCCCCCCTCTCCCCCCTGTCCCCCCTGTTCCCCTCTCCCCCCTCCCCCCCCTGTCCCCCTCTCCCCCCTGTCCCCCTCCCCCCCTGTCCCCCCTCTCCCCCCTGTCCCCCCTGTCCCCCTCCCCCCCCTGTCCCCCTCTCCCCCCCCTGTCCCCCTCCCCCCCCTGTCCCCCTCTCCCCCCTCTCCCCCCCTCTCCCCCCTGTCCCCCTCTCCCCCCTGTCCCCCCTGTCCCCCTCTCCCCCCTGTCCCCCTCTCCCCCCTGTCCCCCTCTCCCCCCCAGTCCCCCTCCCCCCCCTGTCCCCCTCCCCCCCTGTCCCCCTCCCCCCCCTGTCCCCCTCTCCCCCCTCCCCCCCCTGTCCCCCTCTCCCCCTCTCCCCCCCCCCCTCCTGCCCATCTTACTCTTTCCCCGTCTCACCCTCTGCTCCGCTGCCTGCACCACCTCCTAGAGCTCTGCGTTCGCTGACCCTCTCGTTGTGTCCTCCGCACCCCTCAGACCCGGGATCGTGGACCCCGGACTGGTGATGGCCATTTCTCAACTGGGATTGGTGGATGCGTTTGCTGCACGTGCTGGACTTCACTGTGATTAATGGCGACCCATGTCAGATGTGTTTAGCCAGGTGAGAACTCGAGACACCCAGGGAGCCTCATGTGCAAGAGTGGCCTGGGGAGATTGGTCAACCATCGGGGCCCAATGAGTGCTGCTCTGTAGAATCCCAATGAGTCACTTGCAGCGTCATTTTGGAATTCGACAAATTGAGACCGTGTCCTGGTCCTTTGCGTTCTCCATCCTGGATACACAAACTTGAACGACCTTGTGGGATCTGAGTCGAGGGAACCAACCGGACATCTGTGACGGGTCACTCTGGGGGGCAAGGTTTGGTGGATCACATCGTGTTTGTGTCGCCGATGTGGCCAGCAGCAACCAGTCCAGGTGGCAGTCCAGCAGCCAGTGTCGCTGAACCGATCCGTGTGTACATCGAGACGCAGTTTGTCGAAACGACTTCAGAGTTTTGCGAGTCTTGAACCAATCCAGTTCAGATGATGCACTCTCAGAAGGTCGTTTGGCTGATGGGATGTGTAAAAACAACAACTTGGATTCAAAAACGATTCTATGTGGAGGGGCATATGGGAAGGAGGAGGCACGTGATGTGTCTGCTGAGTTTGTGCGATTACAATTGGCGGTCGTCTCTGACTCGGGGATTTTCTCCGGCTACTCCAGTCTCTATGTCGTGTGTACTGTATGTACTGTATGTACTGTGTACTGTGTGTACTATATGTGGTGTGTGTACTGTGTGTGCTGTGTACTATCCGTGCTGTGTACTATGTACAGTGCGTACTATGTACAGTGTGTACTATGTACAGTGTGTACTGTGCGTACGGCGTGTACTACAGTATATGTAGTGTGTACTATATGTACAGTGTGTGTACTGTGTACAGTACGGTGTGTGCTGTGTGTACAGTACTGTGTGCGCCGTGTACTGTACGCACTGCGCGCACTGTATGTAATGTATGTACAGTACATACAGTACATACAGTATGATGTGTGCTGTGTGCGCTACTCGGCAGGCAGCCGTCTCCTCGTGCGGTGCATTGTGGGCTGGGTGACGCGACGCGGTTTTGCTTTGTGCGCTCCTCCTTTGGGAACGCGACTCCCAGAGCGAGGAACCCCGCGGACTGAGATCTCGCAGTGCTCGTGACGAGCGTGTTGAGTCGTGTTTGTGTACATTCTCGCAGCTAGGCCTCGGCAAGGTGAGGTAAAAGTTAAAAGGTAAAAACAACGAGCCTACCTTTACCCTACCTTTTACCCTTGCCCCATACAAATGACCCGATTACAGGGTAATTACTGGGGTACTACTACACATGAACAAGGTTTATAACGGTAAATGCTGTAAGGTAGAGCGCTTTATGCATATAGAATACTCTCGATGATTCCAATTTTACACGCTTGTTGTCGTTGTATCCTCAAATTTTGTCACTCAATTTGTATCCACTTCCTAATGTGGTATCGACTGCAAACTTGGTATACTTATGTCATACTGATGACAATACTATATTATATCATAAAATTAATATATTTTTCAACATTCTTTTTTATATGTTATTTTTCGGCTTGGGTCTAATTGTCCACGGTCAACTGACGTTGGCTGTAATTGGCCACGGTCCCTTACTTCATGGCAAGCTTCAGGGCCACTTCCTGGAGTCGTGGAGTTCTGCCATTACGAGTACATTTAATAAAAGTGTGTTTAAAAAAAAGTTTTTTTTATATTGTTAAATGGAGGCCACGGACTACGTCACGGAGCTTTTAGCGGTAAACAAGGCACCGTATTTACCGGATTATACTTCGCGCTACCTTTACCCTACCGGGTAATTCTTCCGAGCTACCTTCACCCTACCCTTGACCTTACCCCTTGGCATGTCGACACCTTTACCCTTTTACCCGGTAAAAAGGGTGAATTACCTGACCTTGCCGAGGCCGAGTGGCAGCACAACACGTGACCTGTGTGATCCACCGACCCCCGTGTGGCCGTGCCACCACCCTGCTCGCTATCGACTGCGTGCAGTGGCACGGCACCACGTGTCGCACCACGTGTTGCGGCACGTGCCTGCACCACGTGTTGCGCTGGGTACAGCACCACGTGTCGCACCACGTGTTGCGGCACGTGTCGCGGCACGTGCCGCTACACGTGGTGCACCACGTGTAGCGGCACGTGCCGCTACACGTGGTGCACCACGTGTAGCGGCACGTGTATAGCGGCACGTGGTGCCACACGTGTATAGTGGCACGTGTCGCACCACGTGTAGCGGCACGTGTCGCACCACGTGTCGCGGCACGCGGCAGCTGCGCGCTGCGTATCTGGGATGTAACGGTGATCAACGACGCGGAGGAAGTTCTGGCAAAAGTTGTTGCTAATGCAATAATAAAACAATATATACCTCGCCAATGTTTTTGTAAACTTTCTTTCACTGACAGCGATGCAGTCTACAGTTTGTAGAACTTCTTTCGCACCGTACGTAGCCAACCGTGTTCATCGGAGGTGAGGGGGAAGGATGGGAACACTCTTGACGAGTTCTGTCAGATAAAGACCAACACACATTTGCCTCTCAAAACGCATCACTCTCACTTAAATTCTATGTAGTACATGTTAAATGTACAATACTATTACATGTTAAGTCGTGTATTTTAATGTGTAGCAGTTGTCACGACCGCCGAGGAATCTCGGACAAAGGGGCGCCACAATGCCAAGATGTTGACTGCCTCGCCAGGTCTACAGGAGGTCGTGGGCTCGATCCACACCCCGACGCCTGCTGCTGTTTGGAGTTTGCGTTTCTCTCCCCGTGGTCGTGGATTTTTCTCCGGGTCCTCCGGTTTTCCCCTCCACATTTAGAATCATGTCCTCTACGTATTGACGGACACATCAACCACGAAGGGGTTTCACATCAGTGAGACCCCTCCTGGGAAACCTGGCGGGGGGGGACCCCAGAAATTGAGGCAGAGATTCAAGAAACCGATCGGGAACCCCAAGAAACGGCGCCAGAAGCGGTCGTCTCTCGATTGCCGCGGGGTTTCCATCTTCACGAACGCGCCCCCTCCGTGTCGACAAAAGGCACACAGTGTCCGCATGCTTGAATCCTGAATGACAGCTTTTATTTCACGTTTAAAACACGGACCGAAACACGCGAATCACGCTGTGCCAATGCATCACAAAATAATCGACCGCTCCCCCCCCTCCCCCGCTAAGATGTGAGGGGGGGGGGGGAGAATCCGAGCGAGGCTCTGCCTCCCACTTCCATCCCGCACATTGCCGCCTTCTTCCATCACCGAGCAGATTCAAATCCAACCACAGCCTTCTCCCTTGGCTTGCAGCGCAGGGTGGTGAATGGGCTCGGGTTCCGGGATTTAGCAACCGAGTTCGGGTTCGGAGTTGGGGTTTATAAAGGGTTTATGGGTTTATAAAGGGTTTATAATGGGTTTGTGGGTTAGGGCGGGGGTCGGCAACCCGCGGCTCTTTCAGGAACTGCTTCGTGATCGATATTTATTAAGGGCCACCGCATTGCGGCTCTTCAAATATTGAGGTTTATTGAATTCGAAAAAATGGTTCTTGTTATTTTGGTTGCCGATTCGTGGGTTCGGGTCAAGGGGTAGGGGGTTGGGTATAGTTTAGTGATAAGGGTGAGAAGTTCATGTTGGGGTTTAGGATTATTTCCAGTTAATGAGCAGGGATTGCCAATGAGGGTTACAAGTGAGAAGCTAGAAGTTATGGCTTAGGGCGTAGAGGCTTTCAGGTTTAGTGTTTGGGTCACTAAAACTTGAGACTGCTCTTCTTTCCCTGCATCTACCGGGGTAGGCAGTCGCCTCGGGCCTCACAGAACTCCCTCCCCCCGGGTCCCACTCCACGGCCACGGCTTCCCCGCGTGCAGGGTCACGTGCGGGGTCATGTCTAGGGTCATGTGCGGGGTCACGTGCGGGGTCACGTCTAGGGTCATGTGCGGGTCACGTGTGGGGTCACGTCTAGGGTCGTGTGGGGTCACGTGCAGGGTCACGTCTAGGGTCATGTGCGGGTCACGTGTGGGCTCACGTGCAGCCGCAACGCTTTGAGACGAGTTTTGTTTTAAGCACCTTTCTGCTCCGATCGTAACTTCGAACTTAAAAATATCAAAATTAATCTACAACCCTTAACGAGCATTTATGTTAAAACGTAACGATTTTTTTGGCGCGGGGGGTTCTCGAGAAGAACTCCTCCTTTTGCATCATCTTGAGCAGCAAGGGGACGGTAGCGAGCAAGGGGTGTGCTGCTTCTCCCAGAGGAGATCTACGGAGCGAGGCGGCCTCGTGCGAGACTCGTTGCGCGAGGCTGGGCTCCAGCCAGAGAAGGCAAAACACCAAGGCACATTGAGGAGACGCCGCGCGGGTGCTCTTTGAGGATCAGAGAGCATTCGTTTGATTTTTCTTAACAAAAAGACTCCCGCAAAAAAAGAAACATTGTCGTGCATACACAGACACGCACACCGAGCTTGCGACGGACGGACTGCGGGCGCTGTGAGCGAGCACCCTGGGGATGCCAGCACAGCGCACAAGGAAGTTCTGTGGTTAGCCCCGTGCCCAGCCGCCTTTCCCCAATGCCGACGTTAACACACCACGCCGGCGACTCGTTTGAGGCCGAGTCGACCAATGGGAGCAGCAGGACCGGTCGATATATTCGTCACCAATGTTGGCCGCGGGTCGTAAGTTTCCTAAATGCAGAGCGCCAACCACTGCACTCCCGCTCATCATTTAAGATGAAGACATACAACACGCAGTGACACACACAGTGACACACACACAGTGACACGCGTACACACACGCAGTGACACACGTACACGTACACAGTGACACACGTACACACAGTGACACACGTACACACAGTGACACACGTACACACAGTGACACACGTACACACAGTGACACACGTACACACACATGAAAGGCTGCACGTACAGTTTCACTGCGCAGTGACGGATGTGCACAACGCCACGGGAAAATACTGCACATGGCGTGTGCGTACACACACACAAACACACATACATACACACATAAACACACAACACACATACATACACACATAAACACACAAACACACACAAACACACACATACACACACGCACCCCGCGATTCCGGTGGCAAGGCGGTGAGCTGCTGGGAGAGCTACTGCATTGTTAGTCTGCAAGCTGTATTGATTCGTAAACTCAGGCGGTACAAATATTGACTCTTTGTTTTCGCGGATTTAAAAAACCACAACCGAATAAATATTGCTCATTGATATCGGCAGTGACATTGCAACCAAGCGTCCGTGTTCTCTGCGAGTTGGCGGTGGTGAGGTGCAGGGTAGACGGTGGCGGTGGTGAGGTGCAGGGTAGACAGCGGTGGGGGTGCAAGAGAGGTGATGGAGGTGATGGAGATGATGGAGGTGATGGAGGTGATGGAGGTGATGGAGGTGATGGAGGGGAGAGAGGGAGGGAGGAGGCTGTGAGGAAGCTCAAGCTGCCGATGGAGGTGGTGGCGGGGGGGTCCTCCCCAGCCTGCGTGCACACACACGGCACCGCAAGACATCACTACATTGCATTGTCCAGGACACACTACACTATATTACTTTGTACAGTCCTAAACTGTATTGCATTGTATTACATTTTACAGTATTCTGTTACATCTTAGCGTTGTATTACATTTCAGTGTTGTATTACATTTTACAGTGTTGTATTACATGTTACAGTGTTATATTACATTTTAGTGTTGTATTACATGTTACAGTGTTGTATTACATTTTACAGTGTTGTATTACATTTTAGTGTTGTATTACATTTTACAGTGTTGTATTACATTTTACAGTGTTGTATTACATTTTACAGTGTTATATTACATTTTAGTGTTGTATTACATTTTACAGTGTTGTATTACATGTTACAGTGTTGTATTACATGTTACAGTGTTGTATTACATGTTACAGTGTTGTATTACATTTTACAGTGTTGTATTACATGTTACAGTGTTATATTACATTTTAGTGTTGTATTACATGTTACAGTGTTGTATTACATGTTACAGTGTTGTATTACATTTTACAGTGTTGTATTACATGTTACAGTGTTGTATTACATTTTACAGTGTTGTATTACATGTTACAGTGTTATATTACATTTTAGTGTTGTATTACATGTTACAGTGTTGTATTACATGTTACAGTGTTGTATTACATTTTACAGTGTTGTATTACATTTTACAGTGTTGTATTACATTTTACAGTGTTATATTACATTTTAGTGTTGTATTACATTCATCCACAAACGCTGGGGCTGTTCCCATGCTGTAGCGGAACGACAACGCAGGATGAGTGGTAATACCATCTCGTTCGTTATTGCACAATATTATATCATGACTCAAGTAGCGCATTTTATTTTTCCGAAATATTTTTTTATAAACGTTGCAATTAAACATCTATTTTACGTTAAAGGAGTGTTTTACAAAGCGGGCTTTCTGTGCGTAAGTTACGGCCCGGCAGTTAGGACGCCACCGTCATGGCCGTCATCCACTCCGTTTAGTTGCTTGTCGTGTAAACGGCCGCGGTGCGCGCCGCGTGTGACCAGCAGCCCGCCACGCCGGGGCAGGGTGCCAAGGTGGTGGCCACGGTCGCAACAGATGGTAACGATGACGATGGCGCTCGTGGCACCCGCCTTACGTGGAGAGCGAGCTTCAGTTGAAGGTCGTCTACGCGATCGTTATGCCCATTGGGCGGTGCGAGCAGAGCGAAGGAAAATCACCAAGTGGCGGGAGGGCTGATATCGTGAAACATTACGTCGCAGTATGCCTCGTAATACACGAAGCTCAAATAATTCAAAGTAAACTAACGGTCGACCGTCAATTTTTGAACCGCACCTCCGAAGTGGTCGATCGAACATTGCATCAGATTCGCGAAAACACCCAGCGTTAGAAATTATGTTTAATTATTCATATTTACACCTGGTTGGACTACCCAGGTTGCGGAATAATCACGCTTGCGTGTAAACGAACGGAACATTGTTGCGTGTGCACGTGGGACCTACCCATTTCCCCGATGGGGGGCGCGCGATGTGGGGCCCCCCCCCCTCACACGTTGTGCGATCGCGGAACGGATTCTCCTTCCGGACGCATCTGCATTTGCATCTGAGCCTGCATGCGCATGATCATCTCTTGCATGCGCCGCAGCTGCACACACGCACGCACGCAAACACAGGCAACGAGTCACTTGTTGTAGCTTTCTATAAATTGGGGCAAAAGGTGCTGCCCTCTAATTGCTTGCCACACGCCACTGCTGGTGAAAGTGCTTCCACTAGGGGGAGCTCTACAGAGTGATGACGGTGGCGTTATCGTTAATGGTGATAATGGTGTCGTTGATAAGTGATGATGGTGTTTTCGTTGTTGATGGTGATGACTGTAGCGTTGTTGGCAACGGCAGTGATTCTGCCGCGAGTCAAGTTGGTTCGGTCGGCGATGGTCACGCTGGTAACCACGATCCCACCAAGGCAGGCGCGGCACAATCTGGCGAGGCGTGGTGAGAGTTGGCACTTGCCGCGTCTCGCGGTGGCGATTTCACTCGATGTGAATTCCCGAGCGACGTTCGAGTGCATTATGATCATCACCACCACCACGGGTTCAAACGTGTCAGGTCAGGCCCTACCGCTGGCAAAACTACGTCCACTACATGCATCGATGGTGACACATGTCCCTGCTTATTGTGGCTCGTCTGATGTTCGGAGGCTGTCAGACGTTGCCAAACGCTTCTCTCCTTTGGCTCAATTCTATTAGAATCTTAACCTCACCGCAAAAATAGCCCACCCTTTAAAGGCCCCTAAACTTTTAAACAAAGTCTTTTGTGTTGAATACGTACACACAAATGTCACACACAGACACGTAAATAACGTACTTACAAGCCCACTATGCTACAAAGACAATGATGCCCCGTGTAGCCTGAACAGACTTTTAGGGAAAGTGCTGTCAACGAGCATCGATGAAGGCTGGCACGGCACACGAGGGGGTGGGTGGGTGGGGGGGTGGGTGGGTGGGTGGCCAGCACCACGGCTGCCTGCACGTCTCCCCAGTGCCAATGTTCGCATACTGCAACAGGTAGTTATTTGTGGCCGAGTCACCCTGGTGGAGGACCAGGATAATCGTCGCTGGTGTTGACCATGAGCGGGAATTGAACCCAGGTCGCGGGGATTGTAGCGCTGCGTGGTAACCGCTGCGGCGCTACCGCTACAGACACACTCACACCCACGTGTGTAAATCACACACTTACACCCACGTGTGTAAATCCACCCTTCACAACAATGGGGACGTTTGTTTGTGCAGAGCCACCCCCACTCACCCGCTCTCCCGCCGCCAGTGGCAAGCTCCGGCTCTCGTCACATCTCAGAAGGGAACCAGAGTTGAACCCGAGTGTAGTGCTTGTATGGATGTCTACCACCACCGGCATGTCTACACCTGGTGCCATAGGCTGCTGCGGAGCTAAGCTGACAGCGGCAGAGGGTGGTGCATCAAAACCCGTTGTTGTACTGCACTTATATGCTCCCGGATCTATGCTTTGCCTTCACCAACCCGCGCTGACTAACGTAGTGAGGTATGGTGATTCTAGATTTGAGGTATGGTGCAACTACCTCTGAGAACAACGTGGCGTGAGCAGCCATTAATCCAGCAACGGAATGACAAAGGGTTTTTACGCAAATGCCTTAAAAGGATTTTTTTTTATAATAGGCGACATTTCAGGTAATGGCTCATCTTCACAGCACATACATGAAGCGATACTACCTGAAACGTCGCCTATTATGTAATTTTCCTTTTAAGGCCACGGTGTTATTTGCGCTTGTGCGGATCTCGTGAAGGAGCATAAACCATCAGGCAAACTCTGGTCACCCTCACAGCGGCTTTCGGCTAACCATGGAACAAAGACGGTCACTGCATCGGGCGCTATAACATGCGCTTCTGTGGCCATAGAGAAGGCTCTTCTGATGTTAGAAAGCCACTGGAGCTATGCACTTTTAACTCATCTCGATTGACAAACTCATTTCTTATAACCGATTTTTGCATTTAGTTTGTTGTCCTTCCCCTGCACCTCCGATTAGCATGGTTGGTTACGTACGGTGCAAAAGAAGTTCAACATACAAACATTGTGCATCGCTGCCAATACAGCAGCAGCATCACCAAACGATCTGTACACAATCGTGGGTCACGTTTACAATGTGGGACATCCACCGGGTGAATGTCAGGCGGTGGTGGCCACACTGCCCGTGGCTGCCTGTGATGCAGCGCTGTGTGGAGGCAGCAGCAGCAGCAGCAGCAGCGAGGGTTGGTGGCTCACTGCACGAATGTCGTGAAACTCCCCTCCCCAGTGAGCGTAGAGGAGGAGCCGTACCCTGGCTCCGGTTTCTCCCACATGTCAACCCCTCATTAATTGGCCGATAACACCTTCACATGTAGAAGACTGCAGGGCTTCGGTAATCAGTGGCGTCGGCTCGCCGCCTGGGTGCCGTCAGCCAGCTTGTCAGTGGCTCCTCGTGCCTCTGAATGTTTCTCTCTCGCTCACTTCGAAAGCGAGCACATTATTTACGGTGGTGGTGCATGATAAGTTGAAGTTATACAATTGGAATGTGTCCGTGGGAGTCTGAGAGCTCTGTGTAGGAAGCAGGTACACGGGTGGGTTCTTACAACCAAACCCTCCACGTATACCTCCACGATACAGCCCTCTGCGTATCCGTGGGAGACAGAGGGTCCAAGGATGCGGGGTACACGGAGCGCTCGGTTTGGGGGGGGGGGGTCAGGGCGGGGGGTGAAATCGTTTACCTCCGCCTCCTTCTGCTGCAGAATGCCGTCGGTGTCTCCACCCTCCTCGGCGGGGGGCGCCTGACCCCTAGAGAGCCGCACGGACACGGCGAGGAGGAGGAGGAGGAGAGACAGGTGACAAGAACTCCACCCCTAGGAAATGACCGCGGGCCGCTCAGGATTCTTCACTCGACGCCGCACGGACGGAGCCTTCTCGAGCGCAGCCCCAGAAAGCTGGAGCACCGTCGCATGCCCCCTGCCACATCCGGAATGCGTGCCCCCTGCCACATCCGGAATGCGACGCGTGCCTCTCGATTCCGTGGCCTGTGCAAGACCCAATCTATTCACACTTGCCTTCCCTAACATGTTAAATTTAATAAAGACGCTTTACTTTTCATTTACTTCATCATTTTTTATGCTATTCATTGCGCACGGTTGCACTTTACATTGCTCAGTGGGTGTTCGCCGCTGAGGGCGTGACGGGGTTTGTTTTTTCATTCCTGTTGCTCCGTGCCCCCTGCACAGTTCCCATTCTGCTGTAATGTGCACCGATGGCCGACTTTATTGAGGCTGACATTGGCACCTAAAATAAAGATCGATTTTAAAATTAGATTTTGTACTTGCTTTGGATGAATTCCAGATGAGAAATTACACCTTTCAGTTTGACTGTCACTGACAAACATTACTCTCAGTCGCGGGGAGAGTTGTGGAAGTGCTGCCCCCTCCTGTGTGCACCAGAGGTCACTCCACGGGATCTCAGCGTTAGCTCTGTGATAGTTACTTCTGCAGGCCGTTCCCGAACACGAAGAGCTCTCCACGGACTAATCATCTCACGACAACGCGACTTGGATGGAAATCTCACATTTGTTGTCAAGATGAATTTACGGTGAGTATGAGGCGAGTGCCTAGGGGCAGGGTGTGAGGCGAGTGTGCAGCGGTTACTTCTTACCGCGTGGCTCGCTTGAGACGCTCCGAGCGGAAGTTCTCGTAGTGGAGGTCCTGGGTGACCTCCTGCAGGTCCTGCATGTGAGTGCTGCCAACATCGACATCGTCGTCGTCATCATCATAGTAGTCACGAACTTCATCAGCAAGTCACAAGAGCATGGTGCACAGCTTGAGTAATGTCGCGTGACGTGTATTATAGTGTAGTAGCTAATGGACGGTAGTGCAGTGTGGCATGTAGCGTAGCGAATACATGAGCATGGTGCGCAGCTTGAGGAAGTCGTTGTGCTCCGGGTTTTCCACTTCCACCACGCCCCACGGGTAGAGTCGTCCGCGCACCTTCTTGCCCTTCACCTCTATCAGCTGATTGGAGCCCACCACCGCAAAGGGGATGCTCAGCTGCGGGAAGCAAGCGGGCACAGGGCACATGGGCAAACGATCCGACGATTCGGCATTTTAGAATAGATTCTTATGCTCACGATCAAATCCATCAATGGTGATTTCCTGCTCAAATGAGCATTAAGGTAGTGGCAATTTCCTTCTCACAGCCCGGGGCTAGTGGTGGAAACGTCACATTTATATGGCAGGGGATATAAATGGCTCTTAATGTGCGTGTAAAAGTTTATTTCGATTCCTGTAAAAACAAGTATTATTACTTTTAAGGCCAAAGGTTAGAATGAGACAGAACAGGACAGTACAAACATCGAGACAGTGAACATGAGATAACATGAGATAACATGAGATAACATAAGATAACAGGAGATAGCCAGGCGGCTGGAGGTCTGGGCGCCGAGTCAGCACCGCTGAGATCCTGAGTTCAATCCTCGGCAGTCACCCGGCCTGAGATTACACCACCGGGTTTCTCGAGTGCAGTGAGATTATCATTTCCGCCCGGTCACGAGTGACTTAAATAGAGACCCATAGACTCACATTGAGACCCATAGACTTACATAGAGACCCATAGACTCACACGGAGACTCATAGACTAACACGGAGACTCATAAACTCACAAAGAGACTCAGACTAACAGAGATTCATAGACTAACAGACACGCATACTCACACAGACACCGATACTCACACAGAGACCCATAAACTTACACCGACCAAGCTGTGATTCGACTGGGTTCTCAGGTGCAGCGAGTTGATTGTCACCTTAAGAATGCGAGTCTGCTCCTTGAACTCTTCATCCTCATCCGAGTCTGCGTCAGGCAGGTGATAAATCTTGATCCCACGCTCCTCGATCTCATTCAGGATCTACGCACGCACGCACATGCACACACAACGGTGGCGAAGATGGACTGTAGACAGACCAAAACTATTTAAACTAAACTATTTTTATTTTTAGGCCCATTGTGGGCTACACAGCTCTTTTTCAGATGCGACCTGGCCACAAACGATAGCTCAACGAAGTGGCTTATCACGTGGAAATGTATAGCAGCCAAATACTCTAAATGCGTGTTGATTCTAAGTGTGGAGGGAAAAACCGGAGGACCCGGAGAAAAATCCACACAACCACGCAAACTCCAAATATACAGGCATCAGGGTCGGGATCGAACCCATGACCTCCTGTGTACCTGGCGAGGTAGTTAACATCTCGCCACCATTGCTCATGGACCAACGAAGGGGCATGCAAGTGGCAAGCACGTCCAACAAGGGCAGTGGACGCAGAGCTTCATGGTTTGAATCCAACGGCCACCGTGGTTATTGCTGCGAGTCAAATAATAATAATGCTGCCTCAGTGGACCTTACAGATCCTGTGACGACAGTCACAAGAATAGGCCGTTGTGTGCCAGCGGGAGGACGAGCGTGAGGACGAGCGAGAGGACGAGCGAGAGGACGAGCGAGAGGACGAGTGAGAGGACGAGCGAGAGGACGAGCGAGAGGACGAGTGTGAGGACGAGTGAGAGGACGAGTGTGAGGACGAGCGCGAGGACGAGCGCGAGGACGAGTGTGAGGACGAGCGCGAGGACGAGTGTGAGGACGAGTGTGAGGACGAGCGCGAGGACGAGTGTGAGGACGAGTGTGAGGACGAGCGCGAGGACGAGTGTGAGGACGAGTGTGAGGACGAGCGTGAGGACGAGCGAGAGGACGAGCGAGAGGACGAGCGAGAGGACGAGTGTGAGGACGAGCGCGAGGACGAGTGTGAGGACGAGTGTGAGGACGAGCGCGAGGACGAGTGTGAGGACGAGTGTGAGGACGAGTGTGAGGACGAGTGTGAGGACGAGCGTGAGTACGAGTGAGGACGAGCGCGAGGACGAGCGTGAGTACGAGCGCGAGGACGAGTGTGAGGACGAGCGTGAGGACGAGCGTGAGGACGAGCGAGAGGACGAGCGTGAGTACGAGCGCGAGGACGAGTGTGAGGACGAGCGCGAGGACGAGTGTGAGGACGAGCGTGAGGACGAGCGTGAGGACGAGCGAGAGGACGAGCGTGAGTACGAGCGCGAGGGCGAGTGTGAGGACGAGCGCGAGGACGAGTGTGAGGACGAGTGTGAGGACGAGTGTGAGGACGAGTGTGAGGACGAGCGAGAGGACGGGCGTGAGGACGTGGTGGTGCTGGCGAGCGAGCCATATGGTGGCGGTGCGAGGCATCACCCTGCGTTTGAGCGTCTCCCTCTCCCGCATGGTGAGCGTGTCGGCCTTGGCGATGACGGGGACGATGTTCACCTTGTTGTGCAGCGCCTTCATGAACTCCACGTCCAGCGGCTTCAGCCTGAGACAGTGCGGCAACAATCAAAGCAGCGAGTCGACGCGCGTCGATGTGCGGCAGCGGACATCGGCTTGGGACAACGCCAGATCACTCTCGCAAATGAGACCCACCCTGGTCCCTCGAGTTCTCGCTCCGTTAAACATCCTTGAAGCTTTTGATGAAGGGAGGTTGTGGGGGTTACGCGTTTGGGCGAATGACAAAAAGGCAGCGTCCCCATTTGAGCGATGCTCTTGCACCCAGGTCCCAAGGGGAAATAGAAGCAGCAGCGCATGCGGTCGTCGACGATGCGTCCGAGTGGGCGAGTGGGTGGGTGAGTGGGTGGGTGAGTGGGAGAGTGAGTAAGTGGCTTGGTGAGTGAGTGGCTGGGTGAGTGACCGAGTGGCTGGGTGAGTGACCGAGTGGCTGGGTGAGTGACCGAGTGGCTGGGTGAGTGACCGAGTGGCTGGGTGAGTGACTGAGTGGCTGGGTGAGTGACTGAGTGCGTGGGTGAGTGGGTAAGTGGGTGGGTGAATCACCCATGTCCGAAGGGCGAGATGAAGTAGAAGCAGCAGTGCACGCGGTTGTCGACGATGTGCCGTCGGTTGAGTCCGCTCTCATCGTGCAGGTAGCGCTCAAACTGCTCGTCGATGTACTGCAGGATGGTGCTGAAGCTGCGCAACACGAGGCGGCACACGCAGGAAACGCAGGATTCTCTCGTTGGTTGCGTCGGCGGGGCAAGTTGCTACAAAACGCCTTTTGGCGTCCTCTGGTCTAACACGGTTTGAGACGAGGCTCTAAAGAAAGATGTCTCTGGTGTAGACCAATCCGTTTCAAAGACATTGCACATACTGTGAGAGCATGAGTTTTTTGTTTGCATGTTCACCACAAGTATATACGTGGTGAATGCAGACAGGCTTCCTTGCAAAAGGTTTCTATTTGGTGTTTAACATCTTAACACAACTGTTTCATTGCCAGAAAGGGTAAATCCTATTCTTATATTTTGATACCAGCAAGGGAGGTTCCGTGATATTTTATCGTGTTATAAACACCGCCACACAAGCTGCTCACTAACGCAAGACGCGCGCCTGCGAGCGAGCGTCAACGCACCAGCCGCGGCTGTCGATAGCATCGCCGTAGCCCGGCGTGTCGACCACGGTGAGGCGCAGCTTCACGCCGCGCTCCTCGATCTCCACCGTCGACGCGTCGATCTGCACCGTGCGCTCGATCTTCTCTGTGGGGGGCGCACGCAGTCACGGGTACGCGGCGAGCCGGCGCGCAGCAAACGCTTCGCCCGAGGAGAACGCCACTCGCCGAGTCCCGAGACCCTGAGGACTCCCGAGATCTCGTCCCGTCTCAGAGGGGGCGCAGGCTCGAGCCTCGGGAGTACTTGGATGGGAGGATCAGACTTTTGCATTTCGGGGCGCCACGGTGGCGAGATGTCAACTACCTCGCCTGGTATACAGGAGGTCGTGGGTTCGATCCCGACCCTGGCGCCTGTATATTTGGAGTTTGCGTCTCTCTCTCTCTCTCCCCGTGGTCACGTGGATTCTTCTCCGGATCCTCTGGTTTTTCCCTCCACATTTAAAATCAACATTCGTTTAGGCTGCTGTAAATTTCCACACGATAAACCAATTTGTTGAGCTAACATGTGGCCAGGTTACTTCTGAAAAAGAGCTATATCGGTCAGCGAGTCTTACCGGGTAAAATAAAAATAGTTTAAATAGTTGTACAGTTTAGGTGCTGGTGTTTGTACGTTCGGCATGTGGGAAGGATTCCACAACGGCTGGACACAATCCACAGACACAAAGAAGAGCGCTCACACTCGAGACTCATCGGCAACGCAGGTTACTGATCTTTGCGAATGCAGGGAATATTTGACGCCAGTGCAATCTGACAATATTAACTGGTGTTAAATTGGACGTTGGTTGTACTGCTAATTATACGGTGGCTGTGCTTTCATAGGGTGAACCAGAGATGGGGATACCACGCTGCAGGTCAGACCAAAGTAAAGCAATCGAGCCGACTGCCGCGCACGCTGGGAGCAAATTGTCAAACAGGGCGCCCAACAACCCCACGGCACAACCCACTAACACGCGGGGGAGCAGCAGCAGCAGCAGCTGCAGCAGCAGCAGCTCCAGCAGCAGCAGCAAGATAGCGGACACCTCGGCAGCGGTACCAGGTCGAGGAGCGATTCAACTAAGTGTGCAGGCGACGAGTGAACCAGGGTTAACGCTGCACTCGCGCGAGTCATGATGCCCACCTGCAGCGCCCGGGATTACGCGCTCGGGGTAGAGGTCGGTGAGGAAGAGGCTGTTAATGAGGGTCGACTTCCCCAAGCCCGACTCGCCTAGACGAACACACACAGCACACAACACACAGCCACGCACACACAACACACAGCCACGCACACACAACACACAACACACAGCCACGCATACACAACACACAACACACAGCCACACATACACAACACACAACACCTGTTAGCTGGTTTAGACCGCTTCACATCTCACGCTGGCGAAATGTTAACTCCCTCGCCTTGTATGCAGGAGGTCGTGGGTTCGATCCAGACCCTGACGCCTGCTGTATATTTGGAGTTTGCGTGTTCTCCCCGTGTGTGCATACATTTTGCTCCGGGTCCTCGTTGAGCTATCATTTGTGGCCAGGTCGCTTTTAAAAAAGAGCTACATAGCTCATTGGGCCTTACCTCATAAAATAAAAATAGCTTAGCTTAAAAATAGCTTTAGAATAAATGGTGCTAGTGAACACCTGTTCAGGTCAGCGTGGCACAGGTGTCTTAAGAAGGGCTTTGAGAATGTCACGGCAAGACAAGATGAGCATTGCAGCTGTTTGCAAGAGAACGTGGCAGGTGAGTGCTGCAGATTTGATTTGTGGGAAAAAACGACGATTGCGCTGGGCTGGACGTGTGCGCGAGTGCGTGCGAGACAGCGTGCACTTACAGTGCAAGTTTGAAAGAGTGTCAGTGCGAGTGTGCGAGCGAGTAACAGCGTGTGCGAGTGTGAGCGCATGTGGGTGCGAGTGTGTGTGGGTGCGAGTGTGTGTGTGAGTGTGTAAGAGCGTGTGAGTGAGTGTGGGGGTGCGAGTGTGTAAGTGTGAGAGTGTGGGTGCGAGTGTGTGTGGGTGCGAGTGTGTGAGAGCGTGAGTGTGCGGGCGCGAGTGTGTGTGTAAGTGTGAGAGTGCGTATGTGTGAGTGTCTGTGTGTATGTGTGAGCGTGTGCGAGTGAGCTGGCCTCACCGACCACCATCAGCGTGAACTCAAAGCCCTTCTTGACAGACTTGCGGTGGACCTGATTGGGGAGGTTGGCAAAGCCAACATAGCCGGGATTCTCTGGGTTCGTGAACTGCTGCTCGTGCAGGGAAGAAGAACAACAACAACAACGCAGGCCCACAGGTCAACAACAACAAGCAGCACTGCGTGCTCCGGATTATACGGTGCTCCGGAAAGTAATACAGACCCCAAACGTGTGCCCGGTGTCAATAAAGTTACACAAAATGTGGCCTCACACACACACGCGCGCATGCACAACTACCGGATCACACGACGTACCCAAACGTCTTATCTTAAATACCGGGAGGGAAAGTACCGCCTAAAATCCGGAGAATGTGGTCATTAGTACTTTTGGTATTCGCGACATTCTTATAGCACGCGAGGCTATAAGGATTTTCAAATTTGACAAAATGTCAACCGTGACAACGGCTCACACATGACCTACTCTATCGAATTATGCCACGTGATCTTTAACGTCCACTATGAACCATCGGCATGGATTAGTTTGTGTAGATTCCTCATCTGCACGCGTTGTTTCCACCCACTCCACTTTCATCTCACATGCAAAAAATCCCTCCGTGAGGATTCTGCCAAATATCCTAATAAATAGGACCCTCTGGTAAAGAAAATTTAAAAAACGCATTTAAAAACTCGACAGGCTCAGTAAATAATAAAGAAAAGGATCGCTACGATAACAAGAATAATAATAAACTTACACAAAATTCCCAGAATTCTGAACCATGTAGGTCCAAAAATACAAGCATTCATGGTGAACATGCACACACTGACAAGTCTTAATGCAAGACCCAAGGGTTTGCAAAGAGCGTGAGACTGACTGCAAGAGACCCCAAAAGCTCCTTCTAAGTCTAAAACTCGCCAGAGGGGCCGTGAGATGGCCAACGACGCCTCTCAGTGCCCACCACCCCCCTGCTGCTGCCGGCTTGCATACCGGAAATACCAGCAGCAGACAACGCAAAAGTCGTACACTTGACAAAGGCTTTAGGGGAAACTGCTGTTCACGAGCGCCTATGAAGGTCGGCATGATTGCCCCATGAAGGAAGGAGTGGTGTGGCCAGCACCATACCCGGCCACCTCCGACTCCCCCAGCGTTTGATGTTGGCAACACCGCACCGGGTACTGCCCTTTCAAGGCTGCGTCGACCTATGCTATAGAGGCCCGGTATTGGTTTCTATTAATCACCACCGATGTTAGCCATCGTCGGGAATTGAATTCCAGTGGTGGGCTTCGTAGCATCGTGTGCCAACCGCTGTACCAGCGCTTCCCACGTACTGGACACATGGACAATTGACACTCACAAAACAACACAGCAAAAGGTTAAATAAAACGAGGAAGTGAAATCACTGGTATGCGTGGTTTCTGTATAAAGCCTTCCAACGTGTCTGATAACGTTTCAGGCTGTACGACGAGATGATGCTATCCGCTGTGTTTGTCACCAAGTTTTGGGCAACACTTTGGTAAATGTGGCCGGTTTCTACCTGGTTAGTTGCTCATAGCAACACAACTATAGACTAAATATCACCAAAATTAGACCATATTCACAAGAGCCCTCGTGACCCCCCAAGAACTGTGCTAATCGTGTCTCCGATTGCCACGGTTGGCTACAAAAGTTGCAAAAGAAGTTCAACATACAGACGGACGGACAGATACAGCACTTGCACAAACACAACACTTGTAGCCTGCGTTTGCTTCCCGACTCGGGGACCTTGCTCTGGGAGGTTTCTATGTTCGTGCCCTGTTCTGCAAGGACTTCCTCCAGGCCGGTTCTCTGGTTTCCGTCCATAGCTTAAACTAAAACCACAAACACTGTAAACGGTATTGGACAAACGTCCCAATGCTACAAAATAAACCTTCAAATTAAACAACTAGGATTACACACAGCAGCAACATCGCCTGCTACTGCAAACACTTCGCACGAGTCTTGAGACTAAGTGAATCTTTCCTGCAAAACGAAATGTAATAATCATAAGAATAAGGCGAGTAGAGTTATCATGTCACCCCCACCTCCCCCTTGCAGACATGCAGAGATGATGTACGAACGACTTCCCCCTTATCTGGATCGCGTTAAAGAAAAGATCTGCGGCCGCACCACACCCTTGCACCATCTCATCACGTGATCCTAACACCCCCCCCCCCACATTCCGGTTTATCCCCTTTTCCAACTGATCCGCCGCACTCCCTGCAGAGCCGACTGGCTCCTCCTGTGTTGTTGGGGGGGGGGGGGGGGGTGACACGGCCTATGCTCTGCTCCCTGGCAAGTGACCAAACGGCGCCGCTTGAGGCTGCTGCGTGAAGCATTCTTAGGAGCCGCAGACCCCTCCCTGACTTACGGTGACATCCGCTTGGGCTGCGCTTTCGCTGAGAATGCCGAGTGATGTTTACGTTGGTATCTAAACACATTGTGTCTCGACTACACACAATTGATTCTCACAAGGAAAGGGGAAAGGTCAAGGCTGCTGGTCGGGTTTGGTTTTGTTAATGCTGCACATGCAACGCCGCTTTCATCAATCCAAGAGGGCCCATACATTCCATGTGAGTTTTAAGGCGGCAATTTGACAATACTTCACCACGCTGATCAGTGCAGGCTGGTGAGAGTGGGGAGCCTAGCCAGAGGAAAACAGAAATACAGAACAACAGTGGACTTGTCTGCACTGCCCTGAGGTGCCCTGAGGTGCCCGCCATGTGGCAGACACGGCGAGCGATGGCGACTCGCGTATGGCGGGGACCCAAGCAGAGCGCTATCCAGGCCCAAGCCTGCTTGGCTTCTGAGATACGGCGTGGTCGGATGTATTCGGTGTGATCTGGTCGTAGTAGCGAGCAGAACGTGTTACACCGGCACGGCCTTCCCAACACCGTCTGGGAGCTTCGCACGATGTCCTCTCGAGATGAACAACTACTTCCTAGACGGCTCCACCTCGGAATCGAGGACTAACTCCAACGTGTCGGTCATCTCACCCTCGCCCCCTTCAAGCCCACCTGCCCCAGCCGACACAACCTTCCTTTCTGGACTGCGTCCACAGTACAACTACGTTAACTCATCCTGCCATCACCTCCTATCTCTGCTATCCCCTCTGTTCACCTGTATTTAGATATTCTAAGGCCAAGAGCTCCGTTCCCCGGTGCATTGTTCGAGGCCAGCTCTCCCGACATAAACCCGATCCTCCGGCTTCTCGACATTTTATTAATTTTCTCTTTTACAGGTGCCCAGTCCAAGCTGGGGTCAGCAATGATTGGAAATGTACAGATCAAGTTCGGCAGCCAGATCAATTAAACACTCGAACATCACAAGATACTCCAGAATAAAAGATGTAAACTTGTACCCAGTCGTTAAAGATGTAAATATTTGATCACAAAGACAAATGTCCCCCGTATGGGCCAAACACACTGTTGGGGTAAGTGCTATTAGAGGCACATATAAAGGCCACCTATCCACATGAATTGGGTGGGTGACACAGCACCATGCCTGGCCGCCTTTGTCTCTCCTCAGTGCTGATGTTTACACACCACACCATTATTAATTTAAGGCCAAGTCGACCTAGGGGAGGTCAGGATTGGTTCAATTATTCGCCACTGTTATTTGTCACGAGCGGGAATCTAACTCGGGTCGCCGGGTTCACACACGCACGCAGAAAGAGCCCACCCCCCCCAATGTTGGTTTTAAAATACAGGAAAAACAATCAGTGTCATATAAACAAAAAATCGGAAGACGACGGCTCACTCATGAACATCACTCCTGCCTCGCTGAATGCAGCTCGACTCGATGCGGGGAACAGAGAAAGCTTGCATCACCACCACGTGTATCGCATTCCAAATCGTGCGTTAGGAATTTGCCCGGTTTAATAAGGGGTGGCCCAAACACCACCTGGAGGCATTCACAACATAACTGACACACACACAAATAGACACACAGACACACCCACACACACACACATAGACACACACACACACAGACAGACACACACACACATAGACACACACACACACATAGACACACACAAAAAGACACACACACACAAATAGACACACAGACACACACCCACACGCAGACACACACAGACAGACACACACAGACAGACACACAAGACAGACAGACACACACACACACAGACAGACACACACACACAGACAGACACACACACAGACACACACAAACAGCCCTTTGTCAACCCAATGCTGGATTGAGATTCTCCCCCCCCCCCCCCGCTTTCACTGTTCGTGGGGATTCATTTGACCATAATTCGCCACGCTGGTAAATGCCGAATGGTGATAGTGGAGAGCACAGAGACGTGGAGGCGTAGAAGCACGAACAACGGGAGTGGATGCTGCCGTTCACCTCTGCCGACTGGACAGCAGAGGCCCGCCGCTGCCGACCCGAGCACTGTGCAAGCCCAGCTCTGTCTCGCTTCCTGCGACTGACGAGATGGTGGGGGCGCATTGCGGGTGATTTGGTGATGACAGCGGCTGCCCATGGAACGCAGCGATGTGAGCAACGCAAGCTGAAGGGGATCCTGAGCTCATCGTTGGCTGCCTTCATCTTCTTCTTGTTGCTGATGTTGATGGCGAGCAACAACTAGAATTTTACCCTGAAAACCCCCCTCCGCCCCCCACACTGCATGGCAAGCGGGCAGCAACAAACAGCACTGTGGAATGTAAGTTGAACTTCTATCGCACCGGAAGTAGCCAACTGTGGTAATCAGAGGTGCGGGGGAAGGGCAACAAACTAAACACAAACAGCAGTTCATCATTATTTTTTTAATCTAGATGATGATGACGATTTAAAAGTGCACAGCTCCAGTGGCTTCCTAATATCGGAAGGAGAAGCGTTCCAGACGGCCGCAGGAGCGCGTCTGGAAGTTGCGCGATGCGGTGGCCGTCTTTGTTCGAAGGCCGAGCCCTGCGACCCTCGGGGTTGTCGGGCGCCACGGCCGACGTTCCGCTCTGCGTGCCGGCAGCTTCCTCGGGAACCGATTCGAGCTGCTCACGTTCCTTCCCTCGACTACACGCTGGTTTCCGGCTGCCGTTGGGCGTCTGCTGAAGGCCAAACCGACGTCGTTCATCAGCTCGCGAACAGAAAGGGGGACAAAGCCAGCGCTGCGGCAGGCCCTCGGTGGGCCTCCTCGTGGCGCGCAGGAATTTATCATCGACAAGCCACCCGCATCCCACCCCACTCAAACCTCTGTGGACACACCCGCTTCGCAGGAAGGCAAACTCGACTAGCTTTGAACGGAGTAGATCTAAACAGAGATCAGAGGTAAACAAACGTGATGTCTTCTCACTACCAACATGAGATTGATGGACAGACTTCAAAGCAGACACACATGCATCTGTACATACAAAACAAAGATCCCCCTCATATCCTTAAAGACTGTTGGGGCAAGTGCTGTTAGTGAGCACCTATGAAGGCCGGTACAGCACAGGAGGTTGTTGGTGGCCAGCACCACGCCTGGCCGCCTTTGCTTCCCCAGTGGTGATGTTTATACGACGCACCAGGTACTCATTTGAGGCTGAATCGACCTATGGGAGGCCCAGGACTGGTTCAGATAATCGTCACTGGTGCTGGTCGTGAGCGGGAATTGAACTCGTGTCGCCGGGTTCATAGTGCAGCACGCTAACCGCTACACGACCGAATTCATCAAAACTCTCAGCACATGGGAGCCAAAAGTCGGAAATCATCCCAAACAACACGAGGCACAACACAAAATTACAGCAGAGAGCTCCATCAATCAACCGTGTCTGTCACTGGCAGGTGTTTTTGTTAGCACACTTAACAACGCGATGCCTCGCCATGCCGCGGAGTCACACATCACTCGCGACTGATAGTCGTCGTGGCCGGGAATACAAATCTTCGGGTTCTGCGCAAAAAGTGTGCCGACCGCTGTACCAACACAGCTCCCCCCATGGATCCAATTACCAAAGAGGGCATTATCGACGGGCAGTGTTAACACGAGGATACTTGCTGCTGCTGGCGAATTGGTTGGGTAGGCTGTGGGTGAGGAGTGGTTGCGATAGCCCCAGTGGCTTGGCCAAGGAAAGAGTGGTGAAGAGAGTCATGTGGTGGTGCTGGTGGTGCTGGTGCTGGTGGTGAGTGTTGGTGGGTGGTGGTGATGTGTGAGGGTGGTGGTGGTGCTGCTGCTGGTGGTTGGTGGTGGGTGGTGGTGATGCTGCTGGTGCTGGTTGGTGGTGCTGGTGGTGCTGGTGCTGGTGCTGGGGGCAGGATTTAGGCCAAGCCATCTGGGAACTGTAACCATGGAGGATGGCATCCCAGGAATTCCGAGGCAGGGGCCGCCATAATCTGCCCTGCAGCCCCAGATCACGACAGACCACGAACAACACCAACAAAGTGCCCCCATTGTTGGTGTAAAGCCGTTGGGACACTTTAAGTGTTAATGGCGAGCGAGCCTTGAAGGATGTGAAACCGGTAAAGCACGAGGCGCTTCTTCTTCTTGTGCACTCGGCACAGCGCCGCTCTCCGTGCGCCTGCCTCGACTCCAGCTCCGAGATTTTAGAGAGATTTGACAAGTTTCCTCTTTCTCAAGTCGTCTATGCACCGAACTACGTGAGCCCCTCCGTTAGCACGCACGCGAAAATCCCTCCCTGTACCCCCCCCCCCACCTACGTGCGTACGCCTGACGCCCCCCCGCCCCGAATCCACACAGACACGACCAAGGATTAATAATGTTAACGTGTTAATAACGTCATACTAATAATGTTAACGTGTTAATAACGTAATACTAATCATGTTAACTAACTTGAAGGCCACTGCAGACAAATCATTATCGAGGCTTCACCCCCCCCCCATACCGCACGTGAACGCGTTTGGGTTACCCCCCCCTCCCCCCGCCCTGCGTCCTAAATGGATGGCCCCTCACCAGCGTGGTGAAGTATGGTTGGAAAAATCCCATGGCCAACAAGGAGCATGGAGGCCTTCATCCAGCAGCTGACTGGACCAGCAGCTGACTCTTAAACGTGCTGCTGCTGCTGCTGCTGCGTTACACACAAAGTGCGCGTCGACTTCTGTGTCAGCACAACATCAGCGTCAGTAGTCAACGTCTTCGTTCATCGTGCAAATAGTCACCGTGTTTCTATCGCTAAAAGAATGCCCGTTAAGCTCATCACTTATTTTGCAAGGGAGAAATAAGTAGAGCTATGTCGTATTCATCGGTATTGCTGGGAATTTATTTTTCAAGTTAATTGCGGGAAATCTTCATTCGGAAATTAAGATTATTTTAAAAACGTAAAATCTACAAACACCATGGAAAATACGCTTACAATACGAAGTACACTTAGAGCCGCCCTCTTGTTAATCCACCACTAGGATGAGGGCCTCCCTACACCGTGGAGATCGTGAGGACTATTTGACCATACTTCACCATGCCTGTCAGTAAGGGTTGACAAAGGTGGGGGAGCACAGATGTGGGGGTGTAGTACGGTACAACAGTAGATTTGGCCGCACTGCGCTCCGATGCCCGTGATGTAGGCCACACAGGATAACGTCACGAATATCGGAATTCAGGTTTCGAAAATAACTGGTGTAACCGAGTGCAACAAATACAAATTTTACTGGAGATGATCATGGGAAACTGATCTCGCAGAAACCCACAGCAGGAATTTGAGGCATATTCACAACAACGATGCATCGATTCATGGATTTGTTTTAAATGTTCGCTGAGAATGTGCACCCAATTGCACGTGTGTGGACAATAAGTTATTTACAATGCATTGACATTATATTGCAAACGTTATCGTTGGACTTGATTGAAGACCACGACTATACAGAAGAAGACATAAATACATTGTAAACGTCCAAATTAGATGGAATTACAAGTCGACAATTGGAAGGCTGACAACAATAGGCCAAGCAAAGGGAGTGGTCATTCACAAGTAAACATTGTGAGTGATTGAAGTCCAGTCATTTAAAATATGCCATCTGCAGCAAGCTGTTGAATGAATCGTGTGTGCAGGAGGCTGATTTTACTAGAGCCGCCGTCTCCCAGCAGCAATAATAGTTCTGCGAGACTCAGCTGGTCGAGACCGGAACAAAGATTGAAACTCACGTCAATATTGAATGTTCAACATCCAATGGCATTATGTCACGCGTGAGTCATGGCGTGCCTGCGGAGACTCACAGGACGATTTAGCGGCGAAGTTGCTGCTGCTACGTTGGCAGTGGTACACGAGCACAATGAACAAAAACAAAACTCAGCAAGTTCATCAATAATACAACCTTAAAAGAAACAAATATATAACAGGAGACGTTTCAGGCTATCACCCCCATAGCATGGAAATGATTGATGTAAGTGCTATGGTAAAAGGCCGTTTCCTGAAATGTCACCTATGTTTTTCCTTTAGGACAGCGTTATTGAGCAATGTGTTCAGTTTTGTAATATTTAAACAATAGTATCAGAGCATCTCTGTATAAAACACGTGTCCAGTGCTAAGAGCACAAAGAGACACGTTGGGGCGCCCACGATCGACAAACCCCATCCACACGAGGACCAGCGTGAGCAGGACGAGCAGTAAGCGCTCTCCCCACCACATGGCAAGAGTTCCACCACCACCACCACATGGCAAGAGTTCCACCATCACCATCACCACATGGCAAGAGTTCCACCACCACCACATGGCAAGAGTTCCACCATCATCACCACCACATGGCAAGAGTTCCACCACCACCATCACCACATGGCAAGAGTTCCACCACCACCACATGGCAAGAGTTCCACCATCACCACCACCAACTTTCCACCTGCTCAGCCCCTCACCACTCTCTCTCATCTGCTCGCTATCACCACCACCCTTTAACCAGTTGACCGCAAAATCCCTTGTCCACACCACTCGTTCAAAACCACAACCCCAAAGGCCATTTCCTCCGTCTGACACGCAACCTCTCATCACGAGATACCCTACCGACTTGACAACACAATTAACACAATCAACAACACAATCAACAACACAATCAATACCACCCCCCCCCCCCACCCTTACCACGGTCACCAGTCTCTCTCAGCTGCTCATCACCTCCATCCTCTACCTACTCACCACCACTAACCTCATTCGTACTCACTCCTGTCTCCTACTCACCACCACCACTCTCAATCCTACTATCCAATCTCTATCTTACTCACCGCGACCACCTTCCGACTAAGCAACACTATCCTATTTACCACCACCACCCTCCATCCAACACTCTCTCCTCCACACCGCCACCACTCTCTCACATGTCCACAGCCATCTCTCCATTGTTCACAGCATTCTTTCACCACAACCCCCACTCTACCGTTCCCCTCCATTCCCTCACGCAACTTCCATCACCACCACCCCTGCCCACTGCCAGCCTCTCACCTGCTCACCACCACCACCACCACCCCTGCCCACTGCCAGCCTCTCACCTGCTCACCACCACCACCCCTGCCCACTGTCAGCCTCTCACCTGCTCACCACCACCACCACCGAACAGGGTGGACATGACGGACGCAGGTGGGGGGGGACCGCCGAGAGACCCAAAGGCAACGCGCCTCTCCGCTTCCAGAGGAGACGAGAAGTCACGGCGCGCACAGGAGAGGAAGCGGCTAACCAGCCAGGAGGGGGTGGGAGCCAGGAGGGGGGGGGGGGGGCAGGAGGGGGTGGGGGGGAGCCAGGAGGGGGTGGGGGGGGAGAAACCAGCCGACTGCTTCAGGTTTCACCACATCGCGGAGACCGGCGCACGAGGAAACTTTCCCAGAGCCACGAGCGGGGCACACGGAGCAGACACCAGCCTGTCACTGGCCTGGCTCACTGGCCTGGCTCACTGGCCTGGCTCACTGGCCTGGCTCACTGGCCTGGCTCACTGGCCTGGCTCACTGGACTGGCTCACTGGACTGGGCTGGCTCACTGGACTGGGCTGGCTCACTGGGCTGGCCTGGCTCACTGGACTGGACTGGCTGGACTGGCTCACTGGACTGGGCTGGCTCACTGGGCTGGCTCACTGGGCTGGACTGGCTCGGCTGGCTCACTGGGCTGGACTGGCTCACTGGCCTGGCTCACTGGGCTGGACTGGCTCACTGGGTTGGACTGGCTGGACTGGCTCACTGGCCTGGCTCACTGGGCTGGACTGGCTCACTGGGCTGGACTGGCTGGACTGGCTCACTGGACTGGGCTGGCTCACTGGGCTGGCTCACTGGGCTGGCCTGGCTCACTGGCCTGGCTCACTGGGCTGGACTGGCTCACTGGGCTGGACTGGCTCACTGGGCTGGACTGGCTCACTGGGCTGGACTGGCTCACTGGACTGGACTGGCTCACTGGACTGGCTCACTGGGCTGGACTGGCTCACTGGACTGGGTTGGCTCACTGGGCTGGCCTGGCTCACTGGACTGGCTCACTGGGCTGGACTGGCTGGCTCACTGGACCGCTTACTCCCACCACCGTAAACACACAAAAATGTCCCCCCCCCCCACCCCTTTTGCTCAACAAGCTTTGGCACAAGGAATGCAGACCCAGTGCATCTGCACAGCTGCTCAGCTAAGAGTTCCACCCATTCTGGGGATGGGGGGGTTGGCGGTCAAGGAGGAGTGGTTGTGGGGTGGTGGCACGATACGAGAGGCGGTTCGGATTGGTCGGGCCATGGCAAGTGAGACGTCAACATGCAGGGAAACAAACATGCCTCCTCCGACCCTCGACATACAAAAAATTAGAGTTTTTTGTTATTTAACACATCCCATTAGCCTCGCGGTCTTATTGGAAGTGATTTTTTTCCAGCAGCTTTGGTTTCACATTCGCAAAACTCATTCCCCTTCAGTCTCTCTCGTCGGATTGCTGCTCTCTGCTGTTGGGAGTTGTTTGAAATGTCAAAAAAATGTTAACATTGAATAACCAATGCTGAGAGTCATTGCTATGTCTGCATGCCCAGCCGGTACGACTTTACGGTCCAGTCGAAGCTGGATTATAAATATAAAATGATAAATTCAAGATATTCTCAATCCACCAATGGATCAAAGTCTCTACACACTGTCGGTCCAGATATTTTTGTTGTTGACCATACTTCACCACGCTAGTCAGCGTGGGTTGGTGAAAAGGCTGGATATAAGCACACCCAGAAGTAACACCGTTATAAACAACACGCAAGAACTGCCGAAGACTGAGGCCCGGGGCCCATAACGTGGCCAACCCTTGGACCGAGGAAGACGAGAAACAGAACGGAACACAAGCACAGTAGTGATGGCTTCAGCAACACGTGCTTATATTGCACCAGTGGGGGGAGAAGGCACATGGCATCTACACAAGCACAAGGGTGTGTTGCATATATTCAGTTTCTATCGCACGACAGCCATACAACGGTTTAGCACAAAGGCGTATTTTGCATTTTAACGCGTTTAATGCCACACCTCTCAAATCTGATGCCAGACCGGTCAACTTCAGTTTCCACTGCGTGTGTTCGTCGTGTAGGCGCTCGGTGGTTGTGAACAAATATGGCTGTGGGCGTGGGAATCATCGGTTTGGTAGCTAACAGTTCTCCAGTTTCTGAGATGCCTCATAATTATCAGGACTTGCCGGGGTGTGTGTGTGCGAGATTGATCTCGAGTGCATGCAGAGTTGAGCTGCAATGCGTCTGGACAAGTGAATGTGCCGCATGCCCAAAGCGAGCGAGCAGCTTGGCAGCGCGGCGTGCATCCCACGCCGAGTTCACACCAACAGCAGCAGCAGCAACAACAACACCAACAACAACACCAACAGCAGCAACATCAACAACAGCAGCAGCAACAACAACAGCAGCAGCAACAACAACAACACCAACACCAACAGCAGCAGCAACATCAACAACAACACCAACAACACCAACAGCAGCAGCAGCAACAACACCAACAACAACACCAACAGCAGCAACATCAACAACAACACCAACAGCAGCAGCAGCAACATCAACAACAACACCAACAACAAACAACACCAACAACACCAACAACATCAACAACAACACCAACAGCAGCAGCAGCAACATCAACAACAACACCAACAACAAACAACACCAACAACACCAACAGCAGCAGCAGTCCTCCTGGCGGTGAAGCATTTGGGAAGCGAGAGAGAATCTGCGTGTTGTTCTGAATAGCTACCACAGCGGGTGTCACTCTCCATTCAACTCACCACCACCTCCTCCCACGTGAGACGCATTCGATGGGTGACGCTGAGGTGTAGGCCGCGGTGCATGAGCACAAACAACAAGCCAACAAACTCAACGCGTCCGTAAAAAACACCGCAGCCTTAAAACATATATACACACATATATACACATATATAAAACAGGCGACGTTTCTGGCAATGGACCTTCTTCACAGCACCCTTCCACACTCTCACATCACTGCTATAGCCAACTTAGACGCATGGAAACTAATGGTGCGTTTGTATGTGGAGATAACAGAGCTGGCTTCTGCTTACCCTGTACTGTATGCACACTACAGAGGTGTGTATTGTGACTGACATGACGGGGTTTCTCGTCATTTACAGATGCCATTATTCTCAGTATTAGCCAAACGAATGGCCCCAAAGTGTGGACTGCACATAGACGGGTTTCAGAGGCAGCCGCCTTGATTGCGGTGAGCACTAGCGACCAGAGCGTGTTCGTCCACTGCTGCATCAATCACTGCTGCCCATTCGGTGACATTTACTCACATAAGGAGGCCCACAATTCAGTTTTGCTAACTGCTGGTAGTTTTTTTGCAGAATGCACAAAGGCCGAGTGTTTTACACAACTCGTATCCCTCGGCAAAACTGTGACAAAACCAAATTATTTACAGAACTTTGCCAACCCACTGCTGGTGGTTGTGCTCGCTTTGCCATGCTCAGCAGTGCGGGTCGCCCAGGGGACGGACCCGCTCCGATATCATTCGCCAGCGATGCTCCCCGTGGCTGGGAGCCCAGAGCAGTGCCGCTGACCACTGCGCCACCGCTCCACCTCGGCACAGGAACTGCCGATTACAGAAGCAACGTTGCAACTAAAGATTAAGGCGGCCTCAGCGTGTGGGCAGGAACACCGCCCACCAAATTATGCCGAACCAGCTCCGTGACACTGAATTCAGTTCCTGGAGCTCGTAGGACGTGCAGCGAAACGTCGGACATCTTATCAAACAACACGTGATAACCCGAAAACGCATCGGAGAGCGAGGCAGTATGGTAGTTTGCGATGTTCCAACGTTTTGAGATGCAATTTGCATTACTGACGCAATGTATACAATTGTAACAAATTAGTCGGTCTGCTATTAAGGGCCACGGCCCGAAACGTCGTTCATTATATATATTTTTATTTTCAATGACAGTGTTATTCGATTCTAGAGTATGGCAATGTTCAGGATATAAAAACAACACGTCCCTATGTCGACATCTGCTAGCGTCGTGAGGACGTGAGGAGTGGAGTGTTGCTATCGCAGCTGAAGACGACGGCGGGTTAAGATGTGGCCCGCTGCTATTGACCAAAGCACGGAGTGTTCGTTTAAACATTCACACTTTGGCACAACCGACAGAACTTACGCAGCGGCACTTAGAACCGACGATCTCTCGAACGAACTGTGGCACATCTAAAGACGCTTGATGTACCAGATGATGGACAGGTTGATATGGCTTCGAGTGCACTTCAGATACCAACCCTGCTGTCATTCCAGCAAGGGGCAACCACAACATGTCTTGTCCATCCACCCCGATCGTGTTTTGCATATTTGAACTTTACTAGAAGTACAAAAGGGATGTTATGAACCATGTGCTAAATGTGCAGCACGTAAATGATGCCACGTGTGTGCACAGACACACAAACACACCAACACACAAACACAGACACACAAACACACCAACACACTGCCGGATGAGAGACTCCCCACGCCGTGGCGGCCAATTGGGGGTTGTTTGACCATACTTCACCACGATGGTCACTGCGGGTTGGTGAAGGGGGGAGGGGTTGGTGTCTTTTCCGGTGTTCCAGGTCATTGTTTCCATTGTTTATGTTGTTAATTAGTCCACCACACACTAAATGGGTTCAGTATTAGGGTTTCTAAATGTGACAATTAAATTGTATCCCACTGTACTAAATCCCCATTCCGTTTGCCTCAGTCACGTAGTCACTTTAAGATGTTTTTGTTCATATTTTTGTTTGTTGCGGTTGCACCCGATTCAAGAGCCGAATGGCTCACAGGGCTATACCTAATAAATTAACTTGAACTCATTGTAAAGCATGTGCTGATGCCAGAGCCTTGTCCCCGACCTCCTGCCCGCGCTGCGTGGCAGGCGCCACGGGCAGCAGCTGTCTAGAGATGCGTACGCTAGTGACACACCGATATAAACCCAAATAAAATGTATCATCGGAGACGCGAGTCGGTGCTCCTCGAGCAGCAGTGCGAAGCAGGCGACGATGTCCCGATGCCCGAGTGTGCCACAAACACCCGCAGTGAGGTCACCGCGCGTGCGGCAGCAGCAGCAACAACAGCGACAGCAGCAGTAGCAGCATCAGCAACAACAGCAGCAGCAACAACAGCATCAGCAACAACAGCAGCAGTAGTAACAGCAGCAACGCAGCCGCTCAGCGATCATCTTAATCCGCCCTCACCTTCGCTTTATCGCCGCCGGGTTGCATCGTGTACGCCCAACGAATGCTTAGCGCCTGGCACTTTGTACTAAGAAACCTTTTGGTAAATATGGCTGCACGCAAAACTTGACGGTGTATAAACAACAAAACCTGGAGCCAAACTAATCGGCACTGTCTCTTCTTTAACACAACGCGATTCCAAAGTGTACAAGCGAACGTAACTTTCAGAGACGCAAGTTGGACCGCAGTAGCACGGACACGACAGCGTCCTCGTGAGCAGGCGACTTGCGAGCTGCTGTTCAAACTCGCGCCGCGACTCGAGTCGTCCCCCCCCCGCACACGTGGGGCCCACGGGGCCACGCCTCGCGCCCTCGGTGCCTCGCGCCCTCGGTGCCCCACGCTCGGCCATCTTAGGCAAGGTCACCCCAAACACTTTCCCGCCATTCACTCGAATGGGGTCGCAGGTTGATGACGTAATAACACAACTTACATAGCTATCAGGGATAAACTTCCCTACGGAATATGGCCGCCAACTAGTTGTTAGCTTAATGACGCACTGCAGTCGAGACGCTCTATTATTTAGACTCGAGGAATCCGACGAGCGAAGAAGCGCTTCGTTCACAGATGCCCAGTGCTGTAGTTCGTCGTCACTAACTGTGGCCTAAAGAAACTAATTACAGGTGACGTCTCGGGGAATGGATCATTTTCATAGCACATACAATGAAATATAAACGAAGTGTTTGCTGATATCTGCGTTGGTAGTGGTGCGCGTATAAAAACACTTAGTCCTCAAATTGAATAATAGACGTTTTGGGCAATACCCTCTTTCATATTATTTGGTTATTTCTGTAAAGTTACGTAGGTAGAAAATAAAAATGATAAAAATTTAAAATAATAAATGCAAAAAAACAATAAAGATAGTAAAATTAAACATTTTACTATTATTAAAATAAACCCTGTTTCATAGCACATCATCCATGCGTTTAGATTATTTGGATGCTATAAATTTCTACATGCTAAAATCGTAAACAGGCTGGGTGTTGCTCAGAGGTCGCAATCGGGTACCCGATACCCTACCCGATACCCGGCTACCCGTTTGCGACCTCTGGTGTTGCTGTACGGCAACAGCATGTGAAGCTTCGTGTTTAATATGATCAATATCGGCATCATGAGCCGTGATCAATATCGGCATCATGAGTCATGATCAATAGCATCATCATGATCCATGATCAATCCACTGTGGCCTGCCCTCATTCAACGGTGGGACAGCAAAACGACACCAACTCTCTCTCCTGCAGCCCGCTCGTCGTGGCGAGCACACCTCCACATTGGCCACGTGATGCCATCACACGCGACAATGTCGTGGGATCAATCGACTGGTAAATGAAGGCTTCCCTCCAAGTTGTCAACATCTCTCGCGATTCTGCAATCTAACCATCCAGCTCACACGTTGTACGGCTACATTTGCAAATGTGATTTACAACTTTCATCCTTTCCTGTGCATCGATATTTGAATGTTAGAGTCATTTATTAAGGGACTGTGTGTTATGTTGGTGTGGTCTGGGGCTGTTTTATTTGTGTTTTTGCTGCCTTGCTCAAGCTTTATAAATCGGTCTTATACAATATTTTCTTCATATTTAGTAACTTGCTTACATTTTTCTCTATGTTGCACCCCTATCGTTGTTTTGTTTGCTGATAGTGGACATCTGAAAAGGAGTTTCATTGCTCATCCTCCTGCAGTCAAAACATTCAGACAAAGATTCTGATTGTGACGCGTGCTGACACCACCACCACGTGACACCACCACCACCACGTGCTGACACCACCACCACCACGTGACACCACCACCACCACGTGACACCACCACCACCACGTGCTGACACCACCACCACCACCACGTGACACCACCACCACCACGTGACACCACCACCACCACGGGCTGACACCACCACCACCACGGGCTATGCGTTAATTGTGTGTTGACCGACCCTCTGTGTTGCATTGCATTACGTTTCGAAATTTTGCTCGGTTTTATTTGATTTAGTGTACTTTTTCTGTCTCCACTCGTTTTTTGTCGTTCTTATGTTCTGCTCTGTCTGTGTATCTCCGTTCCTCGTGTTTGTGTTTTGTCTCTCTTTGGAATTTTCACACTTAAATTATAACTTAGCAATGTTTGAAATACGTAATCAACCAGGCTATGCGTTAATTGTGTGTTGACCGACTCTGTGTGTTGCATTACATTACATTTCTATATTTTTCTAGGTTATTTAATTTAGTGTGTCTCTCGCCCGTTCCCCTAATTTTCAAGTTTGCGCACCTTACCACGCGTCGTCCTACTCATTGAAATGCTAATTTTCTCTAACCCCTCCCTCTCTCCGCCCCCGCCCCCTCTCTCTATTTAAGGCCTCGTCACAGAGACGTTCTCTCTCTGTGTGCCTATGTGTTACTCTCTCTCTATGTATCTTGGTGATATCTGTCTGTTTATATGTCTGTCTATAGTTTTCTGGTTAGATTTTTGTTGCTATTTCATTTATACCTGATGATGATTGCTTGTGTTGCAATCGAAACGTCGTATGCTATTATTTAATTTATTATTTTATCTTTATACGTGACTTTACCGATAGAACCAAAGAGCCAATGAGTAGTCGAGCCCAACATCACGACGAAGCCGGTCCGGCCTTTCTGCTGCTCCCTACTGGCACGAGCCAGTACTGCCGGCTATGAGGAGTGGCGATCATGGTCAACCATGCCACTACATATGGATGAAATACGCCTTACACATGTACATTATTATTGTAGCTATAGGAAGATTGTTGGCGACCTGGGTATAATTCCTAGGCACCATGCACGTCTTTGTAAGGAGTCAATTACTATCGGATTCGGAGCATCTCAGATGTCAATTCCGCTTAACGTTCATGCCAAGTGCTGCAGCGGTGTGTTTACGATCATCAACAAGGGATTCATCTTCTTTATAGATTGAAAACTAATTTATTTAAAGCTGCTATTTGTGATCAGTTTGTTGTCCTTCCCCCGCACCTCCGATTAGCAAGGTTCGCTACGTACGGTGGAACAGAAGTTCATCATACATACAGACAGCTTGTGTGTGTGTGTCTTGTTTAATCCGTGTGTTACACTTTCTGTTACTCAGGGTGATTCCCAAACATGCACCTCTCCGTGCTTCTCTGGGCACGTTTCAGCGGTTGCTCCACACGTGTCGTGAGTGTCCGTGTTGCTGATCCATAAGCCAGAGTCGGTGATACACAATGTGAAACAGGTAATATACAATGTGAAACAGGTAATATACAATGTGAAACAGGTAATACACAATGTGAAACAGGTAATATACAATGTGAAACAGGTAATATACAATGTGAAACTGGTAATATACAATGTGAAACAGGTAATATACAATGTGAAACAGGTAATATACAATGTGAAACAGGTAGTATACAATGTGAAACAGGTAATACACAATGTGAAACAGGTAATACACAATGTGAAACAGGTAATATACAATGTGAAACAGGTAATACACAATGTGAAACAGGTAATACACAATGTGAAACAGGTAATATACAATGTGAAACAGGTAATACACAATGTGAAACAGGTAATATACAATGTGAAACAGGTAATACACAATGTGAAACAGGTAATACACAATGTGAAACAGGTAATACACAATGTGAAACAGGTAATACACAATGTGAAACAGGCAATACACAATGTGAAACAGGCAATACACAATGTGAAACGAGCGATATTCTGGAGGCGCACATTGGTATGGTGATTTTCACGTACAAGTTCAGTTTGATTAATTGTATTTCGTAAATTATTAGGTGCCGCTGCTGCTGCATTGGCAGTGGTGCACAAGTACAAAGAACAAGAAGAGACTCAACACGTGCCGTGCCAATAACCTCACTGGCCTCCCGACGCGCTATTGATGAGGGCCATTGTCCCAAGCGTCACCTATTAATATACTATAAAAAAAACAATAGTTACATTTTCTTATTTTAAGTTATTGGTTTACCTTTCCTATACTTTACACTCCTATCGTGTGTTTGTATTGTTTGTTGTTTTAATGTTCTGACCTTCCCCGAATGGACATCTGTACAAAATCGCTTCATAGCTCATCGAATGACCTCAAGAGGTGCTCCCCAACAGCAGTCGTCCTGATAATCTCGACTAAGCGTAGTCAGCCAGACTCGTTGTTGTTAAGGTGAGTGGTGGGTGGGCAAGTGGTGTATGGGTTGTAATGATGAGGAATGCAGAGGGGGCATGGGTGGAGGAGGAGAGGTAGTCGTGTGGGTGCTGAAAGGAGGTTAGAAAAGAACGAGGTGGTGGGGGAGGGGGGGAGCTGGAAGGCGGTGGGTGCACGAGGGCACAAGAGGCAGGCGAAATGGGACGGCATTCTTTTTAGCACATTGATTATTTATTTCCCAAAGAACCCTATTCATCCCACAAATGCACGCTCAAAGACTTCAGCAGCGACCGCCGTCACCCGAGCGCGCGCACCCAGACTCATCGCCAACTGCTCAGATTAGAAGCGACTTGTTTTCTGCTCCTCGATATAATGCTTACATCAGTGCGTTCGGGTTTTTTGCAGCGAAACCCACGTGGCAGCAGCGGAACACCTTAAGCGCGCAACTTTTCTTTGACGATTATCCTCGAGTCAAAAAAAGGCTCGAAGCTGCGTGCATCCCATCCGTTCGGCTCCATGCGTTAGCGTCCGTATCCACATCCCAGCGCGCTTTCATGATGGGCTCAGCCACAGTGGAGGGGCTGGCTGTGGCCCTCTGTTCCATCGGCTGGCTCTGCGACATCATCGCTTGCGCCATTCCCATGTGGCGGGTCACTGCCTTCATCGGGAACAACATCGTGACAGCCCAGGGCATATGGGAGGGCCTCTGGATGAGCTGCGTGTTCCAAAGCACGGGCCAGGTACGTGAGGATTTGTGTATCTAAGGATGGAGTGTGGAGCGGTGGCGCTGCGGTTAGCTTGCTGCGCTCTGAACCCAGCAAACCAAGTTCGATTCCCGCTCATGGCCAACATCAGTGACGATTAGCTGAAGCGGTCCTGGGCTTCAGCTGGGTAGCCTCCACTGAGTACCCGGTGCGATGTGTAAATATCGCCACTAGGGAGACAAAGGTGGCCGGGCGTGGTCCTGGCCACCCACCCCATCGTGTGCCGCGTTGGCCTTCATAGGTGCTCGCTAACAACACTTGCCTCAGCAGTCTGTTATGGCTATACGGGGAATCTTTGTCTTTATTTCATGTAAGGATGGAGTATGGGATGTCATCTCAGTCTACGCCATAATACATGGATCTGTCCCGTGGCATCCTGTCTGCGAGCCTTCGACGCGTCACATGCTTTTAAAGTGCACCTAGCCTGACACAAGTGCTGCGGTGACATCAGTGCCACTTAGTGGCGAATGGCGGCTGTTGTTGTTGGTATGGGATGCATGAAGTGCATGATGGGGTCGTGTGAGAATGGGAGATGTTACTAACTGGCTCCAGACGAGAATGACAGAATGATGGCTCACATTGTTAAGAGTGCCGACCTGGGACTGCTACCATCCTCGGTTGGAATCCAAGCAAGATGTTTGTTAGCGAGTTGATGGTCTCAGGCCGGCCACCAAAAATATTCACTGCTCTGTCGCGGTTGAAACGCAATGCTGCAGCATCAGGGGGAACCCTGAAGGCAATTTGATAGTTAAAGCCAGAGCCTTTCTGCGTGTCCATTACTCCTAGTTATGTACCGAAATTAGATCTTTTCACCTTGTATACGTGCATCACGCAAAAATAATCAGGATTAAGAAAAACGTGAATAACGATCGGACGTTCGGCATCATCGGGCATGCGTGGTGGTGACAGAGTCAGGAGAAGGAATTTGATATTCTAAACTATTGAAAATAAAATTTATATCTGTGTATTTTGTCCAGCCATTGTGGCATCCTTCCCACATGTCGAAAGTAGTCCTGAGGGAATTGCCAAACACCAGCACTAAAAATATAAAACTATTAAAACCATTTTTTTATTTTACCAGGGAAGGTCCACTGAGCTTTATAGTTGTTTTTTTCAGAAGCGACGTGGCCACAAATGATAGCTAAACAAAGTTGCGTATCATGTAGATATTCATAGCAGCAGCCAAATACTCTAAACGCATGTTGTTGATTCTAAATGTGGAGGGAAAACCCAGAGGACCCGAAGAAAAATCCACGCGACCATGGAGCGAACATGCAAACTCCTGTATACTAGGCGAGGTAGTTAACATATTGCCACCGTGGCACCCCCAAAGAGGGGAGACCCCCCAAAAATATTAAACAGTCCTGGTCCCCTATCAAACTTAATTGCATCCCTGGTCGTGGGAGATTGTGTGCAGATATATTTTTAAATATATTTTTATCCTGCAACAAATGACCATTGTTGGAAGGTGAGTTTACTGACCGCCAAGTTTCCAAGTCATCGTTATCGGTGGTGAATTTTATTTAAGCCAGTTCCTGTTTTCTATCCGCTTTTCACTCTTCGGTTAAATCGGACATTGACATTTGTTTTAGTACTTTACAGTTTACCTCTCTTTATTAATACAATTCATATGTTTACAAACTCTTTGGTTCTTTCGGTAAAGTCACGTAGGTAGAAACAATAATAATAGATCACGACGTTTCGATCGCAACACAAGCAACCGTCATCAGGTGTGAAGCAAACACAGCAGGATGACTGCTGACGTAGGAGAAAGAGCTGCTGCTGCAACGAGAGTTTATCTCGGATGTTGGTGGGCCCAACCCAAGGGTACGTGGGCGGAGCTAGAGAAGGAATGTGTTTTCGTTCATCTTGATTTGAAGCTGTAAATGTGAGAGATTCGCATGCCAATGTCAGAGAGCCGGGAAACAGGAACAAAAAAACCCCTAAGAGAAAGAGGTACACATGATGAGAGGGAGACACAGAGAGAGAGAGAGACACACACACACATAGTTGGAAATAACAGCTGACATAGGCAGGTAGGATGGAAACATCACAGTCAGTTAAGGCTTTACCTGGTTAATAACGTCAACAACCTTCCGATTGCGAGCCGCTCGCTCTCTAGCGCTGAGTAGCCACCTGGGTGTCGATGAGGTGCCGTACTCTGGCTCGCCAGGAGAAGGCAGTAGAGAAAGTGGATTAATCGCCATCTGTTTCCATCTGTACGGGGGATAGAGTGGTGCCCCCCTCGCACAAAGGCGTGGGGTTTCTCCGGGTGCTCCGGTTTCTTCTCACACGTTGTGTAATAAACACACCTCGTCGTTGATGAGCTGAAAACATCTTTAAAATAAAAGGTCTACGAGGCAGCGGCAAGGCCCTCCTGTAACTTGCTGACCCACCCATCGTGTAGATCTGTGAGAAAGAGTTTCATAGCTCAGCGGATTCCTCCTCCAACCTAAGTAAAGATTCCGATCCTCAAAAGAAAGAGTCCCACGACTCAGCGGGGCTGACGGCGCTTTGGACGGCAGATTTGTGCCAGAAAGGCGCCACGTTTATTTCAGTAAACATTAAATTAACTAACTAATTAACTTTACTGGTTCTCCTGAACGTAAACCCTCTAAAATGTCACGTGCACGACGACACTGTGGGGAGGTGGGGCGGGAGACCAAAAACGACGATGGAGCGTGGAGGGGTGGTGGAGCGGTGGTGGACGGGTGGTGGAGGGGTGGTGGAGGGGTGGCGGCGGCATTGGTGAGATGGTGTCGTGCAGTTTGAATAAAAGTGAAACCGAGCCATAGGGCATATATTTATTTATTTGTTTCAGGGGCGCCTCGCCTGATGCCTGCTGTATATTTGGAGTTTGCATATTCTGCTCGTGGCCGCGTGGATTTTTCTCCGGGTCCTCCGGTTTTCCCTTCCACATTTAGCATAATGCGTTTCGAGTATTGGCTGCTTTAAAATTCCGAGTTATAAACCACTTTGTTGAGATTTAATTTGTGGTCAGGTCGCTTCTAAAACAAACTAATAGCTCAGTGGGCTTTGCCTGGTACAATAAAATATAGTTTAGTTTATTTGTATTTTTGTTTGTTTACCTTTCCCATGCGTTCCACTGCTCTCGTGTTTTTGTGTTGTTTGTTGTAACGTTCTGGCCCCGTACCCCGACTGGACAGATGTGAAAAAGAGCTTCATAGCCCATCGGATTCCTCCAGCATTCACATGCTCATTGTGACTCCGAGATGACAATTCCCAGCGCGCCGCCGTGCCGCCGCCGTGCCGCAGGTGCAGTGCAAGGTGTACGACTCGGTGCTGGCGCTGGGCCCGCAGCTGCAGGCGGCGCGCTCGCTCTCCGTGCTGTCGGCGCTGCTGGCGCTGCTGGCGCTGCCGCTGGCTCTGGCGGGCGCGCCCTGCACGGGCTGCGCGCGCGGCCACGCGCGCTCCAAGGCGCGCGTCTCGGCGCTGGCGGGGAGCCTGGCCGCGCTGGCGGGCGCCCTGCAGCTCGCTCCGCCCAGCTGGACGGCGCACGCGGTCATCAGGTGTCTCGCACTGCGATGAGCCAGAGTCAGGAGCAGAAGTTTATAATAATAATACTTTCATTTTATATCGCGTCATTCATGCTAATCGCATCCCACAACGCTGTACCTTCATCTAATCTAATCTATCTATTCTATATATAAAAGTCAAAAGTTGTGTATGGGTTTGTGTGTGGGGTTGTGTGTGGCCGCGCGCTTGGCTCTCCAACGGTTTAAGTAAAACAAATTGCCACTTACCACGCCGTAAGCCCCGCGGTGAGCAAGCGCTATTCCTTTTTCACATCCGTCAACTTTAAATTAGTTTAATTAGCTATTTTGTGCTATTTTGTGCGCTTTCATTCTATTTATTTATTTATTACGCGTGCACGACCATACCAACTCACGCGCCTTTGGTGAAGAGGACGGCCCATGCCAAGTCGCATGCCTTCGGTGGGAGTGAGGGGGACATTTTCTTTCGCGTTAAAAATCCTATAAAAAGACATTAAACTCTCAGGTAAATTCTTCACTGTCTCATGTCCCTCCCACCCCGATGCGCGCAGTTATTACTACTATACAGTCGCTAGATGCTACCACTCACTATAGGCCGTAGATATTATTGCAGAGCGGCCGGGGACATCATGCCTGGGGTAGGGGGGGGTCAGGGGTAGTTGCCCAGCCCCAGCCTGCCAAGGTGCCACCTCGGCCGGCTGGACAATCTATGAGAGGTCGGAGGCTCTGCACGGGACTAGGCCTCACCACGCCACTCTGTCAGGTGAGTACTTTGTGCTATCGAGTCGATAATTACTGCTATAGAGTCAGCATGTACTACTGTAGTGATAGCAGGTACCACCACAGTCGGTACGCACTGCTGTTAGATTTTTATGAGTAGTTTTGAAATATGGTTAAGACCCGGGCAATGCTGGGTACTTCCCGCTAGTTATATATAAGAACCAAATCCCAAATACAGCCACTACCAAGCAAATTAAAACCATTTAAGAAATTGCACCAACACAAAATGCAGAAACAGCAAAAAAGAAATCGCAATGAAGAAATGAGTCCATGAAGTCTACACATCCCAGAGCACAATCTCAACTTCCCAACCAAGCCATCAAACTTCACGGGAAGGGCGGTGGTTGAGTGCCAAAAAGTTGCAACTCATTTATATCAATCGGTCCAACGGACAAAAAGTGACTACTGATTTTCAGTGTATGCCTAGATGAATAAAAAGGCGTTTAGTTGCGATTTTAATAATTACATGATGCAGTTGATTTGTCGGATGTGGAGTAGGAGGGTAAAGCCCATTGAGCTAAGAAGTTACTTTTTGTTTCAAGAGCGACTCTGTCAGAAACCTGGAACAGGACGAGGAGTGCGTGAGCTATGACGCTCTTTTATCACAGATGTCCAGTTAAGGGTCGCGCGGGGTCAGCGGGTTACATCAACAAACAATACGAACAGCAATAGAAGAGCAAGATAGAGAAAAGGTCAGACAGTCTATAAAACTAAATATGTAAATACAGATTAAGGAAGTATAAAGTACAAATTGCACAAGCACATGGATTCCTGCCGATTTGTTAACAGCAAATACTCGGCTTCAGTGGGGCAAGGCAGCAAAACAACAACAACAGTCACAGACCACACCAAGACAACACCGTCACCCCCTCTCTTCTCTTTTAACAATCGCTGAAAGGTGTTCGATGTATGTCTGTACGGATGTTGAACTTCTTTGACACCTTACGTAGCCAACTGCGCTGATCAGAGACGCATGCCTGCAATTTCACCATTCCCGCGGCCGTGTCGGCAGACGCGCGTCGCGTAACCGTGCCGACGTGGCCGCGTGTCGCGCCAGGGACTTCCACGACCCGACGATTCCGGCGTCGCTCAAGAGGGAGTTGGGGCCGTGCGTGTACGCGGCGTGGCTGGGCGCCGGCCTCCTGCTCCTGGGCGGCTCCCTGCTGTGCGGCGGCGCGTGCGGGGCCCACGCGGAGAGCGCGACGGGGGGCGGCGCGTGGCGCGACCCTTCGCCTGCCTGGGACCCTTCGCCTGCCTGGGATCCTTCGCCTGCCTGGGACCGTCGTCCCCCGCAGCAGCAGCCGCCGCTTGCGGCGCCGCACGCGCACCGCCACGTCCCCACGGGCGCCGCTCGCAACTACCTGAAGCGCAACTACGTGTGAACGCGCGTTGGCGCCCCTGGGGGTGCTGGTCTTATTGTTACGTCTTACTCTAAACTTCTAAAGTCTTTGTGGTTCGAGGGTGATGTCTCATTGGAACCGAAATGAGCGACTTGGTTAGCGGACCTGTCAGGTTAACATCAGAATCTGAATCTTCATTTAGACTTTAGCAGGAATCCGATGAGCTACAAAGATCCGTTTCACAGGTGTCCAGGGCGGGTCAGCAAGTTACAGCAGCAAACAATACAAACACGATAGGAGTGCAACGTAGAGGTAGAGGTAAGCGAGTCGACCAACATCAGTTGGTTGGCCTTAGACTTTCACAATACCTAATGAACTAAGATAAACGCATGTATAAGAATGCGTGGAGTTGTCCAACTTTAGATATGAGAGAGTCGCCCAGAAAGTAATACCCCGCATTAAAAAAAATATTCCCACTGGAAAACGTTCAAACATTTGGTGCTGTAAGATTGAACTATCCCGATCCTTTTCCGCAAATAGCCCCGCAACAATTAGTCATCAAAATGGCATGGCTTCGTGATGTGCGTCGCAAACAAAGCGAGCGGCAATTGAGTTCATATTCTTTGGGTCTTTCGGTAAGGTCACGTAGATAGGTTCAAAGAAAATAACAAAATAACAAAAAACTGCCACGCTTGCGTTGCGATCGAAACGTCGTAGTTTTTTGTTTTTTTGTCATTTTCTTTGAACCTATCTACGTGACTTTACCGAAAGACCCAAAGAATACGAATTCCTGCAGTCACGAAAGCTTTAAGTCAAGATGCAATTGAGTTGTTGACCGTGGAGATCAAGTCAGTGGGCAACATTCACAAAGAGGCTAAACACCGTCTACGGAGACGATACCGGGGCACAGCAGAAGCCATGTTGGTCACTGCTGGGTAAAACGGGGAAAGACATCAGCAGAAGGTCAAGGAACAGCTGATCTCTCGACACTGTGCTGCTGGCTGATGACACGAGGTTGCGCTTGTAACCAATACATCCGATGGGTTCAATTTTCTTCAACTTATTTTGGCCAAGAAAAAACACAGTGGGGCATTACTTTCTGGGCGACCCACGTGGTTACAGAAATAACAGATCCCTACTCAACATAGGGTGCAAGCCATATGCCCCCCCCCCCCACCTTAACACCTGTAAAACATTCAGAAAGTTATTGTGAAGACAACACATCGGGATGTAAAAGTGCCAAGGCGACACTGCTAACGAGCTCACACGCGACCTGGTTGCTGCACTACACACCGCCACTGGGTCGCAGCCTCTGCCAGCCGAGCAGCCGCTCGCTTCCTCAACGGGTCACCGCCCAGCCCCGTAGGGACCTGGAGGGGGCATCTACCCCCCCCCCATGCCCCCTGCTGACAGTTCAGCAGGTGGCATCTACCCCCCCATGCCCCCTGCTGAAAGTTCAGCAGGGGGCATCTACCCCCCCCCCATGCCCCCTGCTGACAGTTCAGCAGGGGGCATCTACCCCCCCATGCCCCCTGCTGAAAGTTCAGCAGGGGGCATCTACCCCCCCATGCCCCCTGCTGAAAGTTCAGCAGGGGGCATCTACCCCCCCCCCCCCATGCCCCCTGCTGACAGTTCAGCAGGGGGCATCTACCCCCCCCCATGCCCCCTGCTGACAGTTCAGCAGGGGGCATCTACCCCCCCCCACCATGCCCCCTGCTGACAGTTCAGCAGGGGGCATCTACCCCCCCATGCCCCCTGCTGACAGTTCAGCAGGGGGCATCTACCCCCCCCCCCCATGCCCCCTGCTGACAGTTCAGCAGGGGGCATCTACCCCCCCCCATGCCCCCTGCTGACAGTTCAGCAGGGGGCATCTACCCCCCCCCATGCCCCCTGCTGACAGTTCAGCCCACGTCAACCATAGCCAGGGATCGGCAACCCGCATCTCTGGAGCCACATACGGCTCTTTTAGGAATTCTTTGTGACCTTATTCACGTGCATTGCGGCTCTTGAAATACTGTAACATTTTTTTTTACCAAATTCGAAATAAATGGCTCTTCTTGTTATTTTGGTTGCCAACCCCTGACCATAATAACCGTCACCACAGCCACCACAGGCATATCATGATGTGCCCTAACCACCGCACGTGATAAGATACATTTTCAGGATTCAGGGCCACTATTTGAATCAAGAATCGTTTAGATTCCCAATTGTATTGTCTGGAAATTGTGTTTTTCCCCATTAGCCTAAAACGTTACATTTACATATAATTTACATTTCTAGTACAGCACTGTATAACATATTAAACGTTCTATCCGTGTACATATGATCTGATGAATTTATCATGAGAAAATATTATTTGAATATACGAATCATCACGCACATCATGTAGCACCATAACCATTGCCACTTTCACGACATCCACTACTATCAGCATCACTACCAGCACCATCAGCACCACAACCATCACTAACTGCAACACCATCACCACCATGCCCATCATCACCACAGCTTCCAGTAGATGTAGAGAGCCTCTACGGGGTTGGGTTCGGTCCTGAGCTCTGGGCAGTGTGTGTGGAATCAAGGGGCTTCGCGGGGCGAGATGTTATCTTCCTCGCCTGATAGACAGGATGTCGTGAGTTGTGTGTTTGGAATTTCGTGTTCTCTCTCTCCCCGTGGTCGCGTGGATTATTCTCCGGGTTTTCCCTCCACATTGAGAAATGATGCACGTTAAAAGTAAATGGCTGCTAAAATGTCCACGTGATAAGCCCACTTCGTTGAGCTATAATTTGTGGCCAGGTCGCTTCTGAAAAATAGCTATGTAGCTCAGTGGGCCTTACCCGGTAAAATAAAAAAATGGTTTATAATTTTAGTTTTAAATTCACAAATCTCAATAAGAACGACACGGACCTGGTTGACCTCTCACACACTACCCTGATACACATTGGCTCGGGATCGACAGGGAATGTCGTGAAGTCAAATCGCTTTCCTGCTCAAATGAGTACTGAGGCGGTGCCCTTCTCCCGTTGACAGCCCTGAGCCACAGGTGCAAACTCCGCATTTCTGTGACACGGATTAGACTATCAATAGGATAACCATTATTTACTTCCAGACAAAGTGGTACTAACTTTATCAACCCCGGGAGAATGATGGACGAGGTCAACCCGCAACCAGTGATTTGAACTCGTAACTTCCCAATGGCGCGTTACTCACTCTGCCGCGGAGCCACCTGGCACTAACGTTACAAACACTGAAATGTTGCCTTAACTGCCTTGAAAGTGTTTTGTTAGTATTACTTGCTATTATGAGTTGGGTTTCTGTTAGTGTTTGCTTACATTTTTCATATAAAGTTACAATATACTAACAATTGCGTGTGTTGAGCCTTCTGTGAACTCGGTCGTGGCCTGGTAGTGGAATGCAACTGGTGGCCCCGGCTCTTTCGTATCAACCTGTCCCACAAAACACCGAGACGGGCCGAGGCCACGCGGACAGGATCGCACGCTCTGGCTTGGGGAGTCGAACTCGGCCACAGAAGGCAGATTGATAAACAGCTGTCACGCTTCTTGCTCTCTAGAAAAGAGAAGTCACCTGTTGCGTGTCTTAGGATTGAGTTTTGGATTTAAAACGTTGATTTTTCAAAGGACAATTTCGGTGGCGAGATGTTAGCTACCTCGCCTGGTAAACAGGAGATAATCGGGTTTGATCCCGAGTGTAACGCCTGTTGTATATTTAGATTTTGCATGTTCTCCCCGTGGTCGCCTAGATTTGTATCCGGGTCTTCTGGTTTTTCCCTCCACATTTATAATCAACATCATACGTCTCGAGTATTCGGCTGCTATAATTTCCACATGATAAGCCACCTCATTGGGCTATCATTCGTGGCCAGGTCGCTTCTGAAAGAGAACTATATAGCTCAGTGGGCCCTGCCTGCTAAAATATAAATAATGTTTAGTTTAGTAGTAGCAACTCCAAATATATGAGTAATAACTCCAAATATACAGGCGTCAGGAACGAACCCACGACCTCCTACATACCAGGCGAGGTAGTTAACATCTCGCCACCGTGGCGCCCACTTCTTTTCTATTTGATTCCTGAGGCCACGGCTAACATCCGTGGCCAGCGTGGAAGAAGGAGGACACAGCCTCTCTAGAGCGAGCATCTTTTAGAGGGGGGCTCTTCCATCAGCAGTGGCGTGAGAAATAAATTACAAGGCTGTGCGCATACCGTCACTCTCGCTTTAAAAGATTATCGGCTGAGCAATGGGATCCTAAGACCTTGGGGCTGGGCTCTGCCACACAGAAAGACGCTCATTGCCAGCGTGGCTCACTCAGCACTCTTAATTAGGGTCTAGATTACAATCTTAGGAACACGGGGTGATGGCAGGGGAGGGAGGACAGGCGAAGGGAGATCACAAGAATACAATCCTTTCATGATGTACACTGCTGTGGCTATTGCACGACTCCCATAGAGCTTAGAGTTTATTTATTTATTAAAAACGCGCCGAGAGTCAGATGGGGTGGGGGGTCGACGAGTGGTGGCGCAGTGGTTAGTGCACCGTGGTATAAATAATCCTCCCACTTCAGTTTGATTTCCGGCCAGGCTAACATCAGTGGCGAGTGATTCCCGAACTAGTCCTGGCCAACCCTCCTCCGCACTCCTCCTCCGTCTTTCACCCACCCCCACTGACCAACATGGTGAAGTATGGTCAATCAAAGCACCACAGCGTGGGGAGGGCTTCATGCATCCATCAGTGGATTTAAACAAACAACATCCGGCAGGAGCGGGGCTGACTGCTGCTGTGACTCTGCCTGTCGAAACGGTTCGAGAATGTCGCTTGTGCTGAACCATTTCTGCTGAAACGATTCAGCCCCAGAAGGCAGTGGGACGGATGGAGTTGTAAGTGATGTACGTTCATTGTTGCTTCTCTAGTTTATTTGGTGACTGGAAGTCTCCCATCCCGGTCTCTCATCCCGGTCTATACGCATGTATGTTGAACTTCTTTCGCACCGTACGTAGCTAACTGTTCTAATCGGAGGTGCGCGGGGGGAGGGACAACAAATTAAACACGTCTCCCGCCCCCCACGTCTCCCTCCCCCCACGTCTCCCTCCCCCCCACGTCTCCCTCCCCCCACGTCTCCCTCCCCCCCACGTCTCCCTCCCCCCACGTCTCCCGCCCCCCACGTCTCCCAGTCCCCACGTCTCCCTCCCCCCACGTCTCCCTCCCCCCACGTCTCCCTCCCCCCCACGTCTCCCTCCCCCCCACGTCTCCCTCCCCCCCACGTCTCCCTCCCCCCCACGTCTCCCTCCCCCCCACGTCTCCCTCCCCCCCACGTCTCCCGCCCCCCACGTCTCCCGCCCCCCACGTCTCCCAGTCCCCACGTCTCCCTCCCCCCCACGTCTCCCTCCCCCCCACGTCTCCCTCCCCCCACGTCTCCCTCCCCCCACGTCTCCCTCCCCCCCACGTCTCCCTCCCCCCCACGTCCTCCCTCCCCCCACGTCTCCCGCCCCCCCACGTCTCCCAGTCCCCACGTCTCCCTCCCCCCCACGTCTCCCTCCCCCCCCACGTCTCCCGCCCCCCACGTCTCCCTCCCCCCACGTCTCCCTCCCCCCCACGTCTCCCTCCCCCCCACGTCTCCCTCCCCCCCACGTCTCCCTCCCCCCACGTCTCCCTCCCCCCACGTCTCCCTCCCCCCCACGTCTCCCTCCCCCCCACGTCTCCCTCCCCCCCACGTCTCCCGCCCCCCCACGTCTCCCGCCCCCCACGTCTCCCGCCCCCCACGTCTCCCTCCCCCCCACGTCTCCCTCCCCCCCATGTCTCCCTCCCCCCACGTCTCCTTCCCCCCACGTCTCCCAGTCCCCACGTCTCCCTCCCCCCACGTCTCCCTCCCCCCCACGTCTCCCGCCCCCCACGTCTCCCAGTCCCCACGTCTCCCTCCCCCCCACGTCTCCCTCCCCCCCACGTCTCCCTCCCCCCCACGTCTCCCTCCCCCCCACGTCTCCCTCCCCCCCACGTCTCCCTCCCCCCCACGTCTCCCTCCCCCCCACGTCTCCCTCCCCCCACGTCTCCCGCCCCCCACGTCTCCCGCCCCCACGTCTCCCAGTCCCCCACGTCTCCCTCCCCCCCACGTCTCCCTCCCCCCACGTCTCCCTCCCCCCACGTCTCCCTCCCCCCCACGTCTCCCTCCCCCCCACGTCTCCCTCCCCCCCACGTCTCCCGCCCCCCCACGTCTCCCAGTCCCCACGTCTCCCTCCCCCCCACGTCTCCCTCCCCCCCACGTCTCCCGCCCCCCACGTCTCCCTCCCCCCACGTCTCCCTCCCCCCCACGTCTCCCTCCCCCCCACGTCTCCCTCCCCCCCACGTCTCCCTCCCCCCACGTCTCCCTCCCCCCACGTCTCCCTCCCCCCCACGTCTCCCTCCCCCCCACGTCTCCCTCCCCCCCACGTCTCCCGCCCCCCCACGTCTCCCGCCCCCCACGTCTCCCGCCCCCCACGTCTCCCTCCCCCCCACGTCTCCCTCCCCCCCACGTCTCCCTCCCCCCACGTCTCCCTCCCCCCACGTCTCCCAGTCCCCACGTCTCCCTCCCCCCACGTCTCCCTCCCCCCCACGTCTCCCGCCCCCCACGTCTCCCAGTCCCCACGTCTCCCTCCCCCCCACGTCTCCCTCCCCCCCACGTCTCCCTCCCCCCCACGTCTCCCTCCCCCCACGTCTCCCAGTCCCCACGTCTCCCTCCCCCCACGTCTCCCTCCCCCCCACGTCTCCCTCCCCCCCACGTCTCCCGCCCCCCACGTCTCCCAGTCCCCACGTCTCCCTCCCCCCACGTCTCCCGCCCCCCACGTCTCCCAGTCCCCACGTCTCCCTCCCCCCACGTCCCTCCCCCACGTCTCCCTCCCCCCACGTCTCCCTCCCCCCCACGTCTCCTCCCCCCACGTCTCCCTCCCCCCCACGTCTCCCTCCCCCCCACGTCTCCCGCCCCCCCACGTCTCCCGCCCCCCACGTCTCCCAGTCCCCACGTCTCCCTCCCCCCCACGTCTCCCGCCCCCCACGTCTCCCAGTCCCCACGTCTCCCTCCCCCCACGTCTCCCTCCCCCCCACGTCTCCCTCCCCCCACGTCTCCCTCCCCCCCACGTCTCCCTCCCCCCACGTCTCCCTCCCCCCACGTCTCCCTCCCCCCCACGTCTCCCAGTCCCCACGTCTCCCTCCCCCCCACGTCTCCCTCCCCCCCACGTCTCCCTCCCCCCCACGTCTCCCTCCTGATCGCCCACCCAGTCTCCACGTCTCCCTCCCCCCACGTCTCCCTCCCCCCACGTCTCCCTCCCCCCACGTCTCCCAGTCTCCACGTCTCCCTCCTGATCTCCCACCCCAGTCTCCACGTCTCCCTCCCCCCACGTCTCCCTCCCCCCACGTATCCCTCCCCCCACGTCTCCCAGTCTCCACGTCTCCCAGTCTCCCAGTCCCCACGTCTCCCTCCCCCCACGTCTCCCAGTCTCCACGTCTCCCTCCCCCCACGTCTCCCTCCCCCCACGTCTCCCAGTCCCCACGTCTCCCTCCCCCCACGTCTCCCAGTCCCCACGTCTCCCTCCCCCCACGTCTCCCTCCCCCCACGTCTCCCAGTCTCCACGTCTCCCAGTCCCCACGTCTCCCGCCCGGCGCTGCTGAGCACCATGTCTCCCTCCCCCCACGTCTCCCTCCCCCCCCGTCTCCCAGTCCCCACGTCTCCCTCCCCCCCACGTCTCCCTCCTGATCTCCCACCCCAGTCTCCACGTCTCCCTCCCCCCCACGTCTCCCAGTCCCCACGTCTCCCTCCCCCCCACGTCTCCCTCCCCCCACGTCTCCCTCCCCCCACGTCTCCCTCCCCCCACGTCTCCCTCCCCCCACGTCTCCCTCCCCCCACGTCTCCCTCCCCCCACGTCTCCCAGTCCCCACGTCTCCCTCCCCCCACGTCTCCCTCCCCCCACGTCTCCCTCCCCCCACGTCTCCCAGTCCCCACGTCTCCCTCCCCCACGTCTCCCAGTCTCCACGTCTCCCTCCCCCCACGTCTCCCTCCCCCCACGTCTCCCAGTCTCCACGTCTCCCAGTCTCCACGTCTCCCAGTTCCCACGTCTCCCAGTCTCCACGTCTCCCTCCCCCCACGTCTCCCAGTCTCCACGTCTCCCTCCCCCCCCCCACGTCTCCCTCCTGATCTCCCACCCCAGTCCCCACGTCTCCCAGTCTCCACGTCTCCCAGTCCCCACGTCTCCCTCCCCCTACGTCTCCCTCCCCCCACGTCTCCCAGTCTCCACGTCTCCCAGTCTCCACGTCTCCCTCCCCCCACGTCTCCCTCCCCCCACGTCTCCCAGTCTCCACGTCTCCCTCCCCCCCCACGTCTCCCTCCTGATCTCCCACCCCAGTCCCCACGTCTCCCAGTCCCCACGTCTCCCTCCCCCCACGTCTCCCTCCCCCCACGTCTCCCAGTCTCCACGTCTCCCTCCCCCCCCCACGTCTCCCTCCTGATCTCCCACCCCAGTCCCCACGTCTCCCAGTCCCCACGTCTCCCTCCCCCCACGTCTCCCTCCCCCCACGTCTCCCAGTCTCCACGTCTCCCTCCCCCCACGTCTCCCTCCCCCCACGTCTCCCAGTCCCCACGTCTCCCTCCCCCCACGTCTCCCTCCCCCCACGTCTCCCTCCCCCCACGTCTCCCAGTCTCCACGTCTCCCAGTCTCCACGTCTCCCTCCCCCCACGTCTCCCTCCCCCCACGTCTCCCAGTCTCCACGTCTCCCAGTCTCCACGTCTCCCTCCCCCCACGTCTCCCTCCCCCCACGTCTCCCAGTCTCCACGTCTCCCTCCCCCCCCCCCACGTCTCCCTCCTGATCTCCCACCCCAGTCCCCACGTCTCCCAGTCTCCACGTCTCCCAGTCCCCACGTCTCCCGCCCGGCGCTGCTGAGCACCACGTCTCCCTCCCCCCACGTCTTCCTCCCCCCACGTCTCCCAGTCTCCACGTCTCCCAGTCCCCACGTCTCCCAGTCTCCCAGTCCCCACGTCCCCCAGTCTCCACGTCTCCCAGTCCCCACGTCTCCCGCCCGGCGCTGCTGAGCACCACGTCTCCCTCCCCCCACGTCTCCCTCCCCCCACGTCTCCCTCCCCCCACGTCTCCCAGTCTCCCAGTCCCCACGTCTCCCAGTCCCCACGTCTCCCAGTCCCCACGTCTCCCAGTCCCCACGTCTCCCAGTCCCCACGTCTCCCAGTCTCCACGTCTCCACGTCTCCCAGTCCCCACGTCTCCCAGTCTCCACGTCTCCCAGTCCCCACGTCTCCCAGTCCCCACGTCTCCCAGTCTCCACGTCTCCCAGTCCCCACGTCTCCCAGTCCCCACGTCTCCCAGTCCCCACGTCTCCCTCCTGATCTCCCACCCCAGTCTCCACGTCTCCCAGTCCCCACGTCTCCCGCCCGGCGCTGCTGAGCACCACGTGCGCGGTTCTCCGCTGAGCTTCCCGAGTTTCCCGGCATCCTCCGCGAGCCGCTTCCACGATGGCTGCCACCGCGGTGGGTGCCGGCGTGAGACGACCCGCGCGCGTTCCCACGAATTCGCTCCCGTCCAGCAGCCGCACAGAGCGGCCACATTTCGTTTACTTCTCTACAAAGTCGCGCTTTAAATGAATCCCCCGTGCAATTCACACATTGACCGACAATTCCGTATCGAACGCCCGAGTTGCCCCGGCGGGGCCTCTCCTCTGGCAGTGTGAAGGGCCTCGACTAGTTGACCGAGCCGGGCTGCCTCGCGCCCACACCGCTGCGGTGGCCGAGGTTAGTGGGGGTCTGTACGGTCTTTGCGTCAAAGCAGCACATCTGATGCGTTGGTGCTGTGCCCGCCTGCCCACAGGCCGACATCCAGCACACGCTGGAGATGCTGCACATGACCGTGTTCTCGCAGAGCTTCTCGCCGTGCGGGAGACACCTCGCGGCGGGGAACAGCTACGGACGCGTCGCGGTGTTCAGGTGCAGCCCGAGTGACCGACCGATTTGTGTGTTTGGCTGCGTCTCTCTTCCTCCGCACTCCTGGTGTCGATGCAGAGCAACAACGACAGTTTAACTTGCAGCTGCTCATGCCGGATAACCGCGTCAGAATCGGCGGAGTTTGTGTATCGCGGTCACGTCCCCTTCGCATCTGTGGCTCGGGCATTGATTGCGTCGTGACGTGTTGTAATATTCGCTCTGGACGACGACCAATCGCACGCTGGAGAGTTTGTAGTTTTCTATTTTTGCATCAAAAGTATCGGCATCTGCCGTGGTTTGTGCGGATGCGATTTAGGGTGGGCTGTGAGCTTCGTGGAAGGTCAAACCCAGGGATGTTCTTCTGTGTTGAGCCTTTCGTTATTTGTTCGTGAGTTATTTTGAACTCTATTCAGCTCTTCAAGCTTCAGCAGCGTTAAATTCGCATTGTTTAAGGCGCATGGGTCAAAAGGCGCTTGCTTGACTGTTGCACACAGTATGAGGCGCCTTTCACAAAGTCTCAAGGCGCCGTGCATGAATAGGACAAAGATAAAGCGATGGCAAAGTCTGATCTTGCGTGTGACGGCCGCAGCAGCAGCAGCAGCGATGTGTTCAGCAGCTCGATGCCATTGCCGGGGTCAGCGAGTCACTGCGAGACGGCTTCAGCAGACAGTTCATCCTCGTTGTGCCGTTCCACCTCCGTGGACGGAGCGCAGACCACAGTAGTTTACTATGCGGTCCATAGTGTGGGTTGCATGACGTGTCGTTAATTTTCCATTTATGAAGAGATGTGTGCAAATTAAGGGCCAGCGAGGATCAAAGATATTTATGAGAAAGCTTTTGTTTGAAAAGATGTGTTTTAGTGGGGACATATCAACACTGTCGGAAAGGCTGATCTCCAACGGCCGAGAGATCCGCACTCAGTGAGTTCTGGGTCCGTGTGGAATGTCTGTACCCTTCACCTGTACCTACTTCTTCTGGCAGAATTGTTTAAGATATACATGTGTAGAGAAGTTCCGACGGACGTACTCGGAGACGGAGGTAAATTAGGGGCTTCCGCCAGGGTTTATTAACACTTATCAATACTACACAGGGTACACAACTCCCAGGGGCTAGGGGTCCTACTCTGAGTCCGGGTCCCTGCCGGCTAGCTCTGGTCTCTCTCTCTCGTGTCGGATCGTGGACTCTGCCGACTCCACCGACCGGAGAGAGAAGCACCTCTACGGCTACCACCGGCTTCTCCCCAGACTCACGACTCGATCCCTCTCTCTACCCCTGGTTCCCTCTTCACCCTGTTTACTATCCCCGTTCCTACAGTGACCCCGCTTACGTCACGGGGTATCCCTTAAATACCCTAGGAGACGTGACGTCATCGCACTGAACGGCACACATGTACCTCACCAGTTCATTTGCAACAATACATTGTGCTGCACTGCCCTCTGCGGCCCAAACTTAACACCTGCGAGATGCATGATGGTTCCGCATACAAACACTGGCCAGGCTCAACGCCTGGTTAGCTTTCGAGATCGGGTGCATTCCGGGTGATTTGATCAAAAGTCTTGACGTTGTTCATTTACGGTATGTACCCCCATATGTACACTTATCCCGTCCCCCCAACTCATTCCCTCCGGCTGCAGCTGTCTAAACTCCATTCTAGCCTTGAGTAGTAGTAGTTGTAAATAAAGAGACAGTGTATGAAATACGTTTTTATACATTAACTATTAAGCCCACGCCTACCGAGATGTACATTCATAATGTATGTATTGTTTCTCATTGATTCAAGAAAGTATACACTTTTTGAGTCGTATTGTTAAAAAGTGTATCGACACGATTAGATTACAAGTTATTACTATACTCATTACACTCCTATAAGGTTTATCAGTTTAAATTCGTACCTTGTTAAGTAATGCAATAATTTCTGCCATTTTGCTCACCATCTGCTACCCCTACTGTCTGGACTGCCTTCCCCTACCTTACGTGCTGTGGACTCCCTGCCCCTGGCCAAGTCCAGGATCGAGAAATAAATATGAGATGTGGTCACGTTCAAAAGTTATATCTAAATTGTATGTTCACCTGTGTTGTCATGTACAATTACTTGTACTTGGTTGTGTTTGGGCAGTGGTCCATCCTGAAAGAAGAGACAACAGGGATTTTAACAGATGTATAGTTGCGGACTGCAAGTATAAGCCGCAACAAGAATTGCAGTGTCGGTGTATGCTTGTGGTTTATTCTTGTGCACCAATATTAACACGCGTGTTTTTGTTATTTCTGTTAGAACTAGTTGTTTTGTACAATGCAGTTGTCTACAATGGTACTGGGTTGTTTAAGAAGAAAATTAAACGCATTCTCTTACTCTTCTGCAGTCTTAGCTTGGCGCTTGGTTTGGATGCCACGGAGGAGAGTCGAAAACCCATATACACCTTTACAGGTATTGTCAAGGCTCCTAGTGTTAACAGCACACAAACTCTCGTGTCTTACCATCATCGATGCCACGCATCGGTGCATTTGCTCGTACCTGTACAAATCCTGTTCCTTAAGCTTTTCTTGCCTGTGTGTGTGTAACATAATGTTTGAGTAAGCACGTTGTTTAACACGTAGGCTTTCGCGACCAATATCATCCATAATAGAGGTTTTTGGGTTAGATCGCGAAAATATGTAAATGTGTTGTTAAAACCCGCCACCACCTGACACAGCCAACTAGTAAGGGTTGTCACGTGAACAGAACGTGCCAATTCGTCACTAGTACAGCACGCCGGTGTGTTGGAGAGCCAAGCCACAACATTTACAATCTGAGTACGACGTTTCGCCAGTTACCATCTCTTACGATCCTGCTATGTAATAATGCACCTCGTGCCCGCACGCAAGCTGACCCTTTGCTGTATCTCCTCCGTGGGTGTCCCCTCAGACACGTTGCATCTCTAGGCTGCCACTCCATCATTACAGTCAGTTCGCCGATAATATAATGTGTGTTATTTTCATAATGAGAATCGGATATATAACACGATTGATGTATTAGGGAACACATTTTTTATAACGCGGATGTGAATTGCCTATAACGCGATTGACTGAACAAAACTACGTCACGCAAGTAGGAAGCGGCTGCCTCAGAGTAGCATCCCACAAGGCGGGATGCTGCTGGATGTTTCTAGATGCTCCCTTCGCGCCACAGTCTCTGTTAAACCTGCGTACGCATCTCACGTGTTATCGCAGACTGTGCTTTACCCTATGTTATCTCTTATTTATTATAACCCGATTTTTCAATAACGCGGTGTTTTTCAGGATCGTAACTCCCGCATTATAGGAGAACTGACTATTCTTGACCATCGGCCATCATCCCGTCTTGCAACGTGTCTTTCCCAAGCTCACTTGATTTTCTTGGCAGTTAGAATGATGTTGGTAACCTGCGTATATTTTCTAATTGCATGTGTTCTTTGCAGGTGCTAATGAATTCTTTACAGCTCTCTGTACAAGCATGTGTGACTAACTGCCTGTGGTGTGTGTGTGTGTGTGCATAATGGCAGCACATGAGAGTCCAGTGTACAGCCTCGTTTCTACGGATCGGCTGCTCATAAGTGCCGGCAATGGATTGGTGAAGGCCTGGAACTGGAGCGACTTGATTAAGAAGGTAAGGGTCTGTGAAGCTAGGCCAAAAGCTGGATATAAGCACACCTTATATGAACAGGAGCCCATAGTTTAGATGGAGTTTCCCTTGCCAATAGCATCTAGTGACTAGGCAGCGTTGAACAAGTCTTACCCTGCTGATCATACCCACATGTTCCAATGCTCTTCTGCGGTCATCTAAACGCTCTTCCCATATTAGGAAGCCACTGGAGCTATGCACTTTCAAATCTTGATTGAAAACTAATTTCTTTAGAACTGCTGTTTGTGTTTAGTTTGTTGTCCTTCCCCCGCACCTCCTATTGGCACCATTGGCTACGTACGGTGCGAAAGAAGTTCAGCAAACGTACATGAGGGCCTCCCTACGCTGGGAGGCTCGTGGGGGGTCATCTGACCAAACTTCACCTCGCTGGTCAGTGCGGGTTGGTGAAGACGGGAATCGTGTACGGTATCATAAAATGTACAGTACAGCAGTTGATGTTGCTGTACTGCTTTCTCAAGTCTGCCACCCCTGTACACGTTGTTTAATTTCCACAGAGTTGGAGCGTCCTCGCATGTGTAGTTTGTTTTTCTCTATAAACTCAAAGTTTTTTTGCCCAACATTCTTCACATTGCAAGCTAGAATCTTCCATACAAAGGTCTTGAGGCTGAGGTTCTTAGGGATTAAATGACTATCAGTATTTAAAGTAGCCGCTGAAAGGCAGCGTTTTGATGTGCAAGTGACGATGATGGTGATTATGTTGCAGACCGCAAAGGAGGTGTGGTCAAAGCAACCACCTTACAAGTAAGCCTTACATCCACTAAATACGTATTACATTTGGTTGTCTTTTTCCTAGTTTTATCCAGGTTATGCTATCGGTATCAGTGGAGGCTGAATCCCAGTGCCGTGGAGGCAGCGAGGGTTGGTGGATCGCACAAATGTTGCCGAATGCCCTTTCCGTGGTCATTGACATCTTGAAAAATAGCTTTATCGCTCATCGGATCCCTCCAGTATAACTGGAAGATTATGATTTTGTACCCTGGCTCCCCAGCAAAATGCATTTAAGCAAATTCACAGATATCGCCATCTGTTCATATGTATGGGGATCGACTGTTGCGTCCTCGCATATGTGAGGTTCCTTCTGGGTGCTCTGGTTTCTTCCAACATGTATAAACTGTTTGTTAATTAGCTGAAACATCTTAATATATAGAGGACAACAGAGCTCAGGCAGTTGTTGGCATTGACTCATCACCTAGCTGCCATCCAGCTCGTCTGTGGTTCCTCAGCTTTTGCAGTTTGCACGAGCGATGGTAGCGCGACATATATAAAACCACACGGTTGTATTATCATTATGAGACAAAGTACCTCCCACTCGGATCACTCGCAGAACATTCCACAATCGCCCGCGGGAGTGAATGTCACAGGGCTACTTCAAATGGCCATCTGCTCTACTTAAATAGTTATCATTTAAAGGATAAAGAAGTATAACATTGATGTAAATTGATTAATGACTAGTTAAATCATGTACATATGGTATGCATTAAAACATTTAAAACTGAAACTTAACTTCAATTGAAAGCTAAAATATGTACATTAAATGTGATGGGTGATTGGCCAAGCCGTCATCTTGCTTGCCTTTAAACTAGTTTAGGCTGAGTTGACAGATTCCCAATAAAACTGCATGGTAATTTATAATAATTGTATATATTGCATAATCTTTAGGTATTTCGGTAAAGCCATGTAGATAGAACAAATAATAAACAATATCACGACGTTTCGATTGCAACACAAGCACTCGTCATCAGGTGAGACATATCGCAGGAGAGCTGCTGCGAATATACGGTGGGAGCGCTGCTAAAGTAAGGAGTTGTAAAGGTTTGGGATGGGTGAAGCCCATAAATTATTTAAATTGCATCTCAAAAAGCTGAACATTGTGAACTACGTTAAAGTACGCTCTCTACTATATCGTGACTGCAAGGAATCGTACTCTTTGTTTTTTTCGGTAAAGTCACGTAGGTAAAAAACTGCAGCAGGCCATGCTTTCCCACCTGATGACGGACGCTTGTGTTGCGCCCGAAACGTCGTGATCTATTTGAGTTGTTTTCATTTCTTTTATTTTTTACCTACGTGACTTTACGGAAAAAACCAAAGAGTATATATACTGGGCTGTTTTTAGTGCGCCAATATTAATCCACAGATATGTGTTGGTGTATTCATGTCAAATAATTTATATTCAATAATTGACACCTCTTATATCGTTCCACTGTTGTATGAAGGTCCACCCATCTCTTATTGGTCATGGGTGTGTTTGACCATACTTCACTATGCTGGTCAGTGTGGATCGGCAGAATCTTAGGACCGGTTCAGATATCGCTCATCACTGATGTTAGCCGTGGCCAGAAATCGAACTTGGAACACCAGTTTCATTGCGCAGTCTGCTAGCTAGCGTGCCACCGCTCCTATCTAAAATCGCAGTGTTAAAATATATATATCTGCAATTATAAAATTAATCACTAACATTTCTTCTTTGCCTGGAATAAACGTCGTCTTTGCAAAATTAGAAACCTGGATCCAGATTAATGTTTTGGCGGCAAGGAATCGTCCGCTGAATTTGAGAAATAAAACTGTAAAATGCCATAAATGTCCAGTGTTGACAATGTGCTGAGCATCAGCGGGATTCTTCTTTCTACAAATATGCGAGTCGAGCTTGAGATATCGGCAATGGACTCTCAATGGCACGTTTTATTTTTCTGAAAAAGAAAAATGTCACAAGCAAAAGTGACCTTCGTTTGCCTTCGGTGTTGGCAGGATGGGAGTGGACGTACCTGAGATCAACGCTCTTCTGCTGAATGAGAAGGCAAGGCAACCATCGCCCCCTTTGTCTTGTCACTGATTAACCCGTTCCCGTTCAGTTTTTCTTCCCATTCCATTCCGGAACCAGAAGGAAAACTAAAATAAAATAACTTTATTGTTACCGAGGCTCCCACAAGGCCATGCGGGAGGGCATGTGGCAATGTTTGGTGCAGCTGTCATAGAGTGCGACCGTGTCGCTACGCTTCTCTGTGGTGAGTGCAGTGTTTTTAAAAACAGCGGCGCTGCGTGTCGCTAAATAAAATTAACGCTGAACCGCTTGTGCATTGCGAGATACGGCGGTGAACAGTACCCATCCTGCAACGTGCAGTCATCTAGGAACGGGAAAGGGTTCATCTCTTTATGATCAAAATTTTCATCTTTGTGTCAGTCCACTGCTGGGTGAAAGCTTCCATGGTGGTATGTCGGTCATGGGGGGGGGGGTGTTAACAATGATTATTCCTCCTGCTTCACAGTGGACGTTCAGGGTCCCGTCATGTTATTCGAATATTCAAAGAGAGTAGGCCATTGTGTAAATTGTCAAATAAAAACGTAATGTAATAACAAATTGCAACATCGTCCGCTACGGGCGGACACATGCCCACTTGCAGGCCGGTGCTGCATCGGCTTTGTGCTGCACTGAGGCAGCACTTGCGATTAGTGTGGTTGGCTACGTACTGTGCGAAAGAAATTATACGTACAATATCCGCAGTCGCGGTCCTATTATCTGTGGTCCTCTGCTATTTTTTCACGGAAGGCGGAGTTGCGCAGGAAATTCACCCTATTATCTGCGCCTATCCACTGATTTTATGTCTGGGATACGTGGAGTAAATTTGCTGATAATAGAATAAGAGGAGTTCTGCAAAACTACATCTGGGCATTGGAATGATTGAGGTGAGATGCGACGCGAGGTGCATCGAGATGCTGAGGCATTTGAACGAGAGACACAATGCATGCGACTTCCAACGCTAATGAGGTCGTGGTGGTGAGCCAGAGCAGAGCTTTAACTGCGGATCTCGCGAGCGCAAGCTCCACCGATCCTGACAACTCCCTCATTCTGCTTTTGTTCGTGGTCTGCTGCAGGACAACTCGCTGTACCTGGGCTGTGGGGACTGCAACGTGTACAACATGGATCTCGAGTCGGGCACATGTAAGGTAAGCAGCCATGCCAGAGCACGCCCATGCAAGTGCATGGTTGTTGTTGAAGGTGAGCAGCCATTCCAAACTTGGCAGCCCAAGAAACTAGTTGTAGGCTTGTCAGCTGGGAAGAGATTTTTTACTTCAAGAATTAATGGGTTATTATTTGTATTTCAGACTTGAGGGCTCGGTAACTAAGAGCTTTGGCGTTTGACTGTGGTGGTTAAGTTACTAACGCGCTCTGCTTTTAGAATTTATATGTTCTCGACTTTCTTGCCATTACGTTTCTTCCCACGTGCACAAAAAATACAAGGAATTCTCCAAATTCCGTGAAGTCTTAGAATAAGCCGTGAGGCTCTGTGAGCTTTCACTGAGTAAAATAAGAATATGCGTGTGTGTTTATATACTATACATAGTGGGGAGCGGTACTGTAGCGGTTAGCGCTGGGCTACTGAACCTGGCGACCCGAGTTCGATTCCTGCTCACTGCCAATAACAGTGACTGCGGATATATTTCAACCGGTGCTGGGCCTCTCCTAGCTTGACTTCAATTGAGCATCGAGTGCGATGTGTAAAAAACATTGGCATTAGGGAGACAAAGGCGGCCGGGCGTGGTGCTGGCCACCCACCCCCTCATGTGCCGTGACGGCTTTCACAGGTGCTCGCTCACAGCACTTGCCCCAACAGTCTGTTACAGACTATGAGGGGGATCTTTGTCTTTGTTGTATATACTATATATCGGTTTATATGGGGATCCCTTGCATGCAGAAATGTTATGTTTATGCTGAGCGCATGTGCTTTGTTGGCCTTCATCGGCCTTTATCGGTGCTCCTGGATAACAGCACCTTCCCCACCAGTCTGTTCACGTCTATCGGGGCGGGGGGGTGGTTGTCTTTGCGTGTGAGAGCAGCTCTTCCTGGAGGGCCACACGGACTACGTGCACTGCCTGGCGCTCCGGGACCACGTGAGCGAGGTGCTCTCGGGCGGGGAAGACGGCACCGTGAGGCACTGGGGTAAGAGGAGGAGCCGGCGCCCGAGGGGGGGGGGGGGGTTGGTGAGGGAGGTGGTCACTGGGGTGGGCTGAGAAATAGGCTGTGCCACTAGGAAAAAACCAGGCGACCAAAATCAGCTGGAATGCATCCGGTCTCATCCGACCTCAAGCTCAGCGGTTTGAGCCTCGATAGCACCTGGATGGGTGACCGCCATGTGCAGCAGGTGTTAGGTTTGGGCAGCAGAGGGCAGTGCAGCAACATCAAATGTTGCCTCCCACTTGTATGTGCTCGCCAGCTTCAACTATGAGAGAAAGCGGCAGGGTTCATGATGAGAGAGTTGGATGACTCTTGTCCAGAAGGGCCTCCCCATGCCGCGTTGTCCATGGGGGTTGTCTGAGCATACTTTACCTCGCTGGTCAATGCGGGTTGATGAATGAGTCCAGATAAAACTGGCCGCCACCGGGTTCATAGCGCAATGTGCTAACCACTGCACCTCCGCTCCCCCGCCCAACCCCAGTTTTGCTATTAGTAATGACATGGCTTGACACATGCTACCACAAGAAAATGACATGTTTTTGGATATTTCGCCACAACGAGAAGAACACTGTCAAATTCTTAATAGGTCCATGACCTCAACCTTTGCAGATGTCCGGACCGGAAACCTGGTGCAGTGCGTGGAAATCTTCAAGTACCAGGTCAGAGGGGGCGGCACACGGCCTCGTCTGTGATCGCGATTTATGGTGGTTGCGCGATGACCACGGATGATGGCGGCGATCGTGTGCAATCGATGACAATGACACGTTTCTAACACGTATTTCACATCTGGACAGGAATGTGCCCGGCCTGAGTTTGGAAAGTGGATCGGTTGCTTGGCCACGGACTCCGATTGGATGGTAAGAGCAACGCCGCTGGCACCTCGCACTGTCGTCACAACCAACATTGGCACCGTCGCTGTGAGATGTTGACTACCTCGTCTATTATACAGGAGGTCGTGGGTTGGATCCCGACCCTTTGACGCCTGTTGTATATATGGAGTTCACATTTTCTCCTCGTGGTCACGTGGATTTTCCCTCCGGGTTTTCACTCTACATTTAGAATCATGCTTGTAGAGTATTTGGTTGCTGTAAATTTCCACGCGATGACAAGCCACTTCGTTGAGCTATCATTTGTGGCCAGGTCGCTTCTGAAAAAGAGCTATACAGCTCAGTGGGTCTTACCTGGTAAAAAAATAAAATTCGAATTAATTTTATTTTGTTTAATTTTACTTTTACCGCAACCAACGTGGCCATCAGCTACACCGTTACCCATGCCGCCTTCACCCACACCTTCAACACCAATGACTCGCCCCTCTGGCCTCTTGCACATGCTGTGAAGAAGATCCGTTGGCGAAAACAGTCACCCTTTATACACATTTACTTTTTAGAACAGTGTTGTTGACAAATGCGATGAGGTGTTTTTGTTTGTTATATTTGTTCTCGGGCACCACTGTCAACACAGAAGCATCGCCAAATCATTTGTTAATGTTGGGGAGAGTTAGCGAGCACCTGTTACGAAGGTCACTGATTTGTCATGGCCATACATTTATGTTAAACTTCTTTCGCACCGTATGTAGCCAACCTTGCTAATCGGAGGTGCGGGGAAAGGACAATAATACATGCATCGTTACCCTTGCCCCGCAAGATCCCCCCGGCTATTGCAAAGTCTGACATCCAGCTACAACCAGAAGGGGGCATCTGTATTATGTGAGCGTCATTCGTTATCGAGACTTTCTTGTGGTTACTACCCAAGGTAGCGATTTGTTAACAGAAATTGATTCATTTCCATGGCTAACAAGGGTGAGTTACTTGAAACCCCACTCATTTCAAGTGGTCCTCACATAATTCACCGTTATTGGCCACATTAAGAAATTTGAAACTGCGAGAGTGATACCGCCCCAAGTGGAACCGGGGGGTCAAGCATCTGCCCTGGGTTCATGGAACTCTCAGCGCCATCGCCTGAGTACTCTGCCTTGTTAGTGCGGGACCACCTACCAAAACAACATCGCTCTTGACGTTACTTCCAAGTTATGTCCATTAAAAGTGTGCCCTTTGTTAAAACGTTTATACTGACATGCCGGTCATATTTACCCCCCTACTGCTGCTACTGCTGCTGAATGACGCACCTACAGCAACTCCTTGTTTAACGCGGTAGATGCATTCCTGAAAAGTGCCGCATTAAGCGAAACACGCTTTTGAGCGAAATTAATTTCCCCATAAAGAAAGTAACGAGAAAGTTTGGTGAGATACAATGTACGCACACACACCGTGAGATGGCGGGATAGATAACTGAGGATTCGCTGCAGCAGTTCTGTATCATTCCACATACCGCATCACTCCGCTCAGTCGCACTGCTCAAGAAAGTAGTTTGTCATCGACCGCTCAGAAACCATGTTATAACGGTGCGCGTTCTGCATTATGAAGATGTGCGTTGTGCAAAAAGTGTTCCCTAATTGAAGAACCGCATTAAAGCAAAAACGCGTCGTGTGAGCGCCAAAGCGTTAAGCGAGGACTTACCGTATGTCTCTGACCCCCCCCGACTCCCTCCTGAACCCCCGTCCCCCTCTCCCTCGTCGCTTGTGCGTTGCCCCGACGCTGCGCACGTGCGCGTGAAGATCTGCGGTGGGGGCCCCGCGCTCAGCCTGTGGCACCTGCGCTCGCTCACCCCCACCACGGTCTTCCCGCTCAACGGCTCTCACCATGCAGCTATGTTTCACCAGGACCTGGTGAGAACACGCCGGGGGGGAGGGGCGGGGGTGGGTTGGGGGTACCGAGCAATCGTGTGTTCTACGTCGTTGCTTTGACGGCTAGCAAATGTCGTCTGACTTGGAAGCACCTCCAATTAGCACGGTTGGCTACGTACAATGCGAAACAAGTTCAATATACACACATACCTGGGCAACTTTGTTTTGAGGTTAAAAAGTCTCAACGCAAGACCCCGGTCCATTTGCAGTACGGTCAAATTCCATGTGTGTCCCCCCCAGATCATCTCGGCTGGTTCGGGCCACTCCATCGACCACTGCCAGGTGAACGGGGAAGTCCGCGCGCGCATCCCGGTCTCCACCCCCTCCGTCTACTCCCTCCAGGTCAACCACAACTCCTCCGAGAACAAGGTGGCGTCATTTCTCCGTTCAACCCTTACACAATTTCGTCCCGATTGTGTTATCGGCCTCACGTCACACAATGTGGCGGCGTGCAGATCGCTTGTAGACCGCCGCATTCCTTAATGTTTGAGAAAGAGCTTGCGGAAGCAGATGTTGTGGAGCTACCTCTGAGCTCGATTCAATTGACTTCCGGGCCACCTTTCTACGTGCTCTGCGCTCAGGAGTAATGGTTCTTCGCGTGACAGTGGTGAAGTATGGCCAAGTATACCCTACGGTGGGGGTGGAGGCCCTCCTCCCACGGTGGTCCGATGGGACGCATTGTACACGTCGTTCGTGCCCGGGATGGGAGCACCGGGGGGGGTCCGTCGTCGTCGCCGCCGTCTCCAGCCGATTGAGACTCCGAGCGACGGTGGCGCCGTCTGTTGCGGTGGTGCCGTTGGTTACCGCGCGCGGTGCCGCTGGTTACCGCGCGCGGTGCCCCGTGTACTCCGGTGGTCTGGTTATCAACCAGAGTCCACTATTCAGTTTGGACGATGAATATTAACCTTGATTTTGTTTTTGTTGCTTTGTCTGCTACAGGTTCTATCTGCTGCTGGTAGCAGCCACAAGCTGGAGGTGTTTACCAACCTTGGGTACCGGGCCTTCTGCCTCGCCTTCACCTAGCTCACAAATAACCACAAACGCTCAGCACATTCGTCGATTAAACACCGCGTGTGGCCCTAGGCGACGTTTTGGGCAATGGCCCTTCTTCATGGCGTTTGACAAAGATGCGATTTGCAACAAAACGTCGCCGATTATAGGCGCCTCCTCTTAGGACCACAGTGTTATTTGATGAACGTATTGAGTTATTTTGTTATTTGTGCTTGTGTACCACTGCCAATGCAATATCACGAAATAGCCCACACAGACAAAGATTTTCACGTGCAGCCTCTAACAGACTGTTAGGTTGGCAAGTCCCAACCTAGCGCACATACACACTCATACAAAGATCCCCCGTATAGGCTTACCAGGATGTTGGGGCAAGTGCTGTTAGTGAGCACCTATGAAACCCAATATGGTGCAAGCGGAGGTTGGGTGGCCGACATCAAGCCGAGCTGCCTTCGTCTACTCAGTGCTGAAGTTTAATACACCACACCGGGTACTCTCTTAAGCCTGAGTCGACCTAGGGTAGGCCCAGGATAGGTTTAAGTATCCGTTAGCGGGAATCAAACTTGGGTTGCCGGATTCGTAATGCGAACCACTGCGCCACTGTTCCAACTCAAAGACAAACATCCCCCGTGTGTGACCTTTCACAGGCTTTTGGGGCAAGCGCTGTTTGCGAGCACCTGTTACGGCCACCCCTACACTCACACAACATAGAAAGGCAGATGCCCCAGCACGTGTACGTTTAGCGTGCGTGCGAACACTGACGCTCACGTACATGCACGGGTGTGAAGACATCGACTCGTTATTACGATGGCACCGCGCGTAGACCCCGGGGAAAGTTTGCTACTCTATCATCGTGTTCACTCGAACAGGTTTAATAGTAAGTTTAACTGTGCCTTGCAACAACACACTCGAGAACGTTCACGCATCATCGCTGGGTATGTTCGCGTTTGTGCTTATACAGACCTCGTCAAATGCTAAATTAAAACATTACACACGGGTACGTGTGCATCCTGTTAACTCAAAATACCAGCTGGGATCGGATGTTTTGTAGCACGTGCGTGCGTGATCGTGATACGCCACGTGATCTCTGTGCGGGGGCGTAAGTTAACACGAGAGAGCGGCGACCACTTTCCTGCGGCTACGCTCGGGACAAATGGGGGGGTCTCTATGAGCATGTTTCTCCGTAGCGAGGTGATATCGCAAGTGCTGTTGTGCGCGCGCATACATTACACTTGGACACGCACAACCCGGGGACTGTTCGGCATGGGACCAATCACTGCCAAGAGTGTGTGGAGCCGTCGTTGCAACGTCTGACGAAAAAATAACTTTCAAACTTTCTGTAAACCAAAAGTGGATGTTCGCCTCGCGATGCCTTCGTATGTCACTCCACAAACTTGGCACAACATTCGTACCCACGTCTGAGAGATCTTCCACCACATCCGGAAAAGCGTACGTTGTTGACACACCACTCGTCAGATTCGTTTTTTTATAATAAAAATGTTGTTTTAGATTGCGGTAGACGAGTCGATACTGTGCAGAAAACCACGAGACGAGCGCACGCACTCGCACAGAGCTGTGTGCGTGCGTGCGATGTGAGAGAGCATTGTTGCGTGTTGGTCCATCTGTGGGGCACCATGGGGACGAGATGTCTCCCTCGCCTGGTATGCAGGAGGTCGCGGGTTCGATCCCGACCCCAATGCCTGCTGTATATTTGGAGTTTGCATGTTCTCCCCGTGGTGGGTTTTCCCTCCACATTTCTAAGCGTGTGTTTAGATTCCTTGACTGCTTTACATTTCCACGTGATGATCCACTTTGTTGAGCTGTCATTAGTGGCCAGGTCGCTTCTGAAAAAGAGCTACATAGCTCAGTGGGCCTTACCTGGTAAAAAAGAGAATAGTACCTCGTTTAAAATAGCGGTATGCGTGTGTAACAAGTGGGGAGCAGTGGTGCAGCTGTTAGTACGCTGTGCTCCCAACCCGGCGACCCGAGTTCGATTCCCGCTCATGGCCATCACCAGTGATGATTATCTGAACCGTTTACTGGATCTCGCCTAGGTCGACGCAGCCTAAAATGAGTACCCGGTGCAGTGTGTTACCATCGTCAATCCGCCGCTGGATAAAACTGTCTCCATCACAATCCTGCGATGTAAGTGACGCGACCCAGCGGTAGCGCTGCATTTGCCGCTCGTTGCAGAGATCCACGGCTCGAAGCCGGCGGCAGCCCTGGTTGCCCCTGCGGTGCCGAATGAACCACAATCCCACGCACTGTCTACTTCACCCACGGTGGACGGTACAGATCCCGTAACGTCATCATTCGCAAGAGGAGGCCAAGTGTACGGAATGAGAGATGGATGTGGCTGGGTGCCAAAGTAGTTTGCAGAACAGCGGTGTTCTGGACTGTTCCGGATACAACGCAACGCGGGTGACTTTGCAGTCACTCGTATCTGTGCTCATCGGCAATCTCGGCCCAAAACGAAAATTAAATATTTTTAATTATTTTACCAGGTGACACCCACTGAGCTGTATTCCTCTTTTTCAGAGGCGACCTGGTGACAAATAGTCGCTAAATGAAGTGGTTTGTGTGAACATTTACAGCTGCCAAATAGTCTAAACACGGATTCTAAATGTGGAGGGGAAAAACAGAGGAACCGGAGAAAATTCCACCCGACCAACGGGAGAAAAATATGGAAACTTGAAATATACAGCAGCAGCAGGCGTCAGGGTCGGTATCGAACCCACGACCTCCTGTATACTAGGCGAGGTAGTTAACATCTCCTAGTCACCGTGGTGCCCCGAGCCACCTGGGTCTGTCACCCCCCCCCCCCCACAGCCGTCCCGTCAACCAGCCCTCGCCGGTCTCCACGCTCAGAGAGCCGGGCGACACGCAGCCCGGCAGAGGCTCTGTGAAGACGACACCACCGCCAACTTCACTGCTGTGGACGGTGGCCGTGTTTGAGTCTGCGGAGGTGTTGCGTTACACGTAAACTCTTTGGTTCTTTCGCTAAAGTCACGTAGGTATACAATAAAATTAAACACGACGTTTCGGGCGCAACACAAGTGTTTTTCATCAAGTAGGAAAGCGTGGTCTGCTGCTGAGGCAGACTTTTTTTAAAGGTTTGAAATGGGTGTAGCCCAAGGGTCGTAAAGAAGTGGCCGGGGCTCGTGATGTTAATGTGAGAAATTAGCAAGTAACTGTAAGATAGAAGGAGAGCGGCCTCCGACGAGGGAGTGCAACCCAACGGGTGCAATCCAAAGGGCCTGTGAGCATGAGAGATCTAAGCGACAGGCATAGAGAGAGTCAGAGAGTCGGAAATATCAGCTGACATAGGCAGATAGGATGGAAACATCACAGTCAGTCAAGACTTTGCCTGGTTACACGTATGTTACGCAGTGCCTCTGCCAATCCATTGCCGGATGAGGGCTCCCTCCCCAGGGCGTCGCACGCGGTGCTGAGATGGCACGATCCATCTCACTCCCGCACGTGGGCGTCGTCTCATGCGCGCTCTCTCCTTGGGCTGCCATTCCATCACCAGTCTTGTCTTTCGGCCGTCATCCCGTTCAGCCGTGATGCATCCGACCCAATCCCCATTGACTGACGAAGCTACCCATGCACACGATTTGGCGATGCTGCTGCGTTGGCAAGTGGTGCACAAGCATGAGTGACAATAACTAAACGCAACATGATTGTCAGTAACCCCGTGTGGCCTTACAAGAGAACATATAATAGGCGACATTCGGTCATTGCCCCTGCATATGCTATGAAAATAAATACATAATAGGCGACGTTTCGACCAATGGTCCTTCATCGCAGAATGTTACCGATGTATTCTTTTTTTTTTTCAAGGCACAGTGTTGTTTTTGACGAACGCGTGGAGTTGTATTTAATTGTGCTTGTGCAGCACCACCAAATGAGTTGTAGTTGTAATGCTGCTGCATTGTGCTAAGTGTGGGGATGACGAGTTGGGGTGACTGCGGATGAGAGGACTGTCGCGTGCGTAATCTCTCTCAGCAGCAGCAGCAGCGCGGTAGATAGAGGAGGAGGCGGCGGCGGCGCTGCAGCACAATAAGAGCGCCACGTGGCACGCGCACGGCGCAACTGGCGCGTGTTCAGCGCGCAAGCTGCGCGCGGGCTGATAATGCGGCTGTTGAGAATGGGGAGGGGGGGCATAGGGGGTGCAGGAAGGAAGGGAGGGGGCCAAGGTGGGGAGGGAATGGAAGCTGCCGGGGGGGGTGCACGGGGTGTGCGGAGGGAGATGCTGAGCGGTCGCAATGTGGGGTCGAAGGCGTGGAGCGAAACGTCGGACATCATGCCCAAATACACGTGACGCCACCAGAGAACGCATCGCAGATAGTTTGTCAGCACAGGCGCGAAACGCCTACCCAGCCAGTGCTGGAAATTCCACATTTCCACGGCGGGAGTAGTAATTCCACAGGCCACCGTTAAATTTGCAGTGGGAAGTTGACGGTGACCGCCCAAAGTAATAGTTTATTGTGTTGACCTCGGGAGAGATGATGGGATGAACTCTGACCCCAGCTCCACCGGAGCTTCGGAACAAAGACAAAGGTCCCCCATGTAACCATACAGCCATAAGAAACAGACAGTTAGGGCAAGTACCGTTGGCGAGCACACATGAAGGCCGGAGCGGCACATGAGGAGGTGAACACTTTGAGACTAGGCTCAAAAGAAAACTATCTCTGGTGTGAACTAATTAGTTTCAAAGACAATGCATATATTATCAGAGCATGTTTTTTGTTGGCATGTTCACCACAAGTACGTGTGGTTAATGCAGACAGGATTCCTTTAAAAATTATTCTGTTTGGTGTTTTAACATCCTGACATCTGTTTCATTGCCAGAAAGGGTTAAACATATTGTTTAACATGAAGAGGTGGATGGCCAGCACTACACCTGGTTGTCTTTGTCTCTCCAATGGTGATGTTTACACAATGCACTAAATACTCATTCAAGGCCGAGTCGATCTCGGGGAGGTCCATAATTGGTTCAGACATTCGCCACCGATGTTGGCTGTGAGCTGCAATCGAACTCGGGTCGCCGGGTTTGTAGCGAAATGTGCTAAACCGCTGCACGACCTCTCCACCAGGTTTGCGTACACCCGTACACCCGTACAGCCGTACAGCCGTACACCCGTACACCCGTACAGCCGTACACCCGTACAGCCGTAGCAGCATTCACCGACGAAGGCCCGCACAGCCGACTTACAAACACGATTTAACACGGAGGCGTTCGCGACCAATATCCATAAAGGTGTCTGGGTTCGCATAGATATTCACGTGTCGTCAACCCGCCATCACACGACAGCCAATTAGGAAGGGTTGTCACTTAAACAAACGTGCCATTTTGTTACTACTTCAGCACACCGGCTGCGTGTTGGAGAGTAAACTCACATTTACAATTTGAGTTGTACGACGTTTCACTGGTGATTACAACCAGCTTAATTAGGCAATTTGCCAGAATTGTGAAGAGGCCTTCCTGTTTGGATTACACACACAGTTCAGCCACTTTTGTCACTGAAATAACCACTTGCAATATAAGTGAGTCAACGCGCTCACATGAGAAACGGGGTTGTTGCCGGGTCGAACATATGCCCCTCGAGTACCCGA